TTTTTTTTTGAGAAATTGAATCCTTTCACAGTATTATTGGAAAGTTAGAGAAATTTTTACCCACAGTCATAAAAAATAATCAATTCGAACACTAATTTTGTTTTTGATGGGTTCATACCTTTATGAATATAAAATGGGTAACGACAGCAACTGTTTTATATCTATAAAATAAGAAAAAAAAAGTTAAAGTTTACCCATTTCAATTTGATGCAATGGGTAATTTTAAATTCATAGGTAAATAAAGAGACGTTTTGATATTTAGAATAATGAGAAAAACCTGACAAATACTCATTGGAATATATACTTTTTCTGAAACATATAAAAGTTACTGGCATCGCCTGAATTATTAAAATTTTGTTCTGTAATAATTATTTTCCTTAGTTTTTTTGTTTTTAGTATCCAGTACCGACATCGATAAACAATTAAATCTTCAAACAGGTTTCTGTGTTTAATCTCTGTCGTTATGAAGTTTTTCCCAATCACTATTACTATTTTCTTTTACTTTAATGTTTTACATGTTGATGCAACTGAGAAGTTTCATAAGCCTACTTATAACGAAGAATTTAATTCCTCCATTACAAAAGTGACAAATTTTATTATGGAAAATTATCATTCTGAATTAGCTAATAATTGTACGAAATGGATTACTGAATTAGTCACTATTTTCAATTCTAAATATAATAAGAGACAAGAATGTAAATTCATTTTAACTAAATTATTTCAACATAAATTAACTCATATGATTGAAGATAAAGAATCTGAAGATTCAAATTTAATTCAAGAACATAACTGTAATCAAATTATTAAATCATTACAATTTGCAAATAATTTTGCTCCAAAGGATATGTATAAGAGGGCAGCAAAACATGTTACTACTCTTACCAAAAATCAATTTAATGAAATGCTAAAAATATTTACCAGAAATGAAACTAATTCAGATACTTCTTATAATTCATTAATTAAGGATTTTGAATTAAATAACAACGTCAATTTAATTAAAAGGGAATCTAGATTTCCAAGGACTGAATTATTTTTAAAACATTTGACTATTGTTTTAGTAATGGCAGCAGGTTTAATGGATACATGTGGTAACGTATCGATGTTTCTATGTCGTACAATGTTGATCCTCTTTGTCTTTACCTTGACATATTGGATGGTGGAAGTGTCAAGGATCCTGTTTGATATGAACTTCTTAACAGTTGAGAATATTCTGCCTTTGTAAAAGAGAAATATAATTTTTTTTCCTATATTATTTATTATATATTCTTTACTCTAATTTCTCATCCAAATATTTATCTCTGTATATGCTTAGTGGAATAATACAAGTTAATTCATTCTAAATTGTTTTTTTTTCATTTTTCTTTAATATTCTAAATGTCAAGAAATTCCAGCAAATGATAATATATTTAATAGCTATATGTTTGTGATGTTATCGTTATTTTTCGGTTGAAATTTGAAAGAGAATGGCTCCTGTTTAAACACTACGTAAGTATATGTTTCATTATTATTATTATTATTATTATTATTGGCATTGTGTATGCGTATCTATGTTTGGTAGTCTAGCTGTACAAGTTTAATTATCTTTATTTTGCTAATCATTATTTTTAAAAAACTCTAGACTTTCAAATATTGTAATTTGGCAACAGTTAATTTCTTTTGGAGCTTCTGATAGTAAGCTAGGATATTTTTGTCCACATTATAAACTCAATGCGCTTTACATAGTTAAATTGTACTAATGAAAATTTAAAAACTCCAAAGTTCTACAATTTTTCACCACTCTTTCACTTATTTTTACATATCGATATTAGATATTCGAACCTTCCCCCCCTCCCCCTCACTCCTTTAACTTTGAAAAGTTATGTCTCTTTGGTTTCAAAATATTATTATATAAGCATACTGAACATGCAATTAAATTATTAATACTTTGTAGTGCAAGCCAATTGAACACATACCCCAATGCTTAGTAGTGGCTGTGATGTCACACAATATCTAGCTGAACCATCATTACTTAACTATGGTACTTTTTAAGGTAATTTCAAATCAACGACCTTCATATCAAAACCTCTGACTGTGAGCCATATAACTCGTACTACCTCCTGTGTGAAGCTATCCATCACCATAGCAGCAGTTCACTTAATCTCATCATAGTATATACTATGATGAAAACTTTTTTGCATCACAATAATCCATATCCACGATTATAATACATGTTTTATTGGGAAAACAACCTATATCACGTGATTATTCAATCAGAACTAGGAGTTTAGGAGTTTTTCTCCTTTTGAGAAATTTAGCTCGCATGGCGTAATGGCAACGCGTCTGACTTCTAATCAGAAGATTCTGGGTTCGACCCCCAGTGTGAGTGCTAACTTTCTTTTTTTTTTTCGAACTGTGTCATCTGATATTCCAAATTTCACCAAAACCCAAATTATAATTTTGCGTACTGTTCCCTTTATTTTTTGTAATTACGTTAAGCTATTATTCAAAGATAATGTTTTTAGGTGTTATTCAGCTTTTTTAATATCTTCTTGGCAATGAGCATTATACTAAATCTAAAATAAATCATCTTTGTGTTTTTTTTTCAATAATTGTCTTTCTTGATGTACTTATACGTTTATATATGCTTATATAGAACAATTCTTAGTGCTATTCAGAATGTACAAATAAAGATATGACATAAGTATTGGTAATGACTTGATATATGCAGAGAATGTGTATTATTATTATTTATGTTGGTATCCTTTCCAATGTTCTCTTTTTTTGGAAAAAGCGTGTAGGAATGGTTAATAATTGTCTATTTGGTTGAGATAGGAAGAAGATACCGGTTGTCTGAGTCAATATTTCAGTAGATTACATTTGGTTTTGATAAAATGATATTCTATCCCTCCATAATTTATTTAATAAATCTTTCTTATGAGTCATATTATCTATCTCTTGTGTAGAATACCACCCATCGATTTCTAAATTTTTAATTATTGCATCGTATTGTTTTATCTCTTCATCCTTTATTGATTTCAATAACTGTACATATTCTTTAATGGAAAACTTTTCTAGTTTTACATCTTGTTTGTTACTGTTGGAAGATGCCAATGATGGCGTTGAATGTTGTGATACCATAGATGACCCATATGAGGATGGTAATAAACATAGCTTTGATTGCTGAATAATCTTATCAAGCGTCTTGCTATCATTTACAATTTGGTCAGTTATATTTGTAGCCGGAACAAATTTTGTATCTCGTAATAGAGTTGTGTTTATTTCAATAAACTTACTTGTCGTTGTTTGTTGCTTTGGTTTCATTGCAGAGTTCTCTTTTAAACCTACCGGAGTACTAATTCCAGGTACAGAACTCAACGAACCTCTTGGTTGTCTCACTGACATAGATGATGGTGTTGGTGTATAACTATGTGTTTGTCGTATCATATCTAATGGAGATTGTATATTCGATAATGATTGTTTGTCAGGTTTTGTTGGAGTGATCATATCATTTGTATTTGAATGAGAAAGTGTGTATCTCTCAGAGTCAAATGGTGATGTTGGGGTATTTGTGTTCTCGGTGTTATTTGATGCTCCATTACTTACTATCCTCGAAAAGCTTCTCTTCATCCTGGATCCGAAAGAAACATTTCTCTTCATTGTGGGTTTTCTTCTTGAATTTGTTTCCTGTAAGACACTATTTGATCTTGTTCTGACAATATTGCTTTCAAATTGTGATGGAGATGCTAGTATTGGAGTAGTTCCAGATGACCTAGGTGTACACACAAGGTTGGAATCCTGTCTTGATAATGATTTCATTGATGCTTTTCTTAACAACGTACTAGATGCCCTTCTTAAGAATGGTAACTTTTTATTTGTAGTAGTTTGAGAAGCTATACTCATAGAATCTATATTTGCTTCATTGTTCAGGTTATAATTTCTATTCTTTAATGGAATAATTGAATGTGTTGTTAATGGTGTTAAATCTGGTTCATCAGTAGATAAAGAGTCTGAGACATATGGGATATATACTTCAGTTGAAAGATCTACAGGTAGCCCGTGTTGAGATTTACTTTTATTATTTTCTTGTTGATTAATATTTGATACTTGATAAATTTTTTCTTCATTTCGTAGTGTTCTTGTTGGTTCTTTATTTTCAACCGGTGTGACTGATTTATTTGATACTCTTTTTGTTAAAATCGATGATTGTTTATGAGATATTGTCGAAGAAGAATTTGAAATTAGTCTTTTATGTTCTGGGATTGTATTTACAATATTAACAGTATTATCTGAGTCAGTTGTTGGTTTTGGTGATGATGACATTTCAAATGCTTTTGATAAATCAAATGAAGTATTCATAACATTATTAAAATCTGTTGGAGATGACTTTCCATCTTCAGAAAGTGGTGTTAACATAAGTGGACTTCCCTGTGATACGTTCATCATGGCATGAGTAGCTCTTGGTTCAGAAGTATTATCAATATGAATTCCAGCAGTACTCATGACGTTATTGCTGTTATTATCTGTTTCCTGTGGTAATAACATAATTGATTTTATTTCCGTCTCTGGTGTTGAATTTGATGTCAATGACGATGGGTCTAATAATGAACCTGGTGTAAATGAATCAGTAACAATAGTTGTTGTCATATTATTAGTATTATTGTTCATATTGATATATTCATTATTTTCATTATTACTTGAATTTGTTAATGAACCTGTTAAATTTTGAGTATCTAATTGTAAATCTATTTCATTTGGTAAAGGTGGTAATAATACAAGTTCTTCGTTGCTGACAAATTTATCGACAGCGATAGAACTGGTTGATAATGGTATTGAGACTTCGCCATCTTTAGTATCCTTTATTACACTTATATCGTCATCGCCATTGGTATTATCATTATTATTCATACTATCGTCAATATTGCCATTCTCTATACTATTTTGATGATGATGATGATGATGATGTATTATTACTGAAGGATCTGAAGATGTTGCAGATGATACAGATGATAATACCATTAAAGTAGACTGTCGTACAGTTTTATTATCATCGTCATCATCTTCTTCTTCTTCTTCCATTTCGTTAAAATTATTTTTAATATGATTATTGTTATCTATGTCACTACTAATCTCTTCTTCTCCCCTTATGTTAGATTCTTCTTTAATATCTGTTAATATCATTTCTGTATTGTTAACAGGAGGTATTATAATTTCATTCATATTATTAATATCACTTCTATAATCTAAATTTATATGTGCGTTCATAGTTTAATAATAACCTAGTTCTTGCATTCTCTTATTATCGATGCTATTATACTTTCTTCATGCAATTTTTCAACTGTTATCTATCTGTCTGTCTCGATGCTAATATAGTCTAAATATGTTGGAAATTTTACAAGTATTGGTAGCGGTAGTATAATATATATATAAGTTTTAATATAAAACAAAATCCGAATTCTTATTAATATTAAACTGAAAAAAAAAGAATGTGATGTGCTTTACTCATCGCCAATATGAACAATGTGTGTCAAAAAAACAGTGAGAAAATGAGTGACGATGATGATGAAAAATGATGACAACGGGAAAGATAGACAGATAGATAGTGGGAGACTAATGTGCAGGCGAGAAAAAAAGAAATGCTCAGATATTCTTGTGCGGCCAAATATGGGCGCAGAAATCAACCGATGCGATTAAATGATTTTTCTTTCCGATTTGGAAAGAGAGAAAAATATTCGAAATTTTTCCATTTCATTTCCTTTCATAATCTATCTTCGCGCCGTCCTGAATTATTTTTTTTCTTTGGGATTTTTCCCTTTTTGAAAATTTTCCATGCCGTCGAGAGTGATAACGGCTACTCCATGTTTTGCCTAAAAATGAAACCAAAATACGTAATGAACAGATATATATATATATATATATAGTTCATGGCAACATTAAATAATAATGTTATGTTAAATTATCTAATTTTAGCCCCTGATGATAACATTCATGGAGTTGAAAACACCTATTAAGAACCGTACTTCCCAGTTGTATCTTGTATATATCGAATTATCGTAACGGTACCATTTATATTTCATTCTGGTTATCAAACAGATTCAGAGAAATATAATTGATAGTGTGTAGTATTATAACTGCGCTGTCTATTACACTTTATCAGAAGTGTAAAGTAATTCTATTTCACTAAATATTTACCGGAAGCCCGTAACTAAGTTTAAATAAAAAGTGTAAAATAAATAGTTTCTCTCTCTCCTTATTTATATATATATATATATATATATATATAAACTAAACCATATCTTAAGAAAGAGCCGCCAACGTTCCCCCCCCTTTTTTTGGCATTTCTGTTATTCCACCAGAAGAGATGAATTCAACATTTTTACTTATAAATATATATATGTTTATGATACAGTCTTTTATATTTGACTGGATTGAGTTACAATTATATGTAGGTATGGTCATATATATATATATATGAACTATGAGTACATTGATACTAATTTTGATTACAATTACGATGAAATGGTCACAGTATCATAGTATTATTGTTTTAATATGACGTACAACACGATAACCTCGCAACATGTACACATACAAATATTTTATATGAAATGTCATAGTATAATTAGGTATGTATGAAATACGCGTCGCGTGAAAATAACACGTCTACCCTTTTAATGCGAAAAAAAAATTGGTGAAGGATGGAGAGAGGATTAAGTAATAATAATAATAATAATTAATTGTTGGTGGGTCCTTTTATTGTAATGAACTACGTGTAAACTATCCTACTTTCTATTCACGTTTCATATTATTTATATATATATACATATATATATATAAATTCAGTTTTATTCGTTAGTGTGTATCTTTTTTCACTATTTACTATTATCGTTATTATATTTTAGGTTATACTCAATTGATTGATATTTTGGATTCCTTTTATTTAAAATTTAATATTATCTATTTTCAATTTCCAATTATTATCAGTAACTCATACCATACTGTTATCAATTAATAATGTTGGGTCTACGTTATATTCAATTACTCCTGGTTTTAGTGTGTTCTATATTAGCTGCCGCTAAATCTGCTGTCGGATCTCGTACTTTAGTTGTCTTTGATGATAGAGTAGATGATTTATCAACCTATTCTGAATTTTTCAATTTATTAAAAGATCATGAATTTGATGTTACTACTTTAGAATTATCAGATAAATCAACAAAGATTAACTTATTTGAAAGAGACACCAGATTATATGATCATTTAATTCTATTCCCAGTGAAAGGTAAGCATTACTCTAAACAATTGGCCGCTAAAAAATTAATACGTTTCAATGAAGATGGTGGTAATGTCTTAGCTTTAACCGTTCCTCAAGTATCATCCGATCCAATACATTTATATCTAAATCAATTAGGTATTTATCCTTCTCCACGTACTCAATCATTACATGATTTATTCCAAGATTCAACTGATTTATTATTCTCTGTTGAACAATTAGAAAATGAAATTGTTTATTCTAATTCAAATGAAAAACAACAAGATTCTTTCAATTTTGGTGAATCTGTTTCTGCTGCTTTATTAGATAATCGTGAACAGATTGTTCCAATCTTACAAGCTTCCAAGACTTCTTTCACCAGTGGTAATAAATCTCGTGAAGCTAGTTGGACTGATGGTTCTCAAGGTTATGTCGTTGCTGGTTTCCAAAACTTAAAGAACGCTAGATCTACTTGGATTGGTTCTGTCCAATTCTTAAGTAACAAACATTTCAAACAAAATCAAGATTTAATTAATGAATTGATTAGTTGGACTCTGCAAGAAAAGGCTGTTATTAAAGCTACTGAAGTCAATCATAGACATTCTGGTGATAATCAAACCTCTTACGATGAATTACCTTACAAGGTCACCGATAACGTTACATACACTGTGTCATTAACTCAATGGGATGGTCAAAAATGGGTTCCATACGTTTCTGATGATGTTCAATTCGAATTAAGACAAATCGATCCATACTATCGTATCACTATGATTCCACAAGGTCCATCTCCACAAGATCCAACTTCTGAACTTTACTCTACAGGTTCTTTCAAATTACCAAACCGTCACGGTATGTTCACATTTGTTACCGACTACAAGAGATCTGGTCTTTCTTATGTTCATGAAGCTGATGTTAAGGCAATTCGTCATTTAGCTAACGATGAATATCCAAGATCTTACGAAATTTCAAACGCTTGGGTCTATTTGGCTTCTATTGCTACTGTGATCATTAGTTTCATTGCTTTTGTTCTCTTTTTCATTTCTACTCCAGCTTCTCTAAGTGAAGGTGTATCCACTGAAAAGAAGACAAACTAATTTAAAATTGATAATCTCATCATTTAATCCTGCCTCCTTTTTTCTTTTTATCTTCATATATTCCAAAATGTTTAGAAGGATAGAAATAATGAAAGAGGGGCCCTTTTGTGTATAAAGCAAATAGTTATATACAATGCACATAACTGTATAATTTTTAAGATAAAAAAAATAAAGAAATAAAGTAAAAAAACAATTCTTACTGAATTGAACTAGTCAATGCTGATATATAAATATATGCGTATATATATGTGAGTGTTTGTATCTATATGTTCATTGTTTATTAACGATGTTGGTCTCTATTGCTTCACAACTTGAATCTTGTTATCCTTTTTCCATTGTTCAAACCTAGATGCTGTCTTGACCAATTCAGCCTTTAGCTTACTAATAGTCTCTTGCAAATTGTCTCTCTTCACAGTTAGGATAGGCTTGGTGGTCACTACATCACTCTCAACTAATGCGCCACCTACCATACGGTAACATTTTCTATTATCATCAGTCTTTGATAAAGTATCAATCACTACTTCATGTTCTTCTAAATCATGACCTAACTCAATAATCTTACTCTGAAGTTCCTCCAGAGATTGCTTGTAATTGTTGTACGTTATTTGAAAGGATTCTATATATATATACGAAAATAATAAAAATCATGAGTTCTTGTTAGTAAAAAGGAAAGCAGTTTATACAGAAGCTTACCCTCAATTTATAGAAGGAATTCGAACGATAACATACCATTTACTCTATTCATTGTGTAGTATAATTGTGTTATGTATGTATATATTTGTGTTTGGCTCTCTCTCTCTCTCTCTCTCTCTCTCTCTCTCTCTCTCTCTTAGAACTATTATATACTACATTTTAACGTTACTTGCAATTGTTTCTTAAATCATAATTAAAATTGTACAGAACTTTCAGTTTCTTCCTTCAATTTTGTTGTACTTTTCGTTTTTTTCATTTTTCGTCTTTTTTCCATCTTCATCGAATTTTTCGCAGTGCAAAAAGCAAAATGTCACAATTCTATAGAATCAGTGCCAGTGAATTAATTAATTAATAAATAAAAAATAATCATGAGTTTATTGATTTTTCTTGGTTTGTGAAGTCACCTGTGGTGATTGGCGAGACCCTAAAATGTATAACAATGTCCCAAAAAATACAGTTGCAACCCCAACATAACTAGTATATGAAAGTATGTTTTTGTATATCACAACACTCAGTAAAAGACTTACGAACTTTCGTACTGTAAGAATCACAGATAACGTCAAGGCATTAGTGTGACTTGCAAGTATATTAACACCACGTATACATATATTCTGTGTAATTATATTAGAAAACAACAAGACGTGGCTCCGACCGACTTTAGAGCCAGATCTCGTCAATTGTCTATATCCTGTCATTATGTGATTACCATCTTTAATCATGAATATTGGTAACGACAAGAAATGTGTATAAAAGAGATTCTCTTGCCAGTGTTTTCCATATGTCTTATATGTCCATTCATTGTAAACTGAGAGTAGTGCGGATGAAATTGAAGAGATTACTAAGAGACATATACCAAGTAAAAATGTCGTATCGTATTCACTATTTGTCTTCATTGAAATGTCTTGTCTTGTTTTCCACCATGAGAGAATTGGCTCTAATGAAAATTCATGATCCTGATAGAGTGAAGTTATTATTGCCCCAATTGTTAAGAGACAGGCAGCGATGACTTGTAACCGTGAATATCTCTTCTTGTTAACCAGCCAACTAACAATCATGGTAATTACTGTACTAAAGCATCTAAACACAATATGCAAAGGAATCGATATTTTATACTTAAATACACTGTTATTGGTCGAAGAACTAGTATAAAACAGAATAACAGACCAGATGTAGACTTTCAATGGCACATTCAACGGTTTGAGTCTAACCATACCACTTTCGAATGAAACAAATCCTGGTAACAGCGTCAATGTAATAAATAGAAACTGTGTGAATGTCACTAATATACCTACATTTGAATTATTCTCTTTGATTAAATCTTCCAAAGTGAGTACATTGGCACAACAACCTCCAAAAACAAACACCAATCCATTCATCACCACCGCACTGCTAGCCATATTCTATGCATATAAGTATATATATATATATATATATTTTCTTGGATCGCCTTCACACCTGGATATACGTATTCTTATCCTTCAAATGTAATAATCATATCAACCTTTTAACTAAGTGCACTCTATCAATCTATTCTTTTAATTGACGAAATGATGATCTCCTCTAGAAAGTTCGTTGTCTTGCGAAGCAGGTAAAAACTCAACTCACCGCCGGTTTCCCTAAAAAACAAAATATTGGAAGTCCCATATATTTCAGTTGACATAAAACATTGGAACTCAAGACAATTGTTAGTTGATAAGAAAGGCGATATTATTATCCATTGATATACATCTGTACGATATTAATTGAATACTGGTACAATCTGGGCTTTTTTGATTTGAAAAGAATGAAGTTTGTAACGATAGAAGGGAGCACGTCTTATGATAAGTTGAAAGCGTTGCCACCTTTTGTCAAAAGCCAAAATGTACTACTAGAATCATTATTCACATCAGTTAAGACTGAATTAAGCCAAGTTTCCGAGGATATGCAGTCAGTTCATAAAATAATTGAGTCTGATATAAAAAGTGAAACTGAACAAATGACCAAACTGGATGAAAGACTGCGTGACTCTGCAAAGAAAATTAATCACATTTACATGAAAAACTTACGATTTCGAAACAAGTATGGGACTAGTACGCATGGTTCTAAAAGATTTCAGATGACAAAGGATAACGTCATAGAGTTAGAAGAGCGAATTGGACATATAAACAAGGTAAAAGATGAGATCTTAAATAAATTTATAGAAGTTGATAGGAAGTTAAGAAAGAACCAACGATTGTTGTTACCTGACTCGATTAATGAAAGACATTACCCAACACTTTTTACATTATTGAAGAAACAATATCCTACCCTGTTTGAATGTACACCAGAAGAAATAAAACAAGATAAAGGTGATACTAATTATATTGAAGCACTGGGTCGAATTGATCTTCATCGTGATGTGCCGAATTACCCACATCATGATATAGAAAGAGAACATAGCGACATACCGAATATTTCTACAGAAAGTAATACTAATTATAATAGTTGCATTGGTGATACAGAACCAAAAAATGATAATATTATGGCATATACAGATCTAGGGGATATAGACATTCCTGATGTTAAGTCAAATGATATCACGAATAAGAATGATTCTATATTGGATAATACTATTTCTAGTAAGGAATCTAGTACTTCAATGTTGACAGTCAAAGATAGGGATAGAATTAAAGTATCCCTTTCAAATCCATTCGTTTTAGGCTCGTTTAAGAAACCTAGTTCGGCAAAAACATTAACAACGACGAAAAACATCAGCGCCTCAGACATTACTAGTGCTCATCTTTCAAATCAGGATTCGAAAAACGTTCAGTTTAGTATCTAAGAAGTTATTGCTTCAAAGTTATTCTACTTTTTTATTAAAATACACAAGTAATACTTATGTAACATATGCATTTCAGTTATTCATACTTCCTAGATTCAAAAAATCAGAATCTTGCTGGATGTTTTTGATCTAACACCTTTTGTATTACATCATGAAATATTGAATGTATAGATGACTCACTGTATGACTCAGAGAGGGTCTTTTCGGTATTCTTTTGATTCTCTATCATGTCAACAAATTGTGGATCAATTGGAATATTCCCTAAATATGGGACAGAAAATTCATCAGCAAGAGCCTTACCACCACCACTTGAAAAGATATTAGTACACTCAGCACAATGTGGACAGATAAATCCAGACATGTTCTCCACAATTCCAATAATCTTCAGGTCGATCTTCTTACAGAAATTCAGTTCTTTCTTTACATCTGCCGTAGCAACACCCTGAGGAGTAGTCACTACAATAGCACCATCAGGACCAGAAAATCTTAGTTGTTCAGCAATAGATATATGCTCATCTGAAGTACCAGGAGGTGTGTCAATCAAAAGATAATCCAGCTCTCCCCACGCAACATCTTTAACAAATTGTTTAATCATGGCAGTCTTCTTTGGACCTTTCCAAACTACACTGTTACCTCTACCACCTAGAAGAAACCCAATAGATATGACACATAAGGAACCTTCATTATTTGTTTCTACAGCAACTGGTCTCCACCCGTTACTATCCTGGTAAATGGATTTATCTTCAAGACCAAACATTCTAGGGAGAGAAGGTCCTGTTAGATCGATATCCAGTACACCGACTTTGTATCCCATCTCACATAATGATAGTGCAGTTTGGGTAGTTACAGAACTTTTTCCTACACCCCCTTTACCAGATAAAATAAGGATAATGTGCTTGATTTGCGCAAGCGATGGAGCTGGACCTTCATCTTGTTCTTCTTCAAACTCACTCATTGTACTTATTGCTTATTTATCTCTCTATTGAAAATGAGAGTCGACAATCGAGTGTTTACCTCTAATATGCTATCTCTTTTGATTGAATTCGAGAATAAATAAATATATAAATGTCTTAAATTAACTCTGCATTCTTCAAATTCGAGTTTAATAAGAATCTGATTATTAATCAAATTTTTATGCAAAGTCATCGCACCTTTTCCTTATTAAACTTCTAAAATGGAAAAGAAAAAAAAGTGTGTAACCTAAGCCATTCTTGGGAAACCGCTCCGAGAATTTGCTTAGTACAAAAAAAGCTTAGAATGCGGCAGTAGAATACGCAGTTCCCATCATTCAAAGCTAAGAAATGCTGCTGTTCATCACATCTGAACAGCAGATTAATGTAGTATATATCCATGATTAATATGTAATGTGTTATTTTTTCTTTATGCTTAGCATCTACTGGTACATTTTATATATTACTACAGACAATTATTTTTACAGAATCTGATACTATTGTTTAACATCCAGGCTTTCTCTTCTAAGGTTCACTCATGTAACAATTTATCTTGAAAGGCTGCTTTATGTAATACCAATATCTGAACCTCAGAGAAAGTAGATTGGGTATATCAACCTATACAATCATTTTTATACAGTAGTGCGAATTTGAATGTTGTTGTTATTGTTTTAGCATTGAAATATTTAGCGAGCACCATGATTCATGTTTGATGAAGGAGGTACGTTATTGTTAGGATTACTCTCCATATTGCTGTTCTGCATATTTGGGGCTCCCGTCGATGTTGGATTTATGGATGAACCCATTATATGGCCATTTGTTCCATTCGCTGAGCCGTTGACCGTTTCCGAAGATCCCCTACTAGTCATATTGGAAGCTGCATAGGGCATATTTGGGTACATATATGCTACATTTGGTGCTGTCCCTGGAACTTGGTGTTGATATTGCGGTAAGGATTGGGACTGATATTGATACATTTGCGGTACTGCCTGATTATGTGGCGTATTAGTATAACCCGCATGGTTTCCACCATTCGTTGGGTATGGCATCTGTTGTGATTGCACATACTGTTGTTGTTGTTGTTGTTGTTGTTGCTGTTGTTGTTGAATAGAGTGATTCTGTTGGTTATGCATTTGACCTTGTTGTACAGGAATAGAATTATATCCATTTCCCATTCCAGCATTACCGACAGGTCCGTTTGCTTTTCCAGCCATGTTCATCGAAGGTGTAACCACTGCTGAATTGTTCTCACTTGGGGCGGCAGCACCATGACCAGATTTCCCAAAAGCAGAGTTACCACTATAATATGACATATTCACATTTACAGGATATACAGGATAAGGACCCGTATTATACGTGATGGAAGATAAATTATTTGCATTATTCGTGTTATTTTGCTCGTTCTGTGCATAATATGATGACAAGACACTTCCTGAATTTCCACCAGGTGCAGAGCTATCTGAATATCCTTGGTTATTGAACGGTGTACTTGAAATATAATAGGGATAAGAGTTAACGCCAGGTACATTTCCCTGATGTTGCGTTCCCTGCCCTTGTTGAGATTTCTGTGGATGTGTTTGAGATTGGAAGGATTGTGTTGCCTGTTGTTGCTGCTGCTGTGACAGTTGCGATTGTTGAGGTGGAGGAGGTTGGGTTTGTTGCTGTTGCGGTTGTGAAGGTGGATAATCTGAATTCATATACGACATTGAGTTTTGGTAAGGGTATGAACCATTCATGACTTGCCCATTTCCATTTGGCATATTTCCTTGTTGAACATAGTACCTATTGTTTTGTGGATTAGGTGATTGTGGAATATATGGATTCATTGTATGTAATAATGTTGAAGATGAAGTTGTTGAATAATCCTCATTTTTCACAAGTGGATTTCTACCATTTTGATTGCTCTTTAGAGTATTACCATTTAATGGGCCAGTCTCAACACCTTGATGACCGTATGGGTTTAAGTGGTTTTGATTACTGCCCGCAGTGTTTATATTAACCATTTCCATATTACCCATTGGTGTACTTGAAGGCGTAAGAGATGCATTTTTATTATGTCCCTTCGTATTGCCTAGTGTAGTATTTTCCATTGCCGTCACTAACTCTAAGGAAGGTCTAACATTTCTAAAGAAAAGAGAGTCCTTTGGGGTTATTAATCTATTTTGTTTAACATCCTCTGTGGTGTAATAAGAAACTATATGAAAATTCTCATAATAATTGTAAGGGTGACGTTTCAAAGTCACTGAAATTGTCTTTTTAACTAACCCAGTAAATTTTAAAGGATGAACAGACCTCAATGAAGACGTTGGTGAATTACTATCACTCTTTGAAGACGATGTATTATCACTTGAATCTTGACCAACAGTAGCTTTCACTAAAGGTGGTAATTTTATTGTTGAGCTAGTTTTTCTTCTTGCAATTGATGATGGATTATCCTTATCTAATTCTTTGTATATTAAAAACTTATTCGCAATTCTTGACGGCGACCACGAAACACCATCTGTCCATCTCTTGATCCCTGATATTTCCTCGATAAATACGAATATATTACCAGATACAATCAAGTAGGGTCTCTCAATTTCGTATGGTCTCCTAGGAATATGCTTTAATTTTCCATCTAAAGTAGCTTGGAGTATTAGAAGTGCATCATTTTCATCTTCAATGTAACCCTTGAACGTTGGTTCGATATCCATTTAGAGAAAATATATATTAGGTATAGTTAAAATATGTTGTGTGGATGCAAAATGAATTGTTAAAATGAGAGTAGAGAAAAAAGGATTTACTATCCTATTTTTCTTGTTTATCTTTTAAAAATTGGGTGAAATGTCTCGGAATGATTTGAAACGAAGTAATAAAAACTGTGTATAATCTTCCGTTCAACAAGGGTTTAAAAGAAAAGGTTTACTAAAGTGATGAAGAAGAATTTAAAAAGAATGTATAACGCTAAAATTCTCTTCTTTGCCTATCCTTTGGTTTGCTTTGTTTTGTTTTGTTTTGTTCTCGTATTTCTTAATAATTTTTTTATTTTTTTTTTCGTCCTTTCCTCTTGCCCTGGTGGAGTTAGAAAATTCTAGCTTTGACAATGTGTGGGATCTCAGGGCCAAAAAAAAATTTGGTAATATTGAAATAAAAGGATAGAGAAAAAGGTCTAGAAATACAATTGTAATAACTAATTTTCTATTGGAGATTAGCTTAGACTGTAGTTACTGTTATACCTCTTAGTTATTGTCTTTTGTTTACTTAACTCACTGCTTAAAGTATGAAGGAGTAACTTTTCTTGTTTCTTCTGTGTGATTTAAAAAAAAAAAGAAGGGGAATGATATGCAAAGAATGCGGCTAATTGACAGTGGTTAACTATAAATATGAACAAATTAAGGAAATTATAACTTGACAATGCTTCAAACAAACCTTTTTAGTTAATTATTAAGTAGAAATTTTTGTTTTCAGTAAGAAATTGTCTTTCTGTTTTTTCTGAAATTCGTTCCTCGAAGTTATAATAGTTAAGGGAAGCCAGACGGAGAAAAAAAATATAATATTTTCCACGGAATTTATGTTATTAAAGGGCAGTCTCTACTCAGTTACTAACTTTATGACAGCAAAAAAAATTATATATATAAGCAAATAATATAAGTTTATTAGATGCAAATTTTTCTTCCTACGGTTGCTTGCTTGATTATCTTAGTTCTTAAAATGTTTAGTTTTAAATCGTTAATCTCAACTTAAAGTAAAAAAAATGTGATCAGTTCCTTGTTTAGCTATATATATGTACAATTGTTCAGTATCTATTAGTTCCTACTTTTCTATGATTCTTGAACTTAATAATAACTATAAACAAAAAGAAAAGAAGATACTTATTAGATGTTGTCTATAATTCGTTTAGTTACGATTTGTTGAACAAAGTGGTGAGAAAAAGATGTCAGAAGTTATCTTAATGTGCGGATAGAAAAAAAATTTAATGATAAACAACCTGGGAATCAAACTTGAATTAAATGACTATTTAGGAAAAGATTAAAATTAGTATGATTATCTATGTGCTTGATCTGATCAGTCTTGCTATTTTTTTTTTTTTGATATTATTTGAGTTGAGCCTAATGTCCTTTCAACAGATGAATGCTATGAATGTTAAGACAATTAAAGTTCGAACAAAACCTAGATAAAATAATGTATAAAGAAAAACAAAAAAAAAAGAAGAATATTGAGTTGGTCTTATCTGTTAGATATGTATGTATATCAACTTATTATAAAACAAAATAAATTAAAAGATAATTAAAATAATAAAAAGAAGTATATAACAAAAACTAAGAAAGGGTCTGGTAAGAGATAAATACAGAAAGAAGAGAATTAATACGTGATTTGCGCTTTTAAATATATATATATATATATATGGATAGGCAGATATATAGTTTACAATATCTCTCGTTGTACTTTGTTTACCAATATATATATATAAATATATAATATCTTCATTAATATATTCAGACATCTGTGATAATATAAAGTCCCTATGTATATGTGTATTAGATGTGCAAAATACTAGGTTTCTGTTTTTGCATAAGAAACTCGAAATGGCGAACAATGAAGGGTACAACTAACTTTACTACCGTTTTCGTTATGTACGTTTTGAACCATGCAGATGTAGATGTATAATATGGTTGCAATTATTGTTATTTTATGTTACTTTATTCTTCATTGCTTTCTCTGTTTGTTCATTTGTTCTCTTACTCTCTCTGGGCTCTGTCAGTAAATATTCTTATTTGTACACGTTTTTCTTTTCTCCTTTATAATTTGTTTGCTCTCTTTAAAAAAAACAATTTTATTTTCTCTGTGTACCTTTCTCTATCTCTTTCTCTTTCACTTTTCAGCTAAATATTTTATTTTTCTTGTTTTTTGTTGTTTTTTTCTCGAAACTGAAAAAGGACCGTCCTTGTATAAATCTAATCTGCCTACCTTCACTTCTATCTAATGCTTTTTCTGAGGAAATGGGGGGTGTTCGAAGCACTGAAAGACCTTTCTGCTACTATTTCTAGTTCCTTGCTAGAGAGAGAGCCAGAGAGTTTGTATCGTGTGGAAAATCTTTAGACCTGTCAGAAAGCAAATTATTAACATTTTTCATAAAGTAGTTAAAAGAGCTAGTAATTTGCTTTCTTCTCTACACCGTTTCTGAGTTTGTTTTTACTGTCAGTCAAAACATACAAAGTGGAATAGAACTTACATATGGGGAGAGGGAGAGAGATTGAGGAGAGACTTAACGTTTGGTTATCTTCTTCACTCAAAACCTAAACTCGCTACAATGATCTGAGCCCAAAAAATAATTAAAAAAAAAAATAAAAAAATAAAAAAATTTAAAGCCAAATGTTACTTAGTTTTTTCTTTTTTCTACATCGTTCTTCTGTGGCTTCTTTCTCTAAATTTTGTAATTTGTTTTTCTTATTCATTGTTAGTGGTTCATCTTTCTTGGTAATGTTACAGTTCGAAGAATCGATCGGACAGATTAGTTATTGTAACATGCTAAATTAACAGAACGACTAAGTAAATAGAATATAAAATTTTAGCATTCCCAGGAGGAAATGATAACATAAACTGAGAGTTTTTTCGAAAGTGTTTTCTTTTTGTCTTTCTTGCATTACTTGTTTCTTCTATTTCTTCTCTCTCTCTCTCTCCCCCCTTCTCCTTAGATACTTTTTCAATTAAAATAAAATAAAATAGAAAGTAAAAATATTATTTATACTCTCAAGGACTATGACATTTTCCTCTGCTTATTTACAGTATTATTATATTCTTTTACAATTTTTTACTCCCGTGGGGGAACTGTTCTTTATTAAACTTAGTATTAATCAAAGGAGAATAAAATAAGAAATATTAAAAAAAAAAACTTATGTGACTTACTAGAATTTTGACAACTCAAATTGTTATTTCCCCTTTGTGAGCATTCCTAAAAGAAAAATAACCGTACAGATCATTAATTCTAATACCCTTCAATTTTTGCCTCTTTCTTTTCGTTTCTTTTATTTCCCACATGCATTAAAAGTCATTAGCTCTCTATAAGCTATCCCTATATATCCATCCACCCATATAAATAAATATTTATCTCACTTATACCCACTTCTTCTTTCTCTATCACATATGAATTAACTTCAATGAAAATAATAAATTGAATAGAGAAGAGTGAGAGTTTAAATAAATGTTGGAAATGTTCAGTAATCCGTTATTATTATCGGTCCATATTTACTTTGTACTGTTTTTACTTTTCCTTTCCCCTTAGATCTATACATGTCTTGCTATTTCATCGATGTCTTTTACCTGTATTATAATGAAAATATATGTATAAGAATAATTACTGAAAATATGTATATGAGAAATGTACAAAATGAGGAGCGAACAAAAAAAAAGGACTCTATTGTGATTACATATTAAATTACAATATAAACTTTCTTATCAAATTGTATTATGAAAAGAAAGTTTAAATTGTATTTTTTATTTTCCTTATTTTATAATGTTGACACTCAAAGATAATTACGCAGACAAATACTTAAAACGTTTCCGATAAGTAATATAATAATGATAAAAATTTAATATGTGTAAATACTGTTTAATTGTTTTGTTTTGTCGCAAAAAAAAATAAAATAAAATAAACAATAGAATTTTATTTTGGTAATTTGGGAAACTACGACAGTGAAAAAGAAATAAAAAACCGATTGACCCAAAAGAAATCTCCGGAGACATACAGAGAGACTAAAAGAAAAATTGGTCTTCTTATTATTATTATTTAGTTTATCATAGCATTTCGTAATAGTAAATCCTTTTGTCTCGAAAAAGACTCGATCCTGGGGGTCCTTCTAAACATTTTTGCTGTATAATAATTTGTTCAGTACATCCTCTTGAAACATTAATATATTTTATGGAAAGAAGTGAAAGGGTCAAAAAAAATCTATATACGGTATATACATCTGTAACTTTTTAGAATAAAATTCCGCATATATATTGTTTATCTAATAATACCTCGTACCTTTCTATTATTTGTAAATTTTCAATTTAAGAAAGTTCAATTCTTTAAGAAATTCTTTGAAATTTTCTTATTTGCTTGTGTTTGTCATTTTGCTCTTCTCTTTATTCATGAAAAACCACTAAATGACTGCACAACAAGTCTATTTATCAAATTTATAGAAGTGCTACTTCTTCACAGTGTAACTTTTGTCTTACTTCATTTTCGCATCCATTCATATAATAAATTAGCTGAATTTTGTTCTTGGTTTATGTTTCATGCAGTTTTTTTGTTTTAGAGTTAACCATTCAGTCTTAATTTGGATTTAAAATTTTATCAGTAGTAAAAATTTGGCTCAACATATAATTTTTGTTGCGGCTTCTCATTAGCCAGTGTAGCTGTGAATGGTTGAGCCAACGCCTTTTTTCATTTTTAGCAATTATTTAATGACAATAGCTGACGCGTATTAAGAATAAATTAATAGTTAAAAGATATTAATAAATTTTACTAAATAAATTACAAAGAAATAAACTGGACAAAAATACAACATCTTGTGGATAAGATAAAGTTGCAATTATTATTACTATCATTATTCGTAAATGAGTACGAGTGAAATGGATTTGAGGTTTCAGCTTTACTTTTCCTTCGTATTTTTCTCTAAATATATATCTAACTAACAAAACCTTTCCATCTGCCTTACCTGTCTCCTATGTATCACCCTTTTCTCTCTCAATTGTTTCTAAGAATGAAATTTTAAAACGAAACTTTTTTTGTCATCCCATAATAAGTTAAAACTAAAAAGAAAGAAAGTAAAAATGACACACATTGATCACATATGTAAATAGTAGAGAGAATATGATTACTCCGAACAACCTTTATGGATGAAAGTAATAAAAAAAATTCACAAGCAAGTTGATAGTATATAGGGACAGAATGTCGACTTGTCATATAGATTCTATTTACTGAAAAGTATAAAAAATCTTTAAGATGTATATCGAAATGAGGCTCACATTGATAAATATTTAGATACGTACCTATATGTATAACTATTCATTTATAAATAAGTCTGTTTGGATTATTAACTCCATGTACTAATCTTTACCCTATCTTAGGGAGGTTTACAGTTTGTATTTTAAATTGAAAGTGACTCAAGGAAATTTTAATCGATTATAAAACAAACGATTATACTTTTGTTTGTTAGTCCAAGTGAAACTGCACTCTCTTGTTGGATTTTACCTTATTCTTCCGGTTAAATAAGGACTTCACTCAAATAGCTGAAAATATTACCGGTATCAGTTTGAGGGGGTCCTTCAGGAAGCGACAAGATTAACTACATAAAAGAGTAGTATTTTTAGCCAAATGTCACCATTCTTAATAATTTTGTAATACATTAACTTTCTTTTCATACCTTTTTTTCATCCTATTAAATGAGACTTCTCTATTGAATATCCTACTAGTAAGGATTCATCAAAGTTACCTTCAGTTCTGTTGAAGTATTAACCGGATTACTCCCTTCCTGATAGGGTAAGATTTGTCTCATTATAATGTTATACAATCCAAAAATAAGGTTTAACTTAACTGTATGGTTAAAACGCTGAAATACTTCCACAAGCGAGAGTATTTCTCCGTGGATAAACAATAATACAAGAGTATAAGACATAAAACTATGTATTCTTATATATTTCTATAAAGGATGTGCTTCCCATAAATAATAGAGACGCGTCATCTTAAAGTTTGGCAGACATCTACTTTTGGTAAATTTTTGACCATAAAGGTCATATATGTTCAAAGACTTTCAACATTATGTCATTCACATTATTGTCACTAAGTCATGAACCTTAATTTTTTATCGTTGCGAACTTTATTATGAATTGATCAATTGTTATCGTCAGTTGTGGTTGTTTTTTAAAAAAGAAAATGTTAACAATAGCCTTTGTTTTATACTTTTTTTAAAGGGTGTAATTTTAAAAAAACTGTATTACCCCTCCTTCAGCACTCACCTTCTCGTATTTTGGTATATTTGTCTTTTGAATAGGGAGGAAAGTTTAATTTAAGAAAAAGGTATTAACTTGATATACCTACGGCTATAGTTATTAAAAACGTATCGCAGATTAAATAATAGATAAGATTACTTAATACCTCTCGTGGGTTCCTATGACGATTCAATAAATGTTAAACCATATGAAATTTTCCATTATGTCACATAATTATCCTGTCCATAAAAAATGAATACATAGAATTATTGATAACGTTTTTTTGTTTCTTATTATATATTATGTTAGGGCGTCCTTACGTTATTAGAATAGGTGAGTAATCTGATAAAAAATAAAACAAACTGAATTCACCAACATAGAAACTTCGTTAGTATAGCTCCGTAATATTATTTTTAAATTTAATTTGAATAGCTTTAGTGTTGAGAAAGTTATCTCTTCTTGCTCTTAAGCTAAATTTTAACCTTATTTTTTTATTCGTTTTGTCAAATAATGTTTTATTCACATATTAGAAAAAATCAATCTCATTTGATTTGTTGATTTGATGCTCATAATTTTGATAATAAAGAAAACCGAATAATAAAGGGAGGTAACTACAGTCCACTATTTTAATTTTCGTTGATCATTGACGACATCTGTTTCTTATATAATTGTCTTTTTTTTTTTGTTTAGTAATATTTATTAATATTTCAATCTGGTGCTGTCAATATGTCACATAAACTCTAGTATTGAAAAATAAAAAATAAAATTCATCAAAGACCCCCCATAAATTGTTTAACTATACTATTATTAACAGAATTACGTGTATTGTATTTTTTTGTTCAGACTATTAAAGTGAATAATAAATACAGCACAGAGATATTATCATCTGAATTAAAAAAAGATTGGTTGAAGATGTAACTTTCTTTAAAATATAATATTCAAAAATACTAAATATAGAGCATAAATATTCTATTTTGAACGTTGTTTTAGTTTATACGCCATCTCTTTTAACTTGTTTCATCTCATAAAACTGTACTAATTTTATTTTTAATAAAATTATTCTCGAGTGTAGGTACTACTTAAAACAAGAAAAAAGAAAATGACATGTTTCTTATAGTAAAGAATTAACTGTTAATTACAACCCCCCCAATGCGAGCTCCTTAAGTAGGGATTATTAATAAAATGCGTCTCCTACAATAGCATCATAGATAAAGTTATTTTAGTTTACGAACTTCATAATATTCTCAGATGCTCTTCACAGATATCTTGTGTGTAATTATCTGTTACAGCGCATATGGGTAATTCTTAAACAACATTTATCAAATCTACATTTTTGCTCTCTGTTTGAAATGATTTTTTTTTATTGGATCTTTCTCAGATCGATGTTGGAACTTTGTAAAAGATCAAGTTCGGAATTCTATAAGGACTAAAGGCCAGTCCTATGCAAATTATCAGATTTCACAGGGTAGGTTTTAGGCAACATTTAATTTCCTGAGTTTTGGTATCTACAAAGTAATATTTTGAATCTTACCGGGGTGCTGTGTCACCTCACTGATGAAATAGTAGCAATCTAAAATTTTTACTGTCAGAGTAGAATGGTCAAATGGCAACCTCTTACATATACTATTGAGTGTTAAGAATTGTACTCAATTAATTCATTTTCGATTTATCTTATTAGAAATTAAAGGTGAGATGTTAAAACTTCTGTTCGAACGTTACTGCTCCTATACGAGAATACCTCATTTAGTTGCACATAGAAAAATAAAAAAGACACAGTATCCAGTAAGGCAATATCTAAACTTGTGGCATTAATTATAGTAAAACATAATAGTTTCCATGTTATAAAAATATATATTCAAATTTTGTTATATGCTTTAGTTCTATGTCACAATGTATAAGTTACATAACAAATTTATGTCCCAAACCTATACTTTTGTAATTTTTCGCTCCTTCAAAAAATTTCAAATAAAATTATGAAAATATATAAATATAACATATTAAGCACGTGATAGTAAAAGAATAAAAATATAATAATAATAAAATATAAAAAGTCAAATTGTATACGGTTACCGAAACTCAGAAAGTAACAATTCAAAAATACTATTAAGCATGTAGCTGAGCAATCTGTGTCAGTGATTCTTTAAAACATTATAAGATATATGTTAACTATTAGTCCACGTTAATAAGTGAGGAAAGAGTAAAATGTTTTGGGGTTCCCAACTACTGAAGATATATTGTTCGTCACAGATTATAAAACTATTTTTGATTTACGATAAGGTATTTGTTTTAAGTTAAAACGGCAAAGAATTTTTGTAAATTTAAGTTGCGTAATCACCCTTTCTAAATATTTGACTGCTAATTGGACAGTACTTTTGACTGGGAAGGACATTGAGAGATATCCTTCGCTTTTCGTTTTGATTGCATGAATCTCATTGTAATTGAGCTGATAGCTACAACAAAATATACATTTTGGTACTTTAAAGAGTCCAATTGTTGATTTGAGCAACAAGTTGATATGTTATATACATGAAAATTGTTCGTAAAAATATCAATTTTCAATTTGAAGTTGCATACATAAATTTTTTAGTTTAAGTAACACGTACAATAGATATTAGTATGAGATAAAAATAAGTTCGTGAAAACCTCTGTGTATTGAATATTAATATTTATCCTGTTCTAGTTACTATATAAACAATAAATCAATGTAAAGACTCTATGACCAAAAAAACTACAGTTGTCGAAGACGGTCTTGTATGAATGGAAATAAAAACAAGATTTTATGGGGATATAGTTTGCATTGGCAAGAAAGTTAGAGTTTCATCACGAATTACTATGGTAACTTTTTTATGATTTAATTTATCTCATCCTAGTATAAAGTGGAAGGAAAAATTAAAATTTGTTCCGCGACCCTAAGTAAACCCGGGAGCTAACACTCTTTATAAATAAAAGATTACATGAAAGAATATTAAAGAGAAGTAGATAGCAACAAGGTTAAAGACTAGCAACAATGATAACAGGAGGGAATGAACAAGAATGTTATGGGATCGTTATAGATGCAGGTTCATCTGGGTCGAGACTGCATGTATTTAAATGGACTGATCCGGCTACAATTGATGTGACAAAACATGATCCACAAGAATTACATTCGGTACCAAAGATAGAACAGTCTAAAGAATGGACATTTAAATCAAATCCTGGGCTATCAAGTTTTGAGCATAAAACAAATAAGGCGTTCTCAGATCATATTAATCCATTATTGAAGGAAGCAGAGAAGATTATCCCCAATGACAAATTAAGTAGTACACCTGTATTTATTCAGGCAACTGCTGGTATGCGGTTACTACCTAAGAAGAACAGAGATGAAATCCTGGAGGATCTTTGCACGAAAATTAAGAAATCTACGAGATTTAAGATGGACAATTGTGAGACCCAAATTCAAATCATTGATGGGGAGACTGAGGGTATATATGGTTGGCTTGGTTTAAACTATTTACTGGGCAACTTTAATAACTACAATGGTTACGATAACAGCCATTTTACAATGGGTTTTATGGATATGGGAGGTGCATCTGCTCAGATTGCATTTGTTCCAAGTGATAAAGAAGAAATTATCAAATATAAACATGAAATCCCAACTGTCTATCTCCGGAGTCTGAATGGAGACGTCCAAGAATGGGATGTATTTGTTAGTACATGGTTAGGATTTGGAGCTAATCAGGCAAGAAAGAGATATTTGGCCCAACTAATCAATGCATTGCCAGAAAATACTAACAATTATGACGACGACGACTTTACTACGCGTTCAATATCAGATCCGTGTATGCCAAATGGAAGTAAGACTGAATTTGAATTTAAGGATACGAAGTTTAAAGTCGTTGGGTTAGGTAATTTCGAACAATGTTCAAAATCTATATATCCGTTATTACTGAAGAATATACCATGTCCAGAAGAACGTTGTCTATTCAATGGGGTCCATATTCCCAAGATTAATTTTCTAAAAGATAAGTTTGTGGGGATATCAGAATTTTGGTACACCCCCAATGATGTTTTTAACCTTGGAGGTGAGTACAGCTTTAGTAAATTTAGTGCAAAGGTCGAAGAGTTTTGCAATACCGACTGGGAAACCATTAAACATAACAACGAGGATGGGAAATATAATTTAATGCCAGAAAAATTTCTACAGGATGCATGTTTTAAAAGCAACTGGATTATAAACATTTTACATGAGGGTTTCGAACTTCCACAGGAGGATCATAGTAGACTAGATACATCTAAGGGTATATATGATTATCCTATGTTTCAAAGTTTAGACAAAGTTGTAGAAACAGACTTATCTTGGACTTTGGGTAGAATTCTACTATACGCGTGTGGTATGGTGCCTGCCGTTGAGAGCAATTTGAAAGTAGGTATTGCTCCAAGTGCAAGAAGTGCAAAGGATGATAACAAAGTATTTATTCCAGGTCTTATCGGTGATGGGTCTAAAGTAGGTAATACTTCTCCCGGGTTCCTTAAGTTTCTACTAATATTGATCTTAATAGGACTTATAGTATACACCATCATAGGAAGAAAACTTTCTCATTTCCCGTTCAGCTACTCTTCAGTTAGCCAAATAGGGGCTCATATAAGATACAAACTTTCAGAACTCAAATCAAAATATGAAACCTTTCGTACTTCAAGTTCAATTTCTGATTTAGAAGCTGGTGAATTAGGGAGAAGTAGGTTTAGGGAAGCGAAAGAACCATCATTCATGTTGAAAAGTAAAAGCATGTTTAACCTTAATACAAACAAGCAGAGCTCTGTTATTTCATATGAAGATGGGGAAGATACCGTTGGAAGACCATTATCACAAGGTCTCCAGTCATCCCAATCTTCAGCTAATATGAGACCTGCATTTTCAATGGCTGATTTCTCAAAATTCCAAAACCAATAGTTGGTGAGGTAGCTACAAATTACAATTACATTTACTGTTACTTTATTAACATGATACACACTAATTATATATATAACTTTGATTTTATATGTAGGGTGGAACCGATACTCTAGTATTAATATCAGTACTAATATAGATTTCTTATGAATATATATATACATATATCTTTCGCCGTGTAAGAAATATCATGAAATCTATTTAATAGAAATTTTTTTTCAGGTTAGACGGGTAACAGTTGTTCAAGCGAAAATTTTCAGAGTACGGAAAAAAAAAATTTAGAATTGTCGGATTGCGATGAGATGAGCATTGCAATAATAATAAATCAATGAGTTATTGGGAATCTATAACATTAACTATATAAAGAATTCACTCCACTTTTGTTTGTTCTGCACCTTCTGACCATCAAACAAAACTATCCAGCTATCACCAGTTTCTAAAGTAATTTCATAATGAGAGTTAGAAAGCGTACATCAAAGAGAACTTCTACTCGTATGAGAGAAGGAATCAAAAAGAAGGCCACAGCTCACAGAAGAAAAGAAAGAAAGTTTGCAAAGACCGATGTTACCTGGAAATCTAAACATAAGAAGGACCCTGGTATTCCAGCAAGTTTCCCATACAAGCATAAAATTTTAGAAGAAATCGAGGCTAAGAAACAAAGAGATCTTGAAGAAAGAAGGCTTGCCAGAGAAGAGAAGCAAAGAGCAAGAGAACAAGCTCTTGCTCTGGGCGAAGAAGTCATGGATGAAGATGATATGGATGAAGGCGATGGAGAGTCTGGATTAGCTGCATTAGCCGACTTTGCTCAACAAGCTGCTGCCGATTTTGATGGCACTTCTGAAGGTACCGGTAATACAAACGACCAAGTCCAGTATGAAAGCAGAGATCTTGATATCAACTTTTATGATGATGAAGATGAAGGCGATTCCGAATTAGAACAATCCAGAAAAGCATATGACAAGATATTTAAGACAGTCGTTGATGCTTCAGATGTCATCCTATATGTTCTAGATGCTAGGGATCCAGAAGGGACAAGATCAAGAAAGATTGAGCAAGCAGTCCTACAAAGTCAAGGTAAGCGTCTAATACTTATTTTAAACAAGGTAGATTTGGTTCCACCACATGTTTTAGAACAATGGTTGAATGTACTAAAGTCTAGTTTCCCAACAATTCCAATCAGAGCTGCTCCAGGTGCCACGAATTCAACCTCTTTCAACAAGAAATTAACACAATCCGTAACAGCCAACGCTCTATTGGAGGCCCTAAAGACATATTCTAACAACTCCAATCTGAAGAGATCAATTGTTGTAGGTGTAATCGGTTACCCAAATGTAGGTAAATCTTCTATTATAAATGCTATTACTTCTCGTCGTGGGGGCCCATCGAAGGTTTGCCCAACAGGTAACCAACCTGGTGTTACCACCGCCTTGAGGGAAATCAAAATCGATAGTAAATTGAAGATTCTTGATTCCCCTGGTATTTGTTTCCCTGGTGAGACCAAAGCTAAATCAAAGGTCGAACAAGAAGCAGAGTTAGCACTTTTAAGTGCTCTTCCACCAAAATTTATATTGGATCCATATCCAGCTATCTTAATGTTGGTCAAGAGATTGTCGAAGTCTGACGAAATGACTGAGAGCTTTAAGAAATTGTACGACATCCCACCTATTCCTGCTAATGATGCGGACACCTTCACCAAACATTTCTTAATTCATATCGCACGTAAGAGAGGTAGACTAGGAAAGGGTGGTATCCCAAACTTGGCTAGCGCAGGGTTATCAGTATTAAACGACTGGAGGGACGGTAAGATTCTCGGTTGGGTTCTACCAAATGCCTCAAAGGAAACAGCAGATGCTTCGCAATCGGCCGTGTCCAGCAGTATCAATACCGGTACCAAGAATGAACCCTCCAAAACTGAACAAACCACCATCGTTTCCGAGTGGTCTAAAGAATTTGATTTGGATGGCCTATTTGGATCTTTGGATGCTGCAATCGGTGCAGCCAACGACCAGGATGCTGACATGGCCTGATTGAAACAGGTTGATACAATCATATAGGGTTTTATATTCTACCAATACATAAAATGTACATTAAGAAAATAATATAAATAATTTAAATATAACCGCATCCTTTTTCCATTTTAATACAAGTGCATACAGTTTAAGCTCATCTCACGCATTATTTTCTGGGTGTTTTTTTTTTTTCAAATTACATACATTGAGGAAATACATAATAAAAGGAATCCACAGTTTATAACTAGGATAGAGTAGCAAGGGTACAATTTGAAGAGGGAAGCTACTGATATAGACGTATTATAACTTCTGGAAGATAATGTTATGGAGAAGTATCATATTGGTGATAGATTGCAGATAGGTGATGATATTTGTACTGTTAGATATATTGGCAGGATCAATGTGTGGCAAAATGAGCTGGCATTTGGTGTTGAGTGGGATGACCCAAAAAGAGGGAAACATTCAGGTACTTTAAATGGACATAAGTATTTTGAAACAGTTAAACAGAATACTGGGTCTTTTATTAAGCTATCCAAAGTGGAAAGAGCAGTACGTAGGGGATTTATTGAAGCTGTTCGTGATATATATGGAACACCAACAGATGTCGATTACTCGCTTCGAATAAACTCTAAGAATATCGAATACGTAGGATTCGATGTATTGAATAGTAGAAATAAAGAGATCAACTCCTTGGAAACTATTTCCTTAGAAAGGAAGTCAATATTCTGTCTGACCACTCAAAAAGATGATATTCCCACTATGTCAAATCATTTTAAAAATTTGAAAAACCTAAATATATCCAATAATCTTATTTCTGAATTTGGAAATGTTTTACAGTTGTTAGAAATTATGCCAAATCTGTCAACATTGAACATAAGTGGGAATAGATTTATACCCTATGAGACGAAACCTTATGAGATGAAAACATTTGACAATGTGAGGCACCTTTCGTTATCATATTGTGAGATATCTATCGTATGTCTTAAGTGTATTCTTGAATACTTTCCATCCTTGGAGTCTCTCGATTTAGGAGGTAACGACTTGTCAGAATTGATAAGCGTAACTTTGCCACTGCCAAAATACCTGAAACACTTATCACTTTCCAATGCATGTTTGGAGGAACTACCAGTAGGGCTGAATAGTTGGAAATTAGATTATTTGAACCTGTCACACAATGCCATAAAATCTGTGGTGTCTGGTCTTGATGAAGAAGATAGTCGAGAATTCTCGTTAACACAACTGGATTTATCCCACAATGAAATCAACAAATGGGAGTCTATTGATGAAATAAATGAAACTTTTCTGAAACTGAAATCGCTCCGAATTAATAACAATCCTGTCTTATCAAGGAATATCTCAGAAGTCAATCAATTAGAAACTGACAAACAGATGTTTTTAAATGTGCTAGCTAGGTTTAATAACCTGGATATCCTGGATGGCTCCCACTTGACTGAAGAGATAAAGGAAGAAGCGGAGTTGTATTTATTATCTGTCATTCTTTCAAATACTGTGAGATTAACGAAAGATAAATCCAGATGGTCGTATTTTAGAGATAAATATGGGATATCTGAGATGTCAGATAGGAATTTACCACAAGAATATATGGAAAATAGTTTATTAGTTGATCTGGAGGTTTTGAAGTTGCATGCACATTACAATTATAAAAATATGCATTTTAGAATTGATCTTCTACCCAATAGTACAGTTCGTTACATGAAAAGTATCATTAGTAGACATATAGATGTACCTATTCTCCAAATCAAAGTATTATATGAACCTACGAATGAAGCTGAAACTATGGCGGAAATCACACGTAACTTTTCGCTGATCAGTGATTTAGGTTTAACAAGCGGCTCTAACATCTATGTTATGCACAAATAAGTAATATTCTATTATAGTAGATTTTTATAGAAAATTATAGAAAATTAATAATATATTATCTATTCGATGGAGAAGTTCCATAAGGGATCACCTAAATGGTGAATCAATTCAACACCATGGCCCTTATTAATGGACTTGATATCTTCGGTGCTCATCAAAAGACGACCAATGGCCAATGCGCTGTCCTTGTTCTCAGCATTAATAATAACAACACTATCCTTTTCAAAGCCGGGGGCATCTGGTAGTTTGGCACCTGGAGATGTTAGACCCGGGCACATAATATTTGCACCTGAAAGAACAAATTTAATAGCACCTCTATCTACTTGAACTGTTGGGTAAGCTTCTGGGAATTTATGGACAAGCTTTAAACTTGGAATTAATTCATCAAATTGTTGAAAGAACAGTACTTCACCGTTCACGGCATATAGCTGAATCTTATCCTCACATTTGATTACCTCTACTTGACTCTTTTTTGGGATCAGTTCATCGATAACCGGTTCCAATTGAGGGTATTGGTTGACTAACTTTGTCTTAAGAGTTCTTTGGATAGAGGACTTCACGTTAGAACGTGAATGTATATCGTCTCTCGTAAATCTGTAAAATGTAATGTGGTTTGTGTGTTAGTATACATTAGCCTCGAACAAATCAGTGTAAAGAAGGTGTGAATAATAGAATTTATTATTCCCTGATAAATCTACATACTTTTTAAACATGACCAAATGATTTTATGTTTTGTCAATTTCTTCTCCAACTGGTTATTGAATGTCTGTCTTCTCTCTATACTTTCCTTTCTCTTCCTAACTACTTATACTGCTTCCAACTTTTTCAATGAAGCTTTATTTTCCAAAAAATTTTAAACGCTGAATTGTATGTGCTTCGGTGCAGGGTTTATGTCAAGGCGAATGATAGAGATAAGTTGACTTACTATACAATATGAAGTTCACCTTAATAAATAAGCTCCCTGTGTCATCGAGGATTTATGGTTAGTTTATATATACGTAATTCATAATTTTATGTGAATTTTACTATTTAATTTTCTATAGAAATTTCCATATGTGGATATTTGATAGTTAATGTAAACAAACATTTACGACGTTTCTTTGAATAATTCAAATGCTGTAATAATATCATTCTTTGTAAACTTGACGTGTGTACCTTTATAATACTTATCAATTATCGTGTATAACCGCAGGTACAGAGATACAGTTTGGCCTTGCAAGCACGACCACAACTTGTCACAAAGATTGTCTCGTAAGATATCGGGTTGTCCTGAGGAGAAATGTTTCAATAACCTTTTATGAAGTTTAGTAGCCAGCACACTGATCTCTTTAGAATTATAAGATGTCAAAATATTTTGTAGGTTACTTTTACTATATGCACCCCACATTGCCGGGCTTGTTGTTTGGCTTGGACTGGTCTCTACGACGTGCGTTGCACCGTTGACAAACGACGTTAATTTTGGAATTGCTTCTTGTAGTAAAAAGTTTGCATATATTTCCTTCTCTACATCAAAAATTTTCTTGCTCTCTTGGATTGGTTGATCGAAAGTTCCTTTTAATGGTCCATTTAACATAGTTAGGAGTTCTATTAGCCAATTTGCATTCTGTAGAAGCGTAATGGAGTGCGCCAATTGGTCTGTTGAAAGGGCACTTTTCTGTTTTCCTGATACAACATTCTCATCCACTTGGTCAGAAAGGAATCTCACAATGGAGACGCATAATGAGTTAAATGACTCAGTCACCATTTTAGGTACCTCATATTTAGCGATATCATTTGCACTGATCTTATTTTGGGTATATATTATAGAATCATGAGTATTCTTGATAAAAATTGGAAGACCAAGTACCGTTGGAAACACCGATTTAGTTGTTGTATCTGTTGCAATTCTTTCTACATACAGCAGCTCGTCTTCCATAAATCCAGACCATAACTGTTTCAGCTGTGTGACAATCCTCGTAAATGTGTCACTTAGAAATTCCTGGTCTGTAGATTCCAGATATTCTAATTTTTGTTCTAGTATTAGCATAATTGATGGAGCTATTGATTGAGTGGTTTTCATAGTTTCCACAAAATATGAAATTAGTTGTGTTACAACAGGATTAAAAACCCTTGAAACTAACTGGGATTTTATCAGTGCCGATTCTCTATCGGAATCCATTCTTTTAACTTTGTCTAAATCGATAATTCTTGAGGATGGATCTTTAAATTTATCGATAAAATCAACATAAGATTCATTGGAGGAAATATGGAAAAAGTTATCAATAAAAGTTTGGTAAACGATACATTGATGCTCAATTAGGTTCAGTATATCGATTATACCTGATAAGGTATCAGCATAGAGGGTGTCGTCAGATGTAATTTTTCTGGTACCCTTGAATGATTTCCATTGCTCTAGTAGTTTATCCTCGCCAGGTTGGTTTGCAATACCTTGTAAGGTATTTTTGTTATTTGCATATTGATTCTGTTGTTTTTGTATAATCTTATCCCACATTTCAGTATATGCTGATTGAACATTTTCATTCCATTGTTCTATGATCGTTTTGTATGAATCATTAGAAATTTCTTTACAAAATATGATCAAGCTTGAAAAGGTGAGTAAACGTTGTAGAATACTAACTAACTGATCCTTAGTAGTCCCGTTACTTTTAATATATGCAAACATGGTCCCCATTTCTCCAACCACCCTCTCTAAAAATAGTTCAGTGACCTTTTCGTAATATTGACGTCTTTTTTTCAAAGCTTCCATATCCTTTAAACTGTATTCATCATCTGTGGATTGGCCTCTGATGGCCCTAACAGCTTTCGATAGAGAACCTAATTGAACTTCCATCCACGGTAACGTTTTTTCCCTAATAGGGCACTTTAATAGTTCCTTTAACGTATCCTCATCTAGAGATACGGTGTTTAATAGGTCTGATAAAGTATTCCATAATAGTTTTTTATTAGCACTCTCAATTTGCAAACCATTTTGTCTGCTTTCAACAAAATCGATATCATCTGCGAATGTGTTCATCTCCATCAGATACAGTGCAAAAGTTGGATTCATTCTGTCACATTCCATATCTACATTATCCTCGTAAACTTTTAGATCCGGTCCAACATCTTCGAGCGCTAATATATTTGTATTAAACTTGTGCTCGATTTCAGCTAGTTGTAAGTCAATACGTTCCAATAGTCTACTTGCATCATCTTCTGGGCTCCAATTTATATCAGTCAATGTTTCAAGAAGAGCCTCATCATTAATTTCTACCAGCCCTGTACTGGTGTTTTCTCGTTCTGCAGATAGTTCTTCGTTATCATTCATCTGTGGTAATACTTTTTGGCCTTCTTCTTGAATGGTAGCCACTTCGTGATAGACGTGGGCTGCTTGTGGTTCCATGTGTTGACTATAGCGGATTTCATCACCATTTTCGAACGACAAGTCACCTGTTTCGTTGAGTGGTTCCTCATTGAGGGATGCATTAAGATCATCATCATTAGATATATTTTGTCCTCCGGTACCTTCATTATTTGCAGGGGCATTGTCGTACTTCCTTTGGTTTAAATCAAGCGCCTCTTTTTGTGAGATTTGGCTATCTGGGTTAGTAATTTCTTGTTGAGTAGTGTACTTTGTTTGAGGCTCTTCACTACCCTTCTTATTTAGGTTGTTGAAGCTTATAGGTTCCATGTCTTCGTAATCTTCATCCAATGATTTCACATTAGCCATTCGTTTACTTTGTTCAAGGGAGTTTGTATTATCTCCGTCAGCCATACTATTTCTATTAATATTAGATGGGGAATATAGGTCTACCGTACTTTGCGGCCTCTCTTGATACACGTTTCTTTGAGGTGATCTTGAAATAGGTCTGTTTCTCGATCTTGGATTGGGTTGTGATTCGGCAGCTACATAGTCATCAGCTTCCTTACTTAAATGAACTGTAGCAACTTTTGAATTTGAACCAATAATACGTGTAGGAGAAGGAGATAATCTATCTGGAACGTCACCGTATTTGAGGTCCGGAGCTGCTTTTATTGGTGATTGAGAACTATACGGATCATGTCTTGGTGTTTGGAAGTCATCGGAATCAGCATGTGAACTCATTTGTTCGTCATAAAAGGTATTGCTTAATCTATTTAGGGTAGCTGATGTAGTGTATGGAGCTTTTGTCAAGCTATTTCGTGACGGGCTTTTTGAAACATTCTCTATCTCAGACTTACGTTGAAAGTTTACTGTCTCAGGTACGTTGTCATATTGTTGTTGTTCTTGTTGTTGCAAATTCTGTCTTTGTGCTTCTTGATCACGTAATTTTTGTCTTTGAAGTTCTTGATCATGAACTTGTTTCTGTTGCGATTCTTGATCCCTTTGTTTTTGAATCAATATATCGTTACTTGAACTATGGGATGTTTTTTCTTGTATGTTCATACTTGTTTGTTGTGATTCAAATGCATTGCTATTTTCTTGGAATGTACCAATAGAAGGTGAGGTTGGTTGAGAATATGATTCTCTCGTGATAACTGCTCTTGAGTAACTACGTTCGTCCAAGTAAAACATTGATAAATCCCAATTGATCAACTCTGGAATTCGGCCGTCATAGACTTGCATATATATTTTAACTAGGGATTTGATGAAAACGGTTCTTTCCTTGGCGCTATTTGTTTCCCAATAATATTTCTTCCCCATGGTCATTAAAAACCCCTCAGGAATTGTCAGATCGCGTTCAATCTTTAGTAGTTCCTTTAGATCCCATGTTCTACCTATCTGAAATGACCCATCTGAATTCTCACGAGCTTTATGTAACTGGATTGCACTCTGATTATTTGCTTTGGCACTTAGAATTAAAACCCTTTTTTTCTTATTTTCTAATTTTGAATCTGCTGCAGGTCTCGAAGATGGATACTTAGCATCTTCAATAATTCTAACATGTGTTATATAATTATTTGGTGGTGAATTGGTCTTATGATCCGGTTTAGAAAAACAATAGTTGATGATACCTCGTCTATCTCTATCGTATTGTTCTGCTAAGAAATTAGAATTTTGGGAAGTATTTGATGATCTGGATGTAGTTCTTTTGTGTGTTTGATTCGATCCTGATATTGGTGGGTGGCTAGCCCCTATGCTTGCTTGTGTACTAGGTGATCGTATATGACCACTGCCACCGGAAAAAGTTCTTGAGTGTTGACCACCAGCTAATCTTTCATCTGTAGATGTTTGTCTACTGTGAGACTTCTTGAAAGGCGATGTAGCACGTTTCATCATTATACAACCTACTGCAAATTCGGTAATGGGAAATGTTTATTGTTTTATCCCTCTAAGTTTTTGGTTAGTTGTCTCTCCTGTCTCTCAGCAACAACAAAGCAAAAGGAAGTGGAAAGCAATTTCAACTAATCGATACGAATAGTACTTTTTTTATTGTGCTAATTATATTCACCCAATTGAAGGTTTGCTTAAACAAAGATAACAAATTGTTCTTTTCAAATTATTGTACGCCTGCTTTCTTCTTTTAAAGTCTCCTAGGGTAACAGTTGACTTTATTGTAGTAATGAAATTCAAGTTATCTTTGTTTTTGTCTAGGTCCTAAGTTTCGGCTTTCCTCGTACAATTTGATCTCGCGACTTCAAGAAAAAAAAAATTTATAACAACTTTAGAGAAAATTATGGAAACTTGAATTATAATTGAACAACCATCGAATAAGTCTTCATTAGAAAGCTATTATTTTATTTTCTAATTGTCTTATATAACTGTTTCTGTTATTGTTTATTTTTATTCTCCGTCAGATTACGAAGTGTCTTAGTGCATACAGATATATATATATATACGTTTCCCAAGCAAAAATGTCCATGGATTTCAACTCCCTAGCCCAACAATTCACTGAATTCTACTACAACCAATTTGACTCCGACAGAACTCAATTAGGTAATCTTTATAGAGATGAATCTATGTTAACTTTCGAAACTAACCAATTGCAAGGTGCTAAGAACATTGTTGAAAAGTTGGTTTCTTTACCTTTCCAAAAAGTTACTCATAGAATTACCACTTTAGATGCTCAACCAGCTTCTCAAAACGGTGATGTTTTGGTTATGATTACTGGTGACCTTTTGATTGATGATGAAGCAAACCCACAGCGTTTCTCTCAGGTATTCCATTTGATACCAGAAGGTAACTCTTACTACGTCTTTAACGATATTTTCCGTTTGAATTATTCTGCTTAATTAATGTGAGAAATTGTTTTCTCCTATATAAACTAATGCAATTGTCGAACACAGGGGAAATACATATGCACCTATATTTATCTATATGATATCTCCATATTTTTTCGATACTAGCTACATCTTCTCTCCCCTAATAAGTTGTTTAATTATATCTTTATTATTATTATTATTATTATTATGTAAAGCGAAAAGAATATGTACACTTAAATATATAAATCAATATACAAGCTATTATAATAAAGAAAGAATGTAAAGCTAAAAAGTAATCTAATCCTTAAATTTTTCCAATAAAGCCCTATGTTTTCTTTTGGAAGCTTCAGCTGGCTCCCCTTTTAGAATATCTTCTGCAACTAAGGCATCAACTTTAATTGAACTCTTGATGTAAGTAATTAGGCGATCCAAATCTACGGTTGCGTGTGGAATACGAGTCACACCGTGTACATCACATACAATATAGTCCCCATCATCAATATTCATTGCAATCTTACGCTTACCGCACGATTTGCTCACTAGCTGACCCGAACTATCAATAGGAATAGTATCTGAACTTGTCGCAATTGAAAGAGTTGTATTGATAGCTACAGGTTTAACTACACCTTTAGATGCAGCAGCTCCCAAACCATAACTGAATACGGGATATTTTAAATCTGTAAATTCTCCGATATCACGAACTCTACCAAAAACTATAGTACCATTAACGCCTTGTATTTGTGCTCTTCTGGCCATTAATCCTCCAAAAATTGCATTGTTAACGTATGTGTATGGTGCAACTGAAGTTTGTAACTCTGGTGTGTAGGCCATTACTAAAACTGAATTTGAAGGAAGTTCATCAATATAATTGATACTTGGTCTCTCATCTGAGGCATGAGCAAATAAAACTGTAAAGGCCTTCCCAGCTATTGAACCTGTCTTCTCTTGGCCAGACCTTTGACATAAGTTAGGAAAATAGCCACCATCTTTGATACCATACAAATTTTGAAGACCATCAGAAATGTCGCATGTCGAAAACTCCGAAAGAGTCTTCAATTGATCATCAGTCATGATTCCGGATTACAGATATATCTATATATGTAAGTTTGTATTTGTTTCTGTTAGATAATGTAAAATGGTCACTAACTTTTTAATATTTGTCATCTGCTTTTATTTCTCTGTAAAACCCGGTTGATCCGAGGATTACTCTAAGGCGCTTTTCTAATCTGCAAGGCACAAAACGATAGAACTATCTTTCAAATGAAGCTTGAGTTATATAATAATTTAATATATATTTAAAATACAGATACATAATAATACTTATGTTTTACTATGGTAATGGAGGTGGAGGTGGAATACTGGAAATTGGCATTGGACCACCCTCATCGCCAGAATCGACAGAGTCGGGAATAGATAAGACATCGTCATTATCGACCTCATTATCGACTTCGTTATAACTTGGTTCACCCACAATCTGAGGAGCCATTGGGACATCTGAGATTTGAACGGTGGCTTGTGGAATTGGCGGAGCTACTGGAACCACGGTGCTTTGTTCCTGCATTTGAGGAATTGGTGGAGCTAATGGAACCACGGTGCTTTGTTCCTGCATTTGAGGAATTGGTGGAGCTAATGGGACCGCTGAGCCTTGTTCTTGCATTTGAGGAATTGGTGGAGCAAGTGGCACAGCTGGTACAGATTCCTGTATTTGAGGGATTGGCGGAGCAAGTGGCACAGCTGGTACAGATTCCTGCATTTGAGGTGGTGGTGGGGCAAGTGGGACCGGTGCGCTTTGTTCTGGAACTGGTACGTTAGATGTCACAATTGGAATAGAAGATGTAACTTGTACGTTTTCTATTTGTGGTTTCCCTTCAGGTTCGTCATCAGACCAACCATCACTATCTTTATCCTCGTCAAATCCTCTCTGGCTTTTTCTTTGCAGCTCTGCAGCTCTGGCATCGAAGGAAGAACTGGTAGAAGTTGAGTCTTGTTTAAAAAATGGATTAGGTTTGGAGACTGGTTCATTGATTGGAGCAGGTAGAGCTGTGGTCGCATTCACATTTTGCTGCGTATATGAAGATGTTGTTTGTGACGGTAATTGAGATTTTGCCTGAGTGGAAATATTGTTCAAGTTAATTGTTTTTGTCACGACAGGTTCTTCCTCGTCGGAACTAGCCTCAGCTTCTTCAATTTGCTTACGAAGTTCAGCAAGTCTTTTTTCTTTATCAGCTTTCTTCTTTAACTTTAGATTTTCAAGCTTTTCCCTTAATTTCCTCTCTTCTTCATCCTCATCCTCATCAGCAATTCCGTTATTACTGTTGTGGTTCACTTGTGGTTCTTGACCATAGTTATTATTTAAGGATTGTTCTACCCTTGGGGATTCAACAGGTTTCTCTTCGACCTCGAATGGAGTCTTTATAGATTCAGAGGTATTACTTCTGGATCTATCGCCACGTTTGTTAATACCAAACTTGGCTAATCTTTCCTTCATCCTCTTTTGAGCTTGTTCCTTCAAATATGCGGACCTATCATTTAAACTTTGGGGTTCAGATTTAGTAGTACTAGTGCTGGTAGATTGAGCGTTGCTTGCTTGATCTAGTAGGTTGCCTCTATTTAAGTCTCTGATAAAGTTACGAACTTCCTTCTCTAATCCACTACCAAATTCCCATTTCTCAAATTCCTCACCATCATCATAGATATTTTTTCCTGTAAAGGTAGATTTTAGAGAGGACGAAATATCAGAAATTGATGATCTAATATCCTTGATAATTTCTTGGTTCTTGATGCTTTCTTTTCTAATGTTACCTAGTTCTTCTGCATTCTCTTTTGAGTTGTCATCATCTTCTGCATTATCATTTGGCTTACCGGTCAAAGCAGCCATTCTGGCTTTCAGTAACGCTCTACTCTTGGCTTTCTTTTTATCATTTTCGGTAATTTCACCGTTTGGACCTGTACCTTCAATAGCTGTTCCGGCTCTTAGGTTTACTAGTTCAATCTTAGCGTCAGTAATCTTGTTATTGACTTCCGCAATTTCAGAAAACAATTGTGGGACGGTATTCACAATTGTTTCAAATCTTTTCTGTAAGTCGTGAGACACTTGAGTGTTACCAGTAATTGGTGGCAATTGTAAACTCTCTAACTCATATCTAATCTCTGTAATACGCTTCAAATCTTCAGCTAATGTGGAGGTTTCGATTGCTGGTTGTGTTGATTTGGCAGGTGCAAGCTCTGTCTCATTCACAGCAGGTGGACTAGGGGTAGTTGAAGTAATATCTGTAGCCGAAATATCAGGGTACTTTTGAGAAGCTTCTGCAACAGATGGGGATCCCTTGCTATCAACTGTAGGCGATAAATCGGTGGATGCCGTAGCAGTCGTAGAGAAGTTCTTTCTGCGGTTTCTAAATGTTGGAAGGCTATTTTCATTGTCATCATTTTTGTAACCTAACCCGTTAATTTTGGAACCAGAACTATTTAACCCATTATCACTACTTTTTAGTTGAGTCTTCAGGTTATCTAATATCCTATTACTGGATGGAACCAAACTGGCTGGCAATCTGCTTGGAATTGGTTGGTTGTTCAGTTTTCTATACACCAAGTGCATTCCTAAAGCAAATTCTTGTTTGTTTAATTGACCTGAGTTGTTAGTGTCACACAAATTCCAAATATGTTCCAAGTCACTCCTGTTTAAACCTGATTTTCTAAAGATTTCAACTGCTGTTGGGGAATCGATCAAACCTGTGTTGTTGTTATCATAAGTTTCGAAAATTTTGTAGAACAAAGATTTCTCTTCTGGAGAAATAGTATCGTTATCCTCTTGTTGTTGGTTCATTTGAGTAGTCAAAGTTCTTGTGAAGTTAGATTGTGCGTAAATCTCGTTATTACCGAACCCAGTTTTCTGGGCTACCAATGGAACAGTTGGAGTAAAATTCGAAGGTGGTAAATAGCCTGTAGCCTGTGGTTGTAGACCCATTGGTGGTTGGTTTTGTTGTTGAAAGCCAGTAACTTGGTTGGTTAGGCCACCTTGGCCGAATGTTAAGGTTGGCATACCCATAGGACCAGTTTGTTGAGCTGCAAGTTGTTGTGGTTGTGGTTGTGGCACAAATCCACCAGTTATTTGAGCTTGAATAGGAGCACCTCCCATACCACCACCTGTAACTTGATTTTGTAATGGAGCGTTAAAAGTATTTTGGGGCATCATAGTGTTTGTTTGCATACCACCTGTAACTTGCGGCATTAAACCTCCTGTTAATTGAGGTGGAAGACCGAAACTTGTTTGTGGTATAAACCCTGTAGATTGTGGCATTAGACCTCCAGTTGGCTGAGCTGGCATACCAAAACTGGTTTGAGGAATCATACCAGTTGTTTGCATTGGAATAGCCCCAGACATCAATTCATCAAATGGCGTCTTTGAAGTAGATGTAGTAGTATTAGAAGCAATACTTAGATTAATGGCATCAATGAAACTATTAACTTCATTTTTGGTTTTAGAGTCCAGTTCATATGGGATTTGATCACCTTGTAATACATCGTTAACTAAATGCATAGCCAGGGCAAACTCAGGAAACAACAACTCACCAGCTTTACTTGTGTCACAAAGGGTCCAAATCTTAGCCAATTGAGATGGAGCTAAACCTGACTTCATCAAGATAGATCTACAACCCTTACCTGTGATGGTATTGGATCCTGGTTGAACAGAAGCTCTAAACAAAGTCTCAAACTTTGCTTGATCCTTTGCGGTAATAAAAGACAATCTGATGGCAGGAATCTTAATGTCATTGTTTAAGCCATTATTGGCAAAAGAGTTTACAAACCCGGTTGCTGTTGGCTTCAATGGTTCTAATGGCATTTGATACTGTTGAGCATAGAAACCTGTTTGTTGAGGTTGCAAAGGCTGTAATTGGGCAGAATTCTGATTTTGCAGTGGTTGCATTGGTTGAACCTGAGAAGGAATAGTTGGTGTAACACCTTGAGCTGGATTTGGGAAATATCCAGTGCCTTGACTCTGTAACGATTGCATTCCAGTCTGCTGGTTAATACCCGGAGTAGCCACAGCAGAAGTTGAGTTATTGTAGTAGCCTGTCCCCTGTTGTTGAATTGGTTGCATTGCACTTAGAGTTTGAGTTTGCTGGATAGGTTGAGATTGGTAATTGTTTACACCCATGCCGGTGTTCTGCAAATTCGAGGTGGGAGCTGGATTGTTTGATTGGTAGTAGGAAGTTGTTGGTTGCGATTGCATTGAAGTTGAGTTCATGCCTAAATTGCCCATTGAATTTTGTTGAGGCTGTGTCAAGTTTCCTGAATTACCATATGGTTGATTCACACCTTGTTGCAAACTTGGATTATAACCAGTACTTTGAGTTCCCATACCCATATAATTTGAGGCATTCATCTGTACCTGTGGTTGTGGCTGTTGTTGCTGTTGTTGCTGTTGTTGTTGCATAGGTTGTTGCATTGCCTGACCTTGCTGGTAGTAGTTATTCCCCTGAGGGAACGCATTACCCTGGTTCTGATTCTGATAAGGGTTATACATCTCCTTAACAAAGTCGTCAATGATAGGGTTGTTATCGTGAATCAGGAAGATAGACCCTTTATATTAACTATATATTTGAATTTCATAATTCATAAATTATATATATATAACCATAAAAAATAATATTTAGTTTATTTCTCTTTTGTTTTTTCCTCTCTCGGTCTAAGAAAGGGGCCCGTTTTGGTGTCTCCTATTGAAAGCAGACGAAAATTCATATAACGACAAAATAAAAGAGGTGGTAAACTAAGTGTTTGACATTAAATGTCACATCTTTCATGTAATAGCTATAGAAACGACATGATTTTTGTTGTTAACAAAGCTGAGGAAGTGTCCTGGGTTGTGTTTACATGGTAATAACTGAAATTAGCACTTTTTTTTCTCTTGTTTAAAGTAACTGCATGTCAAGTTAGAAATATACTTTGAATATTCAACAAAATATAAACAATAAGTAGGTTTTTAATTAAATTTTAGTGATAATATTAAAATAGTATATATTTCATTTAAGTTATGTTACATTTTTTAACAAAATTTTTCATACTAAATTATTGTTTATGAAATTTGTTTACTTGGACCTCTCTATTTGGGAGAACATATATAGAACTAAACATTAAAAATTTTCAAGAGCTACCATTTTTTCTTCAAAAATAAAATATTTATTACCTGGTTATTTGTATAACTATTATTTGAAATTGCTGAGATGAATATTCCAAGAATATATAGTATAAGATATTCGAATGAGCATAATAATTAATGGTTAGGAACATTAATATTAACACTAATTAAATAACACATAGAATATTGTATGCAATTATTGTAATTAAATAGGCTTATACGACGGTACTTGAATAAGAGGTTCATGAATGTGAAGGTTAACAACTAAGTCTCTCTAAATTTGTAACATATAAAGACAGAGGTTTGAAATACGTAATCAGTAAACAAAGAATTCTTTCCGTAATATATTAAGAAGAATTATCTGTATAATATCTGTATAATAAAAATGAATGAAAATAAAAATATAGTCAATGTTCAACTAGATACAAACGAGGAATTCTATCAGAAATAAATAAAATAGGAACCAGACCAATAATTTTTTTAGTTTGTTAAATGGTATAAATTAGGAGCCTTTATTATTATCAGAGAACTGTTAAATGAAAAATTAGTGATAACAATACTTATATTATATCTTCCCAGCTCTTGAACAATGAACCAACTTCAAAACAATAATAAACATATATTAGTTTGTTTTACTCATAGTTGAAGAAAGAATAAAACACCTTAAATTAGGAATTGCTTTGCACAAAGTGGAACCGAATCGAATCTAATGTGTTAAATTTAATATTCAATCCCTCCGATACACGTATATTACAAGAACCCTTATTAATGTTTGGGAAGTTATGAATGTGGCGATATATTTAGATTTAACTAAACCTTTTATATAAACCTAATATACTTGAATTAAATTTATATATTCGTTCTATTTTTAATCATAATAAATTGAAATCGGTAAAACTCCTGTGGTTTTAAAACAAAAAATGTTTAAAATATCTACTGAAAGACTATTTTAATAGGAATCCAAATAAAATATTTCAATTTTTTTACTTGAATACCAAGATTTTATTACAATTAAGTGTCAGATCACTTTCCAAAGTTCTAACAAAAAAACAGGATAAGGTCACTAAAAACACTTCTTTAGATTTAATAGCGTTTTAAGCATATTATATTAATTCTACTATATTCATAAATATAAGTTTACAACACTAAACTGTTATATTCATTGATTAATAAACAAAATATTAATTGATACAAAAATCTTAAAGATAAAACTTTTATAACTTTATATATATAAATACTTATCCCAAAGTTATTAATTAACTGGGCGTGTGGCGTAGTTGGTAGCGCGCTCCCTTAGCATGGGAGAGGTCTTGGGTTCGATTCCCAACTCGTCCAATTTTATTTTTTGGCGGTCTGGTTGAGAATGTATGGTGGCTATTTGAATAATATTTATCATTATTATTTTTTATATGAGTCGTATAAGGAGCAACATAAACTTAAAAATATTAAACAAGAATTATAATACTAAATTTTATGTGTTATCAACTTAATTGCTATTATTAATTATGAAATTAATTCTAATTCTAATAATAATATCATAAATTGACTTTAATAATAGTATAACATCTGTACCAATTTTAAATGATATTTCACATAGTAATTATAGTGTGTAAAATATCTTAAGAACATCAGTTCGCAATCAAAAATCTTTTCCAATATGAATAGAAACATTAAAAATCAAAAAGATTCAATAAATAGCAAGTATGATCATTTCAAAATTTTAATAACGAATAAACGATTAAGAATTTAAAATTAACATATTTATTTAATTTTCTGAAGGCTAATAATAACAATAGTAAAAGACACCAGCAAAATTAGCCTCTTTTTTTTATTATTTTATTTTTATATATCTGAAAAATTAAATATATGTAGATTGGCGGCTAAAATACGAAACAAATATTGAAGAGAAAGAAAGAATGTAATGTTTTAAAAAGTTACATCAAGTTATAAAACAGAGAGTACCAACGACATACATATTTTGAATTAACAAAACAAGAAACAAGATATAAACGAACACAAACAAACAAACATTGTTAACTAAATTAAGGTATTAAATGACCTTATTTAGGTATTTCTCTATCAACTAACAAACAATATGAATTGTTAAGTAAAGGAACTAAAAAACAAAACTGTCAAAACCAAAATTTTATCTTCTTTTCTCTTACAGGAACCAAAAGGAATAATAAAAATCAACAGTGCCTTGCATTACATAATGTAACAGCTAATTTCGTCTTGCATTCTTTTAATTTAAGTATCGTTTAATTTCTTATCATCTCATCGAATTAACACTTGAAAAAACACATCATTCTTCGTACTGTTTATAATTCGTCGTTTAAAACAATTCTAAAATATTATCCGTATGCCCAAATACAATTGGAACGCATTATGGTGAGATTGCTTAAATTAAAAGAAATTATTTAATTTAGTTACTTATCTTTCTTAGGGATTAATGTTTTTAAGATACCCCGAATTGGAACTTTATTAATAAATTTGATTTCTTAATTGGGGAATAATGATACTAATAAATTATTTAAAAATACAAGTTCTAGAATATGCATTGATTAAAAGGAAACAAACAAACAGAAAGATAGGAATAAAGAAGGCAATTGTAATATCCATTTTAGTAAAAAAACTTTTTTTTTACCAAATAATTTCTTTCTATTTTTTTTTTGTTTTTGTTGGAGAAATTATCAGATCTGACATAATTAATAACAGATTCTTTTTGGAATTGTTGGCGGGGAAAATCACATAAATAAAATCTTAATTCCACAGAAAGTGCAGAAGTGAAGAAAAAATAATAAGCATGTTTATTTTATTTCATAACTTTCCCGAGCCAGACTCGGAATAATATACTGAAACGCGATGAAATATAGCTGCATATTTTATTTCACTAAGAAACAAACGTATAAGTTTTATAGACTGCTCACTTATCAATAATACATTCCCCGAAATTAATTATTTCAGAAACACACACACACACACACACAGTAAAATAATAAATGGGGCCAAAAGAACTTTCACTCTTGTTGAGTTTCAAAAGAATAACCGCACCCAAACTTGAAATATTTTTTGTATTTCCATACGAGGAGGGAAGGAATGGTCTGTTTTTTAATGATAAGCAAAAAACTACCGTAGAGATAAATATATAATTTTTCTTTCTTTCTCTTCCGATGTCCCAAAAAAAATGAAATATATATTTTTTTTATTGAAAAATGTGCATGATCTGCTACGGACTTTTTCTTGCCTTTTAAAGCTTATATACATCGTATATCTTCCTTCTGCGTTCAGATATCAACGAAAACAGATACATTTACTAATTGTGGCTCTTCTTTCCCCCCACATACCTTTCTGAGACGTTCCTCTCTTTTTTTAATAAAAAAATACCACTAAAAGAAATAATTTATTACTGTGAAAATCTAAACGACAGAAAGAGAACGAGTAGCTCATTTTTATTTTCTCAATTTACAGGCACAACTAAATTACTTAGTAAATCACGTACAAATAACTTCTTTCCTTGACGCACACATATACTTCCTCACAATTCGTCGTAGCCAACTATATTTAATTCGAACTTCTTCTCTTTCTCGAATTGAGAAACCAAAAAGAAAAAAGACAAAAATACTACCAAACGACGCTCTTTCGCCCCTCCCCAAATAAACAAAACAATTTTTTTTTCATGCAATGGGACCGCGTATAATTCCAACTACTACGAAGATTTTACTGAATCTAATAGAAACGCGCTGTTCCAAATTAACAATATTATTCTTCTTATTATTATTATTATTAGCTACACTTTCCTTTAGAACTGCCAAAGATAAACAAAGAAAGAATCGTTCCTAGACTATTATTATTACTATTTTATTGTGCTTTTTGTCTCATGTAAACAATACAATTACACAAATAGCCAAGAAAAGAAGTTTGTAACAAACAAATGTTAGTATTATTATTTTGGGTCGTACCTCTCTCTTCCGTGGGTTTCTGCAGGCTAAGTTTAGTAAATAAAATTTTTCTTTTTCCTTTCTTTTATTGTACTATTTTTCCCTGTAAGTTCTTAATATTTTGATTACTTCTTTCTAAAAGAAGAACATAATTTTTCAAAATAAACATAATTACACACCCTGTAAATATTTTCTCAGTGAAAGTCAAAGAGAGAAAGAAAAGGAAAGTAAAAAAATATTACTAAAAGTCAGATAACTAAAAAATGTTTTTTTTGACTTTTCTTTATCCTCGAAAAACCATATATAAAGGAACCAATTATTCTTTTTTATCTATTTCAAAATTTATTATCTCTTTCAATCTCTTTTACTATTCATCTTTATATTCAATTTATAAATAATCGTCATCGAACAAATCATTCATTCGCTTCAACCAAATATAATTAATACAATGTACGCCAAGACTGCCCTTTTCCTAGCCGCTGCCGCTCTAGCTAACGCTCAAACCGCTTCTCAATTAGCTGAACTAAACGTTATCTTAGATGATGTTAAGAACAACTTGAGTGACTACATGGGTTTGGTTACCGCTGGTACCATCTCTCTAGCTGATCTACCAGCTGGTGTTCTAGACATCGGTATGGCTCTAGCTTCCGCCACTGACGACTCTTACACTACTCTATACTCTGAAGTCGACTTCGATGCTATTGCTCCATTCTTAACTGCTCTACCATGGTACTCTTCCAGACTAGAAGCTGAACTAGCCACCATCACCGGTGTTGCTTCTTCTTCCGCTGCTGCCACTTCTTCCGCTGCTGCCACCTCTTCCTCTGCCGCTGCTTCTTCTTCTGCTGCTGCTTCCTCTTCTGCCGCTGCTTCCTCTTCTGCCGCTGCTTCTTCCTCTGCCGCTGCTTCCTCTTCCGCCGCTGCTTCTTCTTCTGCTGCTGCCACCACCTCTTCTGCTAAGGCTTCCACCACTGCTGCTTCCACCACCAAGGGTTCCGCTGCTGCCATCTCTCAAATCACTGACGGTCAAATCCAAGCTACTGCTTCCGTTACTGCTCAAACCGCTAACGGTGCTGCCAAGGCTGTTGCTGGTCTAGGTGCCGGTGCTCTAGCCGCTGCTGCTCTATTGTTATAAGAAGTTAAATCTTTTTATTTTTAAAAAATATTAATTCTTTTTTATTAAATTTTTAGTTCTATAAAATATAAAACATTCAACTTTTTTCATTTCAATAAATACTTATAACGAGCCCTTAAAAACAATTTTAAATGACCCATTTATAAATAAAATTGAAGAAAGGTGTCAAAACTTTAAGTGGTTTTGACTCCCCTTTTTTAATTCTTTACTCTATGTATATAAAATAAAGATATAAAATATATATAGTTTTATTAATACCAAATTTACATTTTCTTTACACTTTTTTAATGTTTTCAATATATGTATATATTTATGTATATTTATAGGAATTGAATTGAATTGAGTTTCTCTTTAAGTATATACTATTTTATATTATTTTATTTCATTATATTAATCCTTTTTCTTTGATTTTTCACGCTCTTGTTGTTCTTGTTTTTCTTTTTCAATATCATCAACATATTTACCAATTGCATCATTATCTAATGTAATAATTTCAGAATTTGGTTTCACTATAGTAATTTCAATATTTTTCGCACCTGTCTGTACAACTTCTAATAATGACCTAATTGTTAATTTAACACAATCTTCTGAACTTTCAGGTGGTGTTTCAGTATCATAATTTTTTTCTAAAAATTCTCTAACAGTTTTTGAATTTCTACCAATTGTTTGTGCAGTCCAACTGGAATATATACCACTAGGTTCAGTTTGATATAATCTTGGTGTATTATCCTTTGGATCAAATCCTGCAATTAATGTTGAAATACCAAATGGTCTAACACCACCTGATTGAGTATATTTTTGTTGAACACCCGCAATATAACGTGTTAAATATTCAACTGTAACAGGATCTTCTAATGTCATTCTATGACTTTGAGCCTCTATACGCGCTTTTTCAATTAAAATACGTGAATCTGCATTTAACCCAGAAAATGATAAAACAATATGTGAATCAATTTTTGAAATTTTTGATGGTGTAATACGTGGATCTTGTAACTTCAATGTTGAACGTCTTTCACAACCTAACACAACACAATCAGTACCTTTAACACCAACTGCACACGTACCTCTCTTAACAGCTTCAAGAGCATATTCAACTTGAAAGATATGACCATCTGGTGAAAAAATAGATAATGCTCTATCGTAGCCACTCATTATTAATTTTTTCTTTTATTTAATTTTTTCTTTTGTAATAAACAATTGAGTATCGTATAGATAAGCGTATTTACCCTTTTTAACAAATCAATTACAAAAACTTTTTTCAATTATTACTTCTTAATTATTTATTATATCCTTATAGCTCTTATATCCTAATTATATATTTGAGGGTGGCAAAATGTAGGCCCTTCGCTTCACTTTCTCGCCTTTTTTTTTAGTTCGAAAGCGAAGCAAAAAATGTACTGGGGGTTACCCGGATATATACTTCGGCGGTTAGTCGGGTAACCTCCTTCTTCTATATTAGTGTGTGTGTGTGTGTTCATTGTGCTAATTCAGGTAATAACGCTGTGATTATGCATCTATACCATTGGCTTATAACAACTCAAAGTGTCTTTGAAAACCTGAATGCATTTCATTTATGCTCAAATTATATAATATGAGAATTATTTCATGTTGAACTCGAACTGTTCTATAAAGTTATGATTTAATCGATTATCAAGAATGAAATACATATGATATGTAATACAGTATTTTAGTCCCAGTACCATATGTATACCTAAACTACTTTCCTCTATCTTACTTTTGTCCTCTTCATCTCCCTCTCTCTTTACTGTGCATATACGAACATATTTCAAGAGAATATCGGAAAGCGATTTCAATCCCTCTGTTAACAAATTAACTTTTTACAATGCATACATAATATATAGAAAGAGAAAAGACATATAAAAAGGATCACAAAGAAATGGATCGTGAAAGTGAAATGAGCGAAGGGATGGACGACAACTTTAGTGAAATACAATTGCAATCCTTAAAATTTGCAATGAATAGTAATAACACAACTGATATTGTACCGGACAGGAATTCCGATAATGAATCTGTGGAAGAAGAATCCGCTCTATCACACACAGATACAACATTTGATTTATCGCATATTACAAGAGTATTAGTGTCGTCATCAGTGAATTTACTGTTACCTTTTATTAATGGTATGATGCTAGGCTTTGGTGAATTAGTAGCTCATGAACTTTGTTGGAGGTATAATTGGTTAGATCGTAGGAATGTAGTGGCATTCAAGATATATCCAGAGTCCCGTAAATATGCCGGTCTCACGAACAAGAACAACCTCTCCAACGTCTTATAACATTTTACCATTCAATCAGTAACTTCTATTCTAAATAACTAACTAACTAGATAACTATATATATATTATATCAAATAAACCTTTAAAGGTGCTCCGTGCATAGTGATACCAACCGATTTCTACCCTATCCGATACAGCGGAAACGGCCGCAATTAAAATAAATTTAGCTGCCCTTTTTATGGACAAAGCAATAATATTTCTCTCTCTTTCAGCTTTTTTTTTTTATTTTATTAAATAATATTAAGTCAGTTCTATTTGAAAAGTACAATATACGGTAAGTGATATAGCTAGATAAGAAGGTAAAATATTAAAGGAAGAGTTTTAAAGTATTTACGTTGTGTGAATAAAGTATTACATAAAAACTTATAATTATACTCAACCAGAATTACACCAATAGCGGTTTCTTTGGTATTAGGATCTGTTCTAAATAAGTTAAAAATCAAATGAGTGCTGCTTCAAAGATGACTATGGTCTATAGGCCGTCTTCCCGTGTATCATCCATGCTGTTAATGAATTATAACGTTATTGGTAAATGTTCTCGTGTGCAACAACCGGTAATGTCCTTTAATAGATATTCAAAAATTGGAATGTATCATTATTATTCAACCGAATCAATCGATAAATCTAAATCCAAAATTATTAAGAAAACAAAGGCTAAAGAACCTTTAATGACTAGAATTAAACATGAAGTTAATCATTATGTTAACGGTACAAAATTATTAGGTTATGAAATTAAAATTTCAACAAAATTATTAGTTAAATTAGTACAAGGTTATGAATTATCAAGACGTGAATCAAATCAATTAAGAAGAACAATGGGTGATGTATTTCGTTTAGTACCATTCTCTGCATTTGTTGTAATTCCATTTGCTGAATTATTGTTACCAATTGCATTAAAAATTTTCCCAAATCTATTACCATCAACTTATGAATCAGGTAGTCAAAAGGAACAAAAACGTCATAAATTAATTGAAATTAGACAGAAGACATCAAATTTAATTCATGATACATTAGAAGAGAGTCAGTTAGTTGCTTATAATTCTATTGATTCAACTGAAAATAAACGTGTATTTTATGATTTCTTTAAAAAAATTTATGATAATGATTCAAAAGAAATTTATTTCACTCATGATGAAATTAAGACAGTTGCTCGTTTATTTAAGAATGATACCGTATTAGATAATTTATCAAGACCCCAATTAATGGCAATGGCTAAATTTATGTCTTTGAGACCATTTGGTAGTGATAATATCTTAAGATATCAAATTCGTTATCAATTGAAAAATATTATTAATGATGATAAAGTAATTGATTATGAAGGAATTTCAAGTTTAACTCAAGAAGAACTATATCAAGCATGTGTATCTCGTGGGTTAAAAGCTTATGGTGTTCCATCAGAAGAATTAAAAGATAGTTTACGTATTTGGTTAGATTTAAGACTTAGAGAAAAAATTCCAAGTGTATTAATGGTTCTAAGTTCAACTTTTACATTTGGTGGATTAGGTGATGGTAAACTTGTTGAAGGTTCACATTTAAGAGTTAAAAAATCCATTGAAAATGAAAAAATTAAGGATTCAAAATATGAAAATCTTTTAGATTTATATTATGATGGTATCTTACATGTCTTAAGTTCAATTCCTGATCCTGTATATAATGTTGCCAAATTAGATGTTGTTGAAGCAAAGAATATTGAACAACCTGAATTGAAACTTGCTGAACAAATGAAGAAAATTGAACAAGAAAAAATTAATGAAAGGAAAGAGACTCCAATTCAAAAGAAGACTAAGAAAGTTCCTGTGGTTCCAAAACTTTCAGAAACCAAGAAAGTTCTTATCCCTGAGACCAATTCAAACTCTAAAGCTGAACCTGAAAAGGAAGAGAAGAAGAAAAAACCAAGTCCTGATACTAATGAGTTGAAATTACAAGTGTTGAGAGAACAAGAAGAATTAATTAAACAAGAAGCAGAAGATGCTAAGAAGAGAGCCACAAAGGAAGAACCTGTTGCGGATAATATCTCCTTAGATAAAGACGATACACCAACAGTACCACCTGTCCCATTAGATCAAGCTGCTAAGAATGCCATCACCAAGAAATAAGAAAAATAATAATAATGAAGGTTTCCTCTTTTTTTTGTTAATATCACACAAACACACACTACAAACAACCATATTATACTTATTATATACCAACTCAGATATTCTTACATAAAATACACACCCTGCCAAGCCAAAATACATATATACATACCCACATACCCTCTCTTGTCTTATTGGCCCAACCTCATCTTCTCTGGTTCCACATTCCAAGAGAACAATGAATAAAATCCTTTGTCTCTGTCACCATCTCATCCCATCTCTTCATAGAGCACTCCTCCCATTGAGTCTCTTGCTCGGGTATCTCGGTCTTTACCCACCCACTCAGCAGCGCCCACTGACAGCCAACGAAAAAAAACACCTAAAAATTTCACACTCAGCGCGACACAGAGAGAGAGAGAGAAAGAGACAGACTGACGTGATGAAGGAGAGAGGCATAGCATGGCATGATGGCCGCGTTGTGTGTGTGTCAGCTACTATACTATACACTGTGCGGTACTTTCCAAAGCTTCGATAGATTACTAATCTAATTGGGTCTGGGTGCATAATACATAATGATCGCTACTACCACTAAGAACATCGTAATATATATGTGTGTAAAACTATAAAGTAACACTTTTTTCTTTCTTTAAATCAGGTATTGTTATTATATAGGAAAAAACGTTTTGCAAGTGGATATCGATTGTTGATATTCACTTTTACATACAAATTAAAATCGATTATTATTATTATCATTACTATTAGTGAATCAACGGACAAAACAAAAATTCTTTCCACGATGACGACTTCAAATATAAGGAGTATGATGAGTCCATTACCAAGTATTTCAGTTAAGGAACAAATGGTAGAATCTCCAAGTAATAAACAACTACCTACAACTAGTTCGATTCATATCTCTAAGAACTGGGTATTACCAGAAAGATTAAAACCAGGTAGAAAACCTGTATTAAGATCAGGTGTGTCAAAACCCATTACTAATGAGACTACAAATAATAAACATTCTAGTAATATAAGATTAGAATTAGCTAGAAGTTTATTAGGTACACCTACTAATGTAACCTCGATGGAACCCAATAGTGAACAGGCACTACAAATAAAACAGGATATTACTAATATTAATAATATTAGTAGTAGAAGCGGTAGAAGCGGTAGAAGCGGTAGAAGCGGTAGTAGTAGTAGCAGCAGCAGCAGCGGTAGTGGTGCTATAGATGATACTTCGATAGAGGACAATAATACAATTAATACTGGTAAAGGTAATGATTCTGCCGCAAGAAGAAGAAAACAGAATAGAGATGCTCAAAGAGCCTATAGGGAAAGGAAAGCAAATAGGATTCATATATTAGAAGATACCGTAGATAATTTACAAACTGATGTCGAAATATGGCAAATGAAATGTGATACTTTAACTAAAGAAAAAAATAATGCAAAGATGGCTTTAGAAAATGCTTTAAAAGAAAATGAAGATTTATTAAGACAAATTCAACTTTTGAAAAATGAAGTCTTAATTAAATCATCTAATGAAAATGGTGATAAAAATTTAATTTCATCAAATAAAATTGAAAATAATTCATTAAATGAAATGATTCAAAATTTTACTCCAATGAAAGCAATTCCATTAATTAAGAAAAAATTAAATAATAATGATTCAAAGTCAACTTGTAATGGGAATGGTACGGGCAATTGTTGTGGTAAAAAAAATCAAAAATCAAAAGATAAATTACCAGATCTTAAAGTTTGGACACCTGGTTCTTGTGATAGGTGTAAAGCTGATCCTAATAATAAAGCTTTTTGTAAATCAATCTTTAAAGACAATATTAATCCTTCATCTAATTTACCTGAATCAATTGTGAAATTACAAGATCAAAAAAATATTAATGCCGATAATGGTTTAATACAATTACCTTTATCTCCATCATCAATGTCTCAAGAAAATAATACCAATAAACCTTGTAATGAAAATCAAAATAAAAGATGTTGCGGGAATTGTTCTCAAAATAAAAAAGAATATATTCCAATTACTGATACATATCAAAGAATTAGAAAACATATGACTTCACAACAGGATAATCATTGTATTTCAAAATTGAAAAATGAATCAAATAGAAATTCCACTTTAATTAATGTTTTACAAAATATTGCAACAGATTTAGAGGTTAATGGTAGAGAGATTGAAGTTAGTAGTATTGAGAAAGCTTTAGATAATTTAAAACAATGATAAATAATTTTATATAAAACTTTAATCAATAATACTTAAAATAAAAAAAAAGACCAATTAAAGCAAAAAATAAATGTTTTCTGAAATTTACCTTAAATTATGTCAGATTATAATGACTGAATAACATGGGGTCAAAAATTGTTAAAAAAATGCTTTCACTCGGAGTTGAACCGAGGATCTCCACATTACTAGTGTGGCGCCTTACCAACTTGGCCATAAAAGCTAATTTTCTTGAAAAATGAACCTTAATTTTTATAATAAATAGGAATTAAAATTTGGAAATTAAAATATTTTTAAACCACTCGTTTTGTTGATTAAAAGCATATTCAACAGTTTTACTGGGTATTAGACACATCTAAAGTATATAGAATAATAAGTAAATGTTTATAAATGGCGGTGATGCGTTTCGGAAGTAGATAGGACCCATGGTATACATTTTGTTCACTAAATATGGTCCCTACAGGATTGTTATTAGTGTGTTGGCATATCAATAAATACTGTCATGGCAATTACTGACCTCATTAAAGAATAAAATCTGAGAGTCATTAGGGACTGAAAAATAACTTCATTCACTTCAAAATACTTCAAGATATTTGGAAAGGTTGAAATTGCTACGGTCTACGGAGCCGTTTTTTAACCTATAACAATATTGTTAAAATTCTTATTTAAGTGATTATCGAAAAGCCTCCTTGGTTTTATATTTATTTACATTGAATATTGTTACAGATGATTTATTTACGAATTCCACATGGTCTTTATGGCATCCTCATTGATCGATTCTTCTGCAAGTGCTCCCTTTTCACCATATGCTCTCAAGACTTTCTTGAACTGGTTGTTTCTCTCATTAGCTTCATTTCCAGATTTTGAAAACTTGATTCGTTTTTTCTGATCCTTCAACACAGACTGATTGTCACTTATTACCTCGGATTGATGTTTTAAGGCCTCTAACTTAATATTACAATATTCCAAGTATAATCTACAAATAGTTCTGGAATCTTTTATGGGCGTCCACCATGAGTTGACTTTCCAGTTCTCGACATCCTCTGAATTCATAAAATTAGGTGTTTGAAAAGTATGGGTCTTCGAGTAATAAGAATTTTGTCTTTTGTTATCTTCTAAAATCAACTTTTTGCCGTTTGGTATGTTTCCTGATTTCGATATTTCACTGTTGGTTTGTTTATGAAAGACTCTAAGTTGAATACCTACCATATTTTCCACAAATTTAGGATTATGAACTTCTTTTTCTAGTCGTGAAGAATATTCAGCCATTACCCTTTGAATGTCGTCTTGAGAACTCTTAGGGTTGATAACCGATTCATCGTGATAATCTGATGGTAACGGAATTGCAATAATATTAAGAACAGGGTAGTTAATTATTTCATTATTCGATAGACGAACCTTCTTACTTTCTGTTTGCATCATTATCTTACATTTTTCCCAATTCGTAGGTCCTAATTTCTTATCTAATTCACCTTCCAAATATTTTAAAGCATTCTTCAACATGACAAATGAAGTCCCAAATTCAGATTCAGCTATACTGTTTGCAATCTCTCGACCTTGATACAGATGATTCACGATATAATCCCTCTGGCCTACATCATTTATTATATCGTCATTTCTCTGGTTCAACAGGTTTAAAAACTTGTGACTATATTTTGAATGAATAATATAGTCTAATTCTTCCTGTGGTAAATATTGGAAACCGAAAAGTTTTGATATGTTATGATACGCAACGAAAATACCATCCATTTTACCAATTCTACTTTGTAGAGAATATTTTAAAAGTGTAGAACGAATTAATTCATAAAATTCACGCTCAAAAGATTCATATTGACCATGTATCCTATCTAATCTATAACCTGTTACATTATTATTTTTCTCAACATATGGTAAGTCATGTCTAATGGCAGATACTGCTCTTGTTTTCAAATCAAATACCCCTGTACCGGGAAGGGATGGATCATATGCGTCTAATTGAGATCTTACAATAAAATCATTTATCTTTGAATAATGATAAAAATCGTCTTGTAGTTTTGGTGACTTTGAGTCCACGGTCAGGAAATTTTCTAAAGAATGACCTAACAGGGAAAGAACCATTTCTTTGTCAAACGTTTTGTCTGAATCAATCGACCTAATTTTGTTATTCATTTTACGCAAGATTACAGTTGCAGGAAATTTGGCTCCTCTTGAGAAATTACAGCGACGATGATCGAATCTATCTGATATAGGTGTATCCTCAATATTTAGTCCTCTGAAGTTCGATAATAAGAAATGGAAATGTGAAAGAATGGCTGTCATCGAACTAGATGACGATATGTACCTCTTTCTAAGTTTTTTAGCCACAGCCATTAAACTCTTGTCCCGATGAGGAGTTATAAAGAGAGGTGCATTTTCCTTATTATTTGTTGGGTCCTTTTGATTTCCAGTAGTATATATTTTCTTTTCCAAAAATTCTGGTGTTATCTTTTCTAATTTTGGGTCAAATAAGTAAACATTTGATCGTGGATCCTTCAATTGGTGTAACGTCATTGGTTGATAAAGAACTCTATGCAAGTCTCCTGTCAATTGAGGTGGATGCAATCCTTCCATATCTGACTTTTTAATAATATCATTTAAAATAACTGTCTCTTGCTTAATACCATATGTATCAAACAGTACGTTAAATGAATTCTTCGAGATACTATCGGTTATTATCGCTTTATATGCCTCTTTATTCATGCGATCACTGTTGTAATCCAAGGATGTGCGATTACGCTTTCTTAGCCTAAGTTCCTTTGGTTTTATCCTTCCCTGTATCTTTGAACCACTTCGAACCCTGGCATCTGTAATCCTTTTTTGGTTGCCATCGAGATGAGGTGGTAATGTGACAACTTCTCCATCCTTTAGTATTATTTTGATGGGAGCATTTGTTGATTTGTGTTTATTGAGAGAACAACAGTTACTAAAAAACCTACCTCTATATGCCGATATTAAACTTTTTGTAGTAACTACCCTTAACATATCAAATGCAGGAGCTATTCAGATTTGTTTCTCGACCTTTTTGTATGCCTAATAATAGTCATAATCTTTATTATAGAAAAGTCTTTAGCTATGTACATAAAGTTCATAATTTTTCAAAAATAATAATACCCATTGCGACCAACTTCCCACAAAGAAACAAAAACAAACATTTCAAAACACATATCGATATAACCAACCGCTAATCTTCGATTTTCTGATAGAATTTTCTTTTATCTTATACTTTATTTATGCATAAATAAATATATAAATATATATATGTTTGTAATTTTTTTTGGGGGTGTTGATATTCAAGGTGTAATACTCTATAAATTGGTACTATTTCTTTTGAATAAATGGCAATATGAATAAAATAATCATATTGAGATCTCTAATAGACAGATCTATCTATGACCATTCCATTTTGAAATAGCGTAGTATATCTATTTTCATTTTTTTTTTAATGTTTTTGTTATTTTGCTTTTCTTTTACTTGAAATCAGCCACCTATATATTTTTGATCATCATTGTCATTATCATTACTGGAGGTCACAGGAATAGGTTTCCCATCAACTTCACTTATCCTGAGATTTTCTACATATTTTTCCAAAAGTTTCCAATTTTCTTTTCTTTCATGTTTACGTTTTTCAGTTTCTTTAACACTAGATAAGTATAAAGCATTGCAATTTTCATACAATACAGGATTTGTCTCAAGGAATATCTTTAAAGCTTTGAATGCCATTGCATGAATTGCTTTATTCCAAGAACCTGAATTTATCGCTTGTTCAACCAATAAATATGGATCGTTTAGATCTCCATTTGGATCAACCATATCAGATGGTGATAATGATGTATCTAATTCTAATTGAGCTGTCAATTCATATAATGCTGGGAAAATAATTGGTAAGATTACTTCTGCATTTTCAATACAAAGATTTAAGAAATATTCATTATTCCAGTAACTTAAAACTTTTTCAGCGACTTGAAAATGTGATGATGAGATACATTTCGCTAGTTGAACGAATAATGGAACCTCAACTTTAATAAATTCTAATGGTTCAATAACTTCAAATATATCTTCTATTTCATTTAAAAACATAATTTCTTTTGTAGAGTTAATCTTTGGCCAATAACGTAATAAACCCATTACAACTTCTTCTGTTAATAATGGTTCTTTTTCTAAGAATTGAACTATACAATAAGCAAGTTGTGGATGATATAATGACAAACAACGTACTTTATGTAATGGAATAAGTACTCTTACAAGGAATACTTTATGTTCTTCCTTTAATGGTAATGCAAACCCATTGATAATTGAACCAAGAATTTCTAATAATTCGGCAACACCATTAAATCTTTCAGTTTCATAAATAAATTGTAAAAAAATATTATTAATGGATCTTCTAATAAAACTTCTTAAAGAAAGAAATTTACCATAAATTCTATGCAAAGTAGTCTTTAAACAATCACGTTCTCTAATATCTTCACTATCAAATAATTCTAATAATGATAAGATAAAACCTTGATCGATATATTGTTTAGCTATTTGATGATTAAAATCTGGTGATTCAACAAATCTTAAAAACAATTCATAAACTAATTGCATATGAGGCCATGCCAATTCATTTACAGGTTCATCTTCATCAGGGTCATAGATATCACCAATTGGGTTTACCGGTGGTGGAATAGGCCTAAATAAGTTTACTTTAAACATTGTCACCATATGTAAATACATGTCATTAGTATAGGTAAATCTATTTGTTACAATAAATTCTATCAATTCTTGTAATGTGAATCTTTTAATTTCTTTACCTTGGATATCAAAACTTGGATCATTAAAATCAAACATGATATTACATTGATCTAATTTAGCTATAAACAAAGGAATTTTTTCTTCTGGAGCTACTTCATCAAATGATGGTAATTTTGAAATTTGTGTATATCTTGATGGTTCGAATCTTGATGATGAATGACGTTGTGGAGTTCTAATTAAATCTACGTCTGCATCCGAGACAAATTTTGCTGGAGTTGGTAGTTTCTCAAATGAATGGGAAGATCTTGGAATATCAATACTTGGAGATGAAGGTGATCCGCCTTGAGAGATATTGTTAGATGGTGGAGATGAATTTGCTCCTCCCCCTCCTATTGCTATGGCAGTAGTTGCGCTCGTAGCAGCAGCAGCAGTAGCAGCACCAATAAATGTAGGATGAGCTGCTGTTGTGGGTGTAACTACTTGTTGTTCGGAACCAATATCCTTAGCATTATTTGTCGTTGTTACAGTGACACTTGGATTAGAATTTGAAGTACTTGATTTTTTCTTATTGGAAGAAGAAGAAACTTTCCTTGAATTTTTTTGTTTTGAACCATCTGTAGATGAAGTTTGTTTCGAAGATGTATGATGTTTATGAGACGATGAGTTTGAATTTGTTACTGATTGCTTTTGAGAATCTGTTGTCGTTGTTGTTGATGATGTAATGGAACCACTTGAATTATTGCTGCCATTATTTTTAATTGAAGAACTTGCTGATTTTTTACTTGAATCTGAAGTCGGTGTAGTTGAACCATTTGTTGACGAACTACCACTAACCGATCTTTTCTTTTCTTTTTCTTTCTCTTTTTCTTTCTCTTTCTTCTTCGAAGAACTTGAACTTGATGTCTTCTTAATCAATTTCTGTTTAAAACCACGCATCATCTTGAGATTCCAGGGATAGAACTTAAAGACAGTTGAGAGGGTATTTATGAGAAAATGGTAAATATATTGATAACTTCAAAGGATTGAGAAAAAACACACCGGTATGTATCACTTATCTATCAAATCAAACGAGACCAACTATATATACATATATATGTAATTGAAGTCTTTGTCTGTAAAATATATTATTATTTGTTGTTGTCCCTTTTTCTTCTCCCAAAATAATTTCGCCAAAAAAAAACAAAACAAAAATAGTGTGTGAAACGGTCATAAACAACGACAGATACGCAACGAGGTAAAGAAGAAGAAAGTGTTGTCCCCTCGAGAGGGAGAGAGAGAGAGAGAGAGAAGGAGAGAATGTATATAGCTATATAAGAATACGTATGGGGATGGTATCAGTTTGTTGGCAGATAGACCATTAGATAACCCGTGTGGCCTTCGCCGTGTGAATCCAATTGACCCAAGGAGTTGACTTCTCCGATCCCATATTGGAAAGTGTTATAATTTACGAACCCAAAATGTGCATAAACGTCTCTTGCGTGCTCACTAATTGCCTCCAGGACCAATGCACAGTTTTCAGTGTTTGCTTTATCAATGTATAGTTCAAACATTGCTCTGACGGTTCCCTTCATGTGAGATTCCGGGTCTTTCCCGATCATGAACAAATAATAATATTTCATTCCCTTTGGGATGACCGTCTCTTTAACTTTTAAAGAATTATCAAAGAAGATCTTGTTGAAGGACTCATCTGAAGTTCTATTCATGGGGACAGATAAGGATGGCGTGGTCCAAATTGCAATGGTTGTATAATTTCCACTTTGCATAATTTGAGCACCATGATCATAATAGTGTTTTAAAAAATTGTAAGTTAGAGTATCGATTGCCTCTGAATTATTTATACCTAAACTTAACGGTTTATCTTGTAGTTTACAAGCAAGGTACCAATAGCTTGGTTCTCCACGAAATGCATTTTGTAAAGCAGCACAACTTTTATCGAAATCTCCAATCTGACAGACGTCCATCTTCTAAAACAAAAAAATCAATTGACTTGAACTTGTCTCGTTGTTGTAGTAGTAGAAAATGTATATCTATATATATATATATATATATATATATATATATATATCGATCTATCTATTTATCTTATCTTATTTATATGAAATTAGATAAAAACCGGCCGATTGGAACTCGTTCGCAGTGATGACTATTCCCTGCAAAAAAAAAACCAGAACACAATACCATTAAATTAATCCTTTGGTAAATAAATCATTAGATAACCTGTGTGGCCTTCACCGTGTGGGTCCAATTGACCCAACGAGTTAACTTCTCCGACACCGTAATGGAAAGTATTGTAGTTAACAAAACCAAAATGTTCATAGACTTCCCTTGCGTGTTCACTAATTGCCTCCAGGACCAAAGCACACTTTTCAACGTTTGCTCTATTAATATAGTGATCAAACATTGCTCTCACTGTCCCCTTCTCGTGCGATTCGGGGTCCCTTCCAATCATAAACAGGTAGTAGTAATCCATTCCCTTTGGAATGACCGTTTCCTTAATTTTCTGAGATTCATCTAGGAAGATCGAATTGAATGTTTCGTCTTTCGTACGACCCACATCGACATGATGGCCCGGCACGGTCCATATCGCTACAGTAGAATAATCTCCCGTGTAAACGAGTTCCGCATTGCGTTCATGGTAGAACATAACTGTATTTTCAGTCAATTTGTCTGCAACTGACTGGGATTCCAATGGCTTCTGCAGCGGAACGTCCTGGAATTTACAATTTATGAAATCATTGGCACGACTGTCGTGGAACGCAGCCAGCAGCGTCTTACAGGCACGACCGATATCACTCACTCTTGCGACTTCCATCCTTTTAACCCAATTGCCAGTCTGCTCATCCACCTCCAACACCACCCACCCAGCCGCCATCGCATCCCTCGACGCTCCCATCTCTGCCGGTCTGCCGCTCTCTTTATATAGACGGAAGCAACCGCGGCCGCGAGGGGGCGGAACAGCCCTAACAAACCGGAGCGCACGCCGGCCGTCGCCGGTGACACGCCGCCGCTGCGCCTGCAAATTTTGCTGCGTATAAAAAGGGAGCGGCAGACGGCGGAAAGCAGATTTCGTTCTTTTCTTTCTTTCTTTCTTTCTCTCTCTGTGTGAGGCAGATCAGCAAGACGAACAAGTCGATGAGGATGGACCACCAGAGGTCGTAAGGTTACGGCCTGCTCCTGATAGTCCCGTCGTGCTGCTTGCAACGATAGGTTTATCTTACAATGAGGATTTCTACTATGATGACAAATGGTGCATTACTGCGGCGTCGAACCCGCAACACTATAATATTCTATTTAAATGAGTGACAGTCTAAAGACTACCCATTACAATCAGAACCGCTACACTGACCCCCTCCCCCATTTTAAGACTTCTTGCAGTGTAATTCTTATCGTATTTTGACCTGCTGTATCTTTGTAAGTTGTATTGCTTTGTATAGAGTTTTGTATTGGAAACGCGTAAAAATTTATATCCATCGTAATCTAATTGACAGAGAACAGAAGACAATTATTTTATAACGAGATGGGCAAGGGAGGTATAACTTTAGTTACACACACACCCATATATATATAGTAAGTACACTTGACATACCGATACCCATACACACACAGACACACACACACCATGGACTTGTCAAAATACACCCATGATAACAAACGAATTAAGCTTAATTCAACAGATCCGTCACGATTTCAGAATGGGAATATTATTACATTAAAATTACAAAATTTCGTTACGTATACACTAGCAGAATTTGCAATGACACCATCATTAAACATGATTATTGGTCCCAATGGATCAGGGAAATCAACAGTAGTTTGCGCGATTTGTCTTGGTCTTGCTGGTAAGACAGAATATTTAGGTAGAGCAAGTGACGCAGCTAGTTACGTTAAAAATGGTTGTCCCTATGGTACCATTGAAATTACTTTAAGAGATACTGAAGCCCCCAATGGAGAATTTTCAATAATAAAAAGAAGACTGATGAGAGATAAACGTGGTGGTGGATCAGAATATTGGCTTAATGATAAACAATGCTCTGAACAAGTCATTAAACAATATGTTCGTGGGATGAATATACAATTAGATAATTTATGCCAATTCTTATCACAAGAACGTGTTGAAAAATTCGCAGCTTTAAAACCTGTAATGTTATTACATGAAACCGTTAGAGCCATTGATATTAATTTATTAAATCATTTAGAACAATTAAAATTATTACAAGAAAATGAATTAACTTCAGCTAAAGAAATTGATATTAGTGGGAAAAGATTAGATGAATTATTAAGACAAAAGGCAAAACTAGATGAAAATATTAGATCTATTAGAGAATATGAATTAAAAAATGAATCATTGAAAAGACATCAATTTTTATTACCTTATACTTATTTAAAAGATCATAAAGAAAAATTAGAATCATTTAAGAAAGATTATAAATTTGCAAAACAACAATTAAAAATTTTAATTCAAAAGAAAAAAAAATTTCAATCAAGTACAGATATTATCCATGAAAATGAAAATTCAACAAATAATGAATTAAATAATATTACAAAATTAATTGAAGATCAAAATGAAATGATTAATAAAAATAAAATTTCTTTAAAAAATTTAAGGGATTCAATTATTAAGAAACAAAATCAAATTGAATATTATAAAAATAGAGCAAACAAGATTAAAGAAAAAATTAAATCAACAGAAGATACACTTCAAGAGAGAAAACAAATTTTACAATCAATTGATTTACCTGATCCTGAAAAATTTAAAACAATTTCAGAAAAGAGAAATCAAATCATTATACAACAACAATCAACACAACAAACAATTAATTCAATGAATGATAAAGCAAGAACAATTGATCGTCAAATTACTGCTTTAAAGGATAAAATTCAAAGGAAAAAAATGTCTCAAACAAATTATGATAAAATTGATTTATTAGATAATCCAAAGAGACCAGATTTAAAGACAATAAGATATGCAATGTTAGACATAAGAAAAATTTCAAAGACAAATCCAGAATGTGGTCAACAAATTTTGGGTCCACCATTAATTACAATATCAGCAAAAGAACCATCTTTTGCACCATATTTATCTTCTGCAATTCCATTTGCCACTGCAATTGCATTAACTGTAACTTCAGATAGAGCCTTTGATCTATATGCTGATCCTATAGTGAAAAAATTTCCAGTCAATTTAAGACAATTATCAAATAATCAATTACAAGAACCTATCTCTAGAGATGAATTAATTGAACGTTATGGTTTTGAAGGTTATTTATCTGATTTTATTAAAGGTGATAAAAAAGTAATTCAAATGCTTTGTGAATTTCATAAAATTCATATGATCCCCGTGTCTCGTAAAGAGCTACCAAGCTCTCAATTAGAACCATTAATGAAACCTCAAGCAAATGGTAAACCTTTATTTAGCCAAATTATTCATGGTAAAACTTTAATCACTTTAAATGTCTCTCAAACAAATCAAGTCTATGCAAGATCAAGAAACATCGAATCTAATGCTAATTCTCAATTCTATGCTTCAAGTGTAATGTCTGATGAATTGAAGGCAAGTATCAATAGAGAAATAGAAGATATGACTACACAAGTTAATACACATTCAAAGACACTAGAGGAACAAATAAATGAAAAGAATGATGTTACACATCAATTAAAGGAATACGGTCATGAATTTGACAAGCTAAACAATGAATTAAGTGGATTAAATAACATTAGAAATAAACATTCTAAATTTCAAAATGATTGTAATCTTTTGGAAGAAAATTTAGAGAAATATAAACAAGATGCAAGAAGAGATGTCTCTTTAAAGATTGAAGACGTGAAACATCAAATAACAGAAGATTTAAAAGTAGAATTGAAATTGGCTCAAGAGATGATTAAACTTGTCACTACAAGATGTACTATGGAAGAACAACACATTACTCAACAAGCTAACTTCTTTAAATTTAAAAATATGTCTTTGTCAATGAATGGTTTAATTGAATCCTTGAATGCGGAAGAGGATGAACTTGATCAAGAATATAGAACTAAAAAAAATAATTTCGAAGAACGTAAAAATTCAAGAGAATATTTAGAATGGAAGAAACAAATCGAAACTTATGAACCTGATCTCAAAGAAAAATTGGCTGAATTAGCAGAAGAATATGATAAAGAGGATAATTTCACTATATCTTTTATTAATGATACTATTGATAAACTTGAATCCGAAATTTCCAGATTAAATCATGATGCATCTTCAGTTAAAATTATAGAAACAGTAGAGAAAGAAATTAAACAATTAGAAGAAGTATTACCAGGTCAACAGAAAAAATTGGCCGAGACACGTGAAGAAATGAATAACAAAAGATCTATTTTGGAACCTAAATTAGATGAAATTATTGAAATGATCTCTAAAAAATTCGCTGATTTGTTTAAGAGAGTAGGGAGTGCAGGTGCCATTAGATTAAATAAACCAGATCTTTTCACCAAATGGGAGATTGAAATTCTAGTCAAATTTAGAGATAATGCAGTATTAAAACAATTGGATCCCCACACCCAATCTGGTGGTGAACGTGCTGTATCCACAGTGTTATACATGATGGCACTTCAAGACTTTACTACTGCACCCTTTAGAGTCGTAGACGAAATCAATCAAGGTATGGATAGAAGAAACGAAAGAATCGTTCATAAGGCTATGGTAGAAAACGCTTGTAAAGAGAACACTTCTCAATATTTCCTGATCACGCCCAAATTATTAACTGACCTATACTATCATGAAAGAATGAGAATTCATTGTGTGATGGCTGGGCCATGGATTCCTAACCCTTCTGTTCAACCTGAAATGCAACATTTCGGTGAAACATCAAATTATGTATTATAAGCATATCCTACACCTTTAAGAAGACGCTTTTGTATATAAAGACATATATCGTACATACGTAGTTTGTTAAACGTTAAAACTTTAGCATAGACTTTCAGAGACATTATTTTCAATTTACCTCAAAACTTATCGAGTCATCATCAACTGTCAGTTTATCGGAGCTGCTGAAATTCTATTTTTTTTTTTTAATTATTAAAGGAATCATGTCGATATTTGAAGGAAGGGGAGCTAAATTAGGCAAAATAGAAGACAACAAGCACCAAATCGAGAAAGAATATATACCAGAAAGTATAATTGCAAGTTGTGTTAATACCTATTAATTATGAACCGATTACTGCTTGGAAGAAATTACAAAATTGTGTCCATACCTAGGATTTCTAGTAAACATTATGTAACCAACTGGACAAGGGATTACTCAAGTCTTTTATCACACAAGCAATCTAAGAAGGTATCTGTTCAACCAAACTATCCCGTAGTCACTAGATTTGCTCCAAGTCCCACTGGGTCGTTGCATATAGGGTCCTTAAGGACTGCTCTTTACAATTTTCTACTTGCTCGTAATACTAAGGGTAAATTCATTTTACGATTAGAGGATACTGATAGAACAAGATTAAAACCAGAAGCAGAACAAAATATATATGATACAATGAAATGGTGTGGATTTAATATAGATGAAGGTCCTATTAAACAAAGTGAAAGGAAAGAAATATACGCTGAACATATTAAAAAATTACTGGATAAAGGGCTTGCTTATCGTTGTTTCTGTAGTAAAGAGAAACTAGAGGCATCGAGATTAGATGGGTATGATAGACACTGTCTCCATTTGACAGAAGAACAGATTTCGACAGAAATGAAGGAGAATAATGGAAAATTTATTGTTAGATTTAAAGCACCTGAAAAGTATGAGAGTTTTGCTGACCTATTACACGGTGAAGTTAATATTCAAGATAGAAAGGATAGAATTGGTTATGATGATCTTGTCCTAGTGAAATCTGATGGTATGCCAACGTATCATTTTGCAAACGTTGTTGATGACCATCTTATGGGTGTTACGCATGTTATAAGAGGAGATGAATGGTTACCTTCTACACCTAAACATATCATGTTGTATAAAGCATTTGGTTGGACCGCACCAAAATTTATCCATATTCCATTATTAACAAGTGTTGAAAGTGATAAAAAATTAAGTAAAAGAAGGAATGATGCTTCGGTATTAGCATTAAAAGAGAAAGGAATCTTACCAGAGGCTCTGATAAATTTTTGTGCCTTATTAGGTTGGTCTCCTCCGAGAGATGTAGCTCAAAGGAATCATGAATGTTTTACGCTTGAGGAATTGACTCAATTGTTTAACCTTGATCATTTAACGAAGGGGAATGTCAAAGTTGATAATAGCAAGCTGTTATTCTTTAACAAACATTTTTTACAAAAGAGAATTGACAATGAAGAACAATTAAATGAATTAGTTTTGAATGTTGTTCCTAAAGTGTCTGCTCTATTTGGAATCCCAATTGAAGTACAATTGAAAGAGAAGGTGAAATTAATACTCAAGGATTGTGGCCACTGTTTGAATACTATCAATGATTTCCAAGAAGAATTTTCATATTTCTTTAAACTACCAGATTATACCGGCCAATCTGAGGAAACACAAAAGTTCATTAAGGGTAGCAATAAAGATAAAATTATATCTATCCTCGAAGCCTCTAGAACTAAACTACAATCATCTACTATTCAGGAAACGATATCTGAGATCACAAAGACTTTGGGTGTCAGTAAGAAACTTTTATTCCAATCTCTTCGTTTTGCTCTTTCTGGTAATGTGTCAGGTGCCAAAATTCATGTTATTTTAGATATATTAGGTGATGCCGAATCTCGAAATAGACTTGAAGTAGCAATCAGATATTTAAAAACTATGTAAATACAGGAAACAATAAATCTCATTTGTGAATATTAGCTACGTTTGTAACTGACCATGTTTTAAATAACTTGTTTACTACTTGACTTGAATAATTTGTCTTAGAGCCGAAAGTGTCTTGAGAACTTTACCGAAAATTTAAAGGATCGAAAGTAAACAGGCATATTTAAGACTCCTACCTTAAATAAAAGGTCACAGATTGTTCTTTTGTAGCGCTACTGAATAGAAATCATATCAAATACCACTAATAAACGTAATAACCTCATCACAACAACAATGTTCGCTGCAGTCGCTGCTGGTAACCCTTTACAACTTTCAGAAGAAGTAGCCAACTCTAATGGATTACAACATACTATTATTCTCTCTTCGACAAAACCAAAGTCATACTCTCATATTTCAATATTTATTCTACCCAATGTTACATTTCCCGAAAACTTTATTGCTACAGTATATTTTAAATTAGTACCTACGGATGATTTCAAATTATTTGGTTACTTATCATTAGAGAAACCAAGTGCAATTTTTAAAGTTAAACTTCCTGGTGGTGGTAATACCAACAATGGTACAAACAACTTTATGTCGCCATCAAATGATGGTTTAGGAGAGATTGATATGGATGATGACTATGGCTCTAATGAAATGAATCCTATGATGGACGGAAATGGTCCTCAAACGAATAATAACCTTTCGCAAGTAACCATTGGTATTTCCATTGAACCTAGAGAAGAAGGGTTATTGAAAATACAGGAGTGGAAACAAGAAATGAGTATACAGAACAGCAAGAATGCTTCGTCATTGGTGCTGTCTAGACCTAATGGAGCTATGGGTATTCCATTAGCCGTTCGAACAGCGGGTGAATTGGCAAAGACATATCCAGCTTTAACGAAGGAACTAGCTGCCAAAATTGTTCAACACGCATATAACTATTTATCAGGATTTTTAGATAACAACGGGAACGTATCTATTAAGAGGTTTGACACATGGTGGGATAAATTTAAAAATAGACTAGAGAATGATGGGGCCTTCCTCGATGAGGTCACCAATGCATAAAGATAAAGAAATCTTACAAACGACTTATATACCAGTAGATGTGATTCAGAAAGATAGAGAAGTCCATAATACATCTTTAAAATAAAATATGTACAGTTATATACGTATTTGTAATGAACAATCACGATTTTTTTTCATTTATATATCTATTATCTCCATGCGTTCTGGTGAGGAGAATATACTTTTAGTCATAGTGTATATATGTGTGTGTGTGTGTGTGTGTGTGTGTGTGTGTGTGTGTTTGAGTGCGTGTGTGATAGGGCTGGAGTTCTTATAGTTCATCATGGAAGTTCTTAATAGAATCAGCCATTTCGTTACCGAAGACCAAATGTCTACTATTAATTAGTTTTCTATCGAATTCATCCTGTTCAGGATCTCTTGGTTCTACACCATCAGCCAAATGTGCTTTCCTTTCCTCGACTTGATTAATCAACCAATTTAAGAACGAGGTATCGACCTTGATATCTTTACTGAAATCTGTTTTCAAATTGTACAATGTGTTAAAGAATTTTCTTAAATGATCTTCATCGATATCTACCTCTTTAACGTATCTTGAGAATTCTTTAACCCAGTCTTGAATTGTTGGAATGACAAACAAAATTCCGTCCCTTTTCATTACAGGTGCAATATCCTCATTATGAACTCTATCAATAAAAGTTGAGATAATATCCAAGATTCTGAACTTTAGCGCCTTATCGTCTATGGTGTAGAATACTCTTCTCAAGGTTTCGAAATCAACTGCACCAACAATATAGGTTGGGTCAGACTCAATTAACACGGTTAAAATGTTAATGAATCTTTTAACAAGTAGTTGAACGTCATCTGTCACTTTTTTCACTTCGTTAATATTATTAAAGATGTCTCTAACAAAGTTTGGATAATTCTGTTCGATATATTCTATCACAGGTGGATTATTTCTTATACATGCAACAATGACACGAGTGTCTAATTCTCTAACTGTAATTGGGATCGATTCATTTAATGCTACCGATTTTAATAAATCAAATTCTTTACTGACGATCTTGAAACCATGCTTATAATCATGAGCAAACTCCATTATCTCTTCTAATTGTTCTGCAACTTGAGTATATTCACCTTTATTTAAATTTATTCTAATGGCAGCGAATTGTTCAGAAAATTCATAATTATTTACTATTGCACTTTCATCCTTCTTAATCAAATTCGATTTATCCTCTATAATTTGGACTACACCATCAGAATCCTTTTTTTCCTTATCGTCATTATTATTGGTTACCATATTTCCATCTCCTAATTTTGCTTCTTTTAAACCTGTCTCTAAATTAACTCTAATGTCTAAACCGGCTGGTAATCTTTGTTCAGGTTTAACAGTTTGCCATTCGGATGAGGGTTCAAATAACAAAGGGTAACAACCATCATCATTACATAATAAATCACCAGATATATATGTATCGCTAGAAGGGTGTTCCTGTAGATCATCTGACTCGTCGCCTGTCTTCGCCGTTGCAGACGAAGGTGCTAAAATTATTTGATTTGAATGGTCCATTGCTATAACTCTAGTTATCAATAATATAACGGCCGGTAGCCACTGTATATATCTTTTTGTTAGCATCCGATTTATTTTTGGGTCTCACTCAATCAAATACTATGACTTCTAAACTTTACGAAGATCCTCGAGAGGTAAATATATATACGTGTATATATTTCTGTACCTATTTCAAAATATCCTGATCTTATAAGAGAGATGCTAGTAGGATCTGATTACCTTCGACACTTAACAGAAGTCAGTGGTATCTCTGTCATTTTTGGCTCTAGTTTTTAGTTTTTTGGCTTCGCCAAATCAGCCAGCGTACGGCTTATCTAATAGAAACTGACTAAATCATTGTCACGATTAGATAATAATATATCAGATAATGCAAAACAAATTGATATTATTTATGATTTGTGGGGTTATGAAATTAAGAATAATGACCTAATTATATGTAAAATGAGTTATATAAAGATGTATTTAAAAAAAAAGGGTATGATAATTGTACTTTTGTTAAAAAAAAAAAAGAACATAGAAGAGTCAATTGAAAAAATTTAAAAGGGGAGTTCTTGAGAAATGTATAATATGTTCCTATTAATAGCAACTATTATGTCTTCTCTCATAATACAATTCCTTTCCAAAAAAAGTTTCATTTTTCATAATCATTGTTCACAATTTAATTCAACAAGTATAAAATATCATTAGGAGTTTTTATAGTAAACAGTAAAAATTTCTCTTTTTTTATAAGTTTTCTTAATCGAATAGACCGAAACCCATGTCATCATCTTCTTCAGATTCATTTTCTTCAGCAGCTTCTTCAGCGGCAGCTTCACCAGAGGCAGCAGCAGCGGAACCAGAGGCAGCAGCTGGGCCAGCAGCTGGAACAGAAGATAGCTTTTCGTTACCTTCAGTAATCAAATCAGCAACAGTCTTACCTTCTAGAGAAGTCATTAGGGCAGAGACCTTTTCTTCTTCGACTTCAATACCGACAGAGGCTAGGACAGCCTTGACATTGTCAGCAGATGGGGTGTTGCCGGCGGCGTTCAATAGTAGGTAGGCAGCTAGGTACTTCATTTTATTTCTTTAGTTGATCTATATTTGTGCTTATTTAAAACAACAACAAGTAATATAGGTTAATTAAAATTAAGAAAAAAGTACCATTATATATAGTAAGAAGAGGTATCTTTAATTTTTAATCTTGATAATTGATGTATATTGAATGAAACTAAGGTGTAAGTGGTTCTCACTTCTTACTAACATGCACTGACACGATATCACTATTTCCAAATTGGAGGAAAGAACTATTCAATCCTGTCACTCTATGTGTAAAGCTCGATCCCACACATATTGGCATTCACCTATTTACAAAGAAGGTCTCTTAGTAGTTTACAGTTGCAATGAGCTGGTTGAAATTCTTTCCGGTTGGTCGCCCCAGCAGGGAGGGAAAGAATTTAGTTCGTGCGGAAAGCGAAATATACGTGGATAGTTTCCCGGGACGTTCCAGGACAAAATCCCAAGTTTATAGCGTGATGTACCGATGTATACCGTCATTTGTCTCTGATTGGCAGCGCGGTGTGTGGGTTGTACAGTCACGAATATCCGATGAAAATATAATTTCAAATTCCTAAGGCGCATCCTCCCCTCCACCCCCCCGGCGCCGTCCGCCTAGAAAGAAAAGTGAAAAAAAATTATGAATTTCACTTTTCCCTTTACCAAGCAGAGAAGCACTACGCTGAATAGATTGAACCAACAAAATAGTTGTTGCACTGTTTTGTTTGAAACTGTTAATTTATTATCATCTACTCAACTGATTCAGTTCAAGGTTTTGGCCCAGAGTTTGTTAACGTTACATTACACTATTCATAATCTGCTTTTTTGCTTTCTTCTCTCTCTCTCACTTCAATATATTAAATAAAAGAAAAGTTCTTCTATATTAGTATAAATTGATAACAAGTTTTTAAATATTGTAAAATTTTCCTTTATTTAATCATTTATCAAGATTAGCATCACATATACACAAATCGATATAGTCCAATCATGTCTGCCGAAGCCCCAGCTAAGAAGAACAGAATTTTTAAGACCCACTCTTACAGAGGTGTCGACCTAGATGAACTACTAGGCATGTCTACTGAAGACTTCATCAAGCTAACTCCAGCTAGAGTTAGAAGAAGATTTGCTCGTGGTCTATCTGCTAAGCCAGCCGGTTTCTTGAAGAAATTGAGAGCCGCTAAATTGGCTTGTCCAGAAAACGAAAAGCCAGCTGCTGTTAGAACTCATCTAAGAAACATGATCATCGTTCCAGAAATGATCGGTTCCAACGTTGCTATCTATAACGGTAAGGCTTTCAACCAAGTTGAAATTAGACCAGAAATGTTAGGTCACTACCTAGGTGAATTCTCCATCACTTACACCCCAGTTAGACACGGTAGAGCTGGTGCCACCACCTCCCGTTTCGTTCCATTGAAATAAGCTTTATTTAAGGGTTACTATTATTATTTTTTATCCAAAATTATTATTACATTAGACAACTTTATTGCATGGGTTTGATATCATGGTTATAATGGGATACTAATATATTGTTTTCTTTTATTTCATTTCAAGTGTGTTGTCTCTTTTTCTCGTCTTTTCACTCCCATTATAATGTGATTGACTGAAATAAAAAAAGGACAATTAGGAATGGAATAAGATAATCATACATTGGTACTCATTTCTAATAAACCCCAATCCATGAAACATCCAGTCTTTTATTTTAAATATATATATATATACTACTACTTATAATCTTATCTCATAATTATGGTCATGAATAAAGAAGACCAAATTTCAAAATCAAAATCAAGTTTCTATAATTACATACATCTATCTCAGTATTCTATATATCAAATGATTTAGATACTATGATTCTAAATAATTGTTTGTGACAGTTGTCATTTAGATCGATAACTACGATGTAATCCTTCATGTTGGTGATCCTTTGTGTGACAACTACGAACTAAAAAGCTTTTTTACACGTGACCGCTTCAACTGAAAAAATTTTCTCTTTTAGTTTTCTCATCTCATCGCATCTCATCACTTAAGTAAAATAATCCATTTTTTGTTATATTAGAGAATATCACAACTCATTATTAACTTAAAGGTCGTATATATTACATTAATTTTGGATAGTTTGTGTTTTTATCAATACAAAGTAGCTAGCATCGACAAAGTGTTTTTTTTTCTATATAATTAATATCATGTCATCCATCGATAATCTTTTCGGTAATGTTGACTCTAAAAACGTCGAATCTAATGTCAATGATATCTTTAATCAAAAGAGTAATGCTGTTGACACAGTATCCATCAAGACTAAATTGAGAACTATCTTACCAAGCATTAAGAAGAAGAGAAAGAACACTGGGGAAGAAAAGGAAAAGGACCAAAAGGTAAATGATGATCAAATTGAAGAAGAAAGTAAAGCAGATGAACCTGTCGCCAAGAAACAAAAGAAAAAGGACGGTGAAGGTGAAGATGATTTAGAGGGTAAATATTTTGCAAAGATAATGGATACTGATGAAAAGGACAAGAAGAATGAAGAAAATGATAGTGATAGCGATGATAAATCAACTAAGTCCAAACATGCTGAAAAGGCAAAAAAAGTAGATCTAAAGGAAGATGAATTAGAAAAAGCTGAAAGAACTATTTTCGTAGGTAATGTAACTAATGAAGTTATTACATCTAAGGATAAATTCAAACTATTCAAGAAATTATTCAGTACTGATCCAAACCCAAAGGAAGATGATGATGATGAAGAAGAAGCTGACAAAGAAACTAAGAAAAAGAAACAATTATATGTTATTGAAAGTGTTAGATTTAGATCTATTTCATTTAAGGAAGCTTTACCAAGAAAAGTTGCGTTTGCCCAACAAAAATTACATGACTCTAGAGAAGCTGTTAATGCATATATCGTTTATAAGGAAAAAGATTCTGTTAGACCATTACTAAAGAAATTGAATGCTACTGTCTTTGAGAATCGTCACTTAAGAGTTGATTCTGTTATTCATCCAGCACCTCATGACAAACAACGTTCTATCTTTGTTGGTAATCTTGATTTTGAAGAAGATGAAGAATCTTTATGGAAGCATTTTGGTAATTGTGGAGAAATTGAATATGTTCGTATCATTAGAGATTCTGTAACAAACATGGGTAAAGGTTTTGCTTATGTTCAATTTTATGAATTACAAAGTGTTAACAAAGCATTATTATTAAATGGTAAACCAATGATTTCTGTTACTGCTACTAAGAACAAAAAGGGTAGAAAATTACGTGTTACTCGATGTAAGAATATGAGAAAAGAAAAAAATTCTTCTGAGACACGTCATTCTAAGGGTAAAAATTTTAATAAATTGAATGAATCTCAAAGAACAAAGATGGGTAGAGCCGGTAGAGTCCTTGGTAAAGCTGATAAAGCTACACTAGGTAAACAAATAACTATAGAAGGTCTAAGAGCCACAAAGGGTGAAAAGGTATCTCATTTGAAAAGAAAGAAACAAAGATCAAAGTCTGGTAGAGTCACTAAACGTTCTATTGCATATAAGAAGGCTCAAACCGAAACAAGTGATAAATAAGTAGGCTATAGTTTATCGTTACATATTTATGAGTAAGACATAAGATAAAAAATTAAATTTTCATTGTATATTATATTCAAAACTTGTTTAAATTCCAAATAAAAACGAGAAATAGTTTATTTGATATTCTATATTGTTACTATTGCTACATCTATATATCTATTAATATATAAAGTTAAGTATGAATGCAAAACGAAATGAATTTGGACAATGTGAGAGGAGTTGAAAATCAATACTAGATTTCTGTTATGATAAATATAAAAAATAAATAAGATGAAGAATTGAATGTATGCGATCGATTAAAGGAATAGAGTCTTCAAAAATGTATGACTATTGAAAACAACAACAACGACAATCATAATAATAATAATCATAATACTAATTAAGAAAATACAGGGAACGATCATAAATGACAACTTTTGACATGAAATAATGAATAATAGGGTGAAAGAAATAAAAATGGAATGTTATGCTATTTCATTAAAAAAATAAAAAGAAATCAAATCATTCAATTAACCAAGTATGGATCGCCTTGTTGTTGGTGTTGGTAATAGTGTTGACTGTTTGGTCTCTTATTTTGTTTTAGATGTTGTTGTTGTTGGAATTGATGCTGTTGCTTTTCCAAACTTTTTTGTGCTAATATTGATAATAAATTTTCTCTATCATTCAATTTTTGATTAAATTGCTTTTGATGCAAATAATTCACATTATTTGGTGTGTTCGATCTATTGAACGAATTCTGTTGATCAGAGTTAAACATGTGCTGATGAGATTGTTGTTGTTGTTGATTTTGATTTTGTAACTGAATATTATTGAAATTGTTCATAGATGGATGAGTACTATATTGATTTGGTACTGCAGGTGCATTTGGATTTGGGAATTCTGGATAGAAATGAGAGTCATCCTGGAAGGATTTCATGTAATCAAGTTTTAGTCTTGCATGCATAGTCACTGGATCTTCAAAATTTGGACCTTTATCAGGGAATGCTATGGGGACAGGGTTTACCATATTGACATTTGAGTCGTAGCTGGTACGCTGTCCCTGATGCATCTGTCGCTGTTGTTGTTGCTGCTGCTGCTGTTGCTGTTGCGGTTGTTGTTGATGCTGTTGTTGGTTATGCTGGAACATGGGATGATTCATCATATTTGCATCATTTGATATTTCAGATGAGTATTGGTTTGATTTCTGCATATCTTCTTCTTCTTTTTTTTTCTCTTGTTGATCTGGTTCTATTATCTACAATGGAAACTAAATTTTCTGATCTCTCTTTTCTAGTTCCTAATAAATCGCTATTCAGCAGTGAAAAAAGGCTCTTTCAAATATATATTCCGTAGTCACAACCTTGTCTGTTCTTCTTTTGTTTATTGCTTGAATCACTAATATATATTTTATTCTGTGTACTCTTCTTTCAACTCATTTTGATTTTATTTTTTTTTTTGCTTTTCTTTCTTCTCTTCGCTGGCAAAATTTTTCAGCGAGAAAACCAAAAAACCAAAAAAAAAAAACGAAAATTTTGGAAATCGTTACAATATAGATATAGATAGGTTGGCAAGATGAAAAGAAAGTAATGATGGTTTTCTCTAGGTATCTTGCTGAGCAGTTCGTAGCAATTCAAACTCTGCCACTAATGGAATATGATCACTTGGATGGGTTTCGTTAGGTAAACCAAATTGATGATGTGTCTCAAGTTCTTCTGTAACTTCTTTCCCACTAAGAATCTTTGTCAATTGAAAATCGGTATCATGATACCAGATATAATCAAATATACCTTTAAGTTTCCCTGAATAACAAGTATAATCGAAGAGATTTTCTTTCACTATATCATCATAAACGCAATGGTTCAAATTTGTACGCATTGGGTTCAGCATATTAAGACTATTTGTGTTAAGGATTTGACCCTTTAAAAAATTTATCACTAAAGAATCACCTGTAGAATTTAAATCACCTGTAAATAGAATCTTAATTTCTTGATCTGGACGACCTTCCTTTGCATGGTTTTCTTTAATTTTATTAATAATTTTATCTAATTCCCTCATAATAACCATACATTGGGATAATTTTACATCATCATATTTCCAATAAAGATGAGTATTAATAACAACAAAAGCAGTACCTGTTGGTTTATGTCTTAAAGAAACAAATAAACATACTTGATTCTTTGACGTTAAAACATCTAGAAGATTACTCTGACCAATAATTTTCCCTGTACCATCAGTTAAATTCATCTGTTTCTTTGCTAAAAAACCTAGTTCATGTTTATTAAAATTGTTTAAGTATTCACTTAATTTGATACCAGTTGAATGAATAAATTCGAATTTTTCTAAGTTATAAAAAATCCCAACACCATCTAGTTGATCCTTTTCACCTTTCCAATAAGTTGGAGCAGTCTTTGAAATATACTCCGAACCCATCTTATATTTTTCAAGAAAATTATTTTTCCAAAAATTATTATAATCACGTATTGTTAATTCTTGTAAACACATAATATCAGATTTATAAGTTTGAAATAATTCTCTTTCAAGTAAATTATGCCTGTATCTCCAATCTTTGAATTTTTCAGGGACATAAGTATATACTTGAGGCCACATATATGCAGGAGAAAGGATATTATAAGTTAACATTGTAAATCTATTATTGTCAATTTCATTCTTAGTAACATTACCACCAGGTAGTCCTAATTCTCGTAATGTAGTCTTGCCAGCTCCCCATGATGTGACAGGTTTCACAGGTATAAATCGACGACAAAAAGCACTCATATTTATTTATGTACTCTTTTAATATCAATCGGAGAGTTAATAACACCAGAAAAGTCACGACCACTAAGATACTGATTATCTCTTTATTTTCTTGCCTTTCTTTATAATTCAGGGGAGGTAAGTACAACCAAGTAATATCGCCAACTGTCTTTATCAATTGGATACCCTTTCTTCAATGCTCTCGAGGATAACGTTCCAAACAGAAAATATATGAAACAATCACAAACACCAATGAACTATTTTCCCCTTGCGTAATATATCTAACCAAAACCTTCTCTCTTACTCTCTTTCCCTTTGGTGTTGCTCCCAGGAAGATTAAAAAGAAAGAAATGTTTATTTAAATTAAAAAAAAAATTTAATTTTTTTGCTTTATTTTCCCTTATATAATAAGCTAATGTAATCTGCAACGCCGTACATAGTATTATTCATTTATTTGTTTATTTTTTTTGATTGGACTTCTTAAAGAGAAACTGAAAAAAACTCTGTATTTGATAAGTTATTTGTGCAAGAACAGAGCAGATAAGATTTGGTTGCAGTTGGTGTCTGTTGAATTATGGGATAATCGTTTAGTAATGTCAGGGAAAAGACACAAAGTGGTGCACGTGGAGGTGAAGTTAGACGATGACGAAGTAGATAACGAAGATGGAACTATAACTTCTAAATATTTCCGGAAAAAAAAGATAACTGGAAACTTGCAATCAAAGGATTCTATGTTACCAGTAGATGTTGATGTAATAAAATCGTTATCTAGTGATGAATATTTTAGTCGGATGGATCGTATTACTAATGATGATCCGAGGCAATGGGATCGGCCTTTAACCAAAGAAACTCTTTCACAATTACGAAATAACGAAGAAGTACCAAGTAATTTTTGGCCCATTTTCTCAAGGGTTCGAAAGATGAGATCTCAAATGTTAACTACTCCAGTAGATACTATGGGATGTCCTAGAATTCCCGTGCTAGTGTCGAAACAATTCGGGATTACTCGGAGTCAAATGAGACCCATAGATTATCGGCTACAATTATTGGTTAGTTTGATCCTAGCGTCACAGACTAAAGATGAGACTGTAACAAAAGCTATGCATAATATAATGAGTTATTGCTTTGCTGAATTGCATGATCCTAGAGGAATCTCATTGTTATCCTTATCAAAGGTTCCGCGATCTACATTGGAACAGTTGATTAAGTCAACTGGATTTTATAAGAGGAAAGCTTTCTATATTGAAAAAACAGTTCAAAAATTAGCTCAAGATTTTAATGGTGATATTCCAGGGACTATTTCAGAAATGATAAGTTTACCAGGAGTTGGCCCAAAGATTGGTTATCTTGCACTTCAGAAATCATGGGGTTTAATTGATGGAATATGTGTTGATGTACACGTACATAGATTATGCAGACTTTGGAAATGGGTTGATCCACAGGACTGTCAAACTGCAGAACAAACAAGAGTCTCTGTGGAAAGATGGTTGCCTCGGGAACTTTGGTACGATTTTAATACTATTCTAGTTGGATTCGGTCAAATAATTTGTGGTCCCAAGATTAGAAGATGTAATATTTGTCTTGCCAATAAAGTTTGTAATGCTAGCAGTGTAAAATAAAATTAAAAAAGTTGTACTGTAGTTTGTTTCTTCGTGTGTGTTTTTTTACTCTACGTATTCATGATAATAAAGATATATATATTCATTCCTTTTATTTATTTATATGTATATTAATTTTTGGTTTAATGGCTGTGTTCTACATCAAAGAGATGTATGTGAAGTGTTTTGATATATTTAGTGTGACGTTAAAAAAAGAGATATTACTATTATTATAATTATTATGCGTTTAGAAGTTTGTTACATTTCTCTAGACTTTGATTAGAGAAATATCTAACATCAACATCAGAATCCTGACATAATGATTTAAGTGATGATAATATTGAGTCATTAATAACATCATCATATTGATCCTTGTGAACACATAATACTTCAACAATTACAGCATAAGATTTTGCAACATTGAATCTAATATTCGGAACAGCATCATCAGCTAAATGTTTAACAAATGGTAAAATTTGATCTGTGACAGTATCTTCAGATACAACAGGTACCAAAGCAGTTAAAGCTGATAGTAATGTAAATCTATAGATAAAATTCTCCAATAGTTGTGAATCTGATTTTAATAATCTAGATATAATTTCATTACGACACCAATCTGGGCCAAAAATTTCAGTTAATTTTTTTAAATTTTTAACAGCTGCTTCTCTAATTGAAAAAACTGTATCCCATAACCACGATAGACATAAATCACTTAATTGTTGATTAAAGAATTGAACACCTAAATGTTCAGCTAATATTGGAATATATTCAATGATTGCTAATCTAACTCTCCAATTAATATCATTGGCTAATTCTGTAATAGCAGGTAGTAAAGATTCTGATAATAAATCGATACCTATCACATCATTAACAACCTTTAAATTAGCGATAATATTTAAACGAACATCTGGGAATTCATCCTTTAGCATATTTAATAATATAGGTAACAAATTTTCAATAGCTTCATCTTTAGTTATTAATTCTACTAAATTTGTAACTTTTAAAGCTAAAGCAGCTCTAACCGTTTCATTTTCATCCATGCTCAAATTTTGCACAGCTGGTAAAACCTTCGTAAGAATAACACTTGGTTGATCTTTAAATAAAACAGCAAACCCTGGGATTTCATTGGCAATAGCTTTCCTTACATCACTTTCATTATCTTCACATAACCCTAAAAATGGTGGTAATAATTCTGTTAGATATTCATTATGACCTGCAAATTGAGAGGCTAAGGTTTCAAATTTGTCAGCTGCCATATAACGAACTCTCCAAGCTTCATCAGTACTCAATTTAACTGCAGATGTTAATAGATCTTTAAAATGAACATCATCATTCTTTGTGTTAAAGAATTTCAAAATAGCGATTAAACAATCAACGGCTAAGAATTTAACTGAATCCTGACTATCACTAATAATCTTCTGAAACATATTAGAAATAAAATCCCAATCGACATCATTAGATAAATCTGGATTTTGTCTTAATAAATCAATTAAAGTAGGTAGGTTCTTTGCTGCGGCTCTCTTAACCATTGGAGTATCATCTTGTACTAATTGTAAATAAAGTGCGAGTAGATTCTTTCTTAGAGTATCATCTTTTATCCTGACAATGACAGATTTAAACAATCCACAAGCAGAAACTTTTGAAGAAAACCAATCTGCTGCAGCTAAATGTTCGATCAAAGGAATAAAATCATTTAGAATTTGTTCTTCAGATAATTCGCATGCGATACTATTCAAAGAAGCTACGGCTTTGTCTCTCACTAAAGTCTCTTCAGTAGATGCAAGAATCTCTAACGCAGGCAAAAGTATCGTAGCGTGTTCTGGACCACCAACGTATGGAACAAAATTACCTAATTCATCGGCCAGTACTGCAAATACCTCATCTTCATCGTCCTGTGCAACCTCGGTTAAAAATGGAATTAGTTCGTCTCTTGTTCTTTCTGGACCCATAGCAATTGCAATAGTATCAAGCTTTTTCATGGCTTCCACTCTGTTAGAAATATCGTCATGTTTCAACTCGTCCATAAGCAAAGCCAATGGATAAACATCATTTCCATCGGCTGTTGTATTATTACTATCTGTGGCAACTGCTGACATTATTTATACAGTTCTAGTGAATGTATATGTGTGTGTGTATGTTTTTAAAAATTGAGCGAAGTTATATTCTTGGTTGTTTTCCTTTTTTTGATTCCTCTCCTTCCTATTGGATTAGTTTAAACTTATTTCAAAGAAAGAAAGACACGGTACTAGATATGTGCTAGAGTATCTATATACTTATATATACAAAGGATAACTATGCTATACTATCATAGTATATATATGAAATTGAGTAATTCCATCACCCTTTAAGAATTGCGATCCTTTGACAATACAAAGGGACAGTTGCTAAGAAACTGTCAACACGGCCCTCACCTCACACAGTCTGCCACTTTCTTAGTTTTCGCCAAATTTCGTCTCTTTTTCCTTTTCGCCTTTTCAAAATTTATGCTCGCTGTAGAAATGGGAAACAAAAAAACCCGCCGCGGCGGGTTTTTCAAAAACCCTAAGATTCCGTTAATAGTGATAAACAATGGTCAAATGACAAAAAAGTAGCAAGGGTTTAGTCATTTTAGTGGGGCCGAAGGAAAAAATATTTTGGGATGAAATTTAGGGAAGTCTGAGACGCAAAAGAGGTTAACAGGAAAGTTGGGGGGCGCATCTCAAAAGGACAAAATATTTCAGGTACTTTCTCAATTAAATAAATTAACTATATTGTACAGATAATGAATAAAAAGATGACGAAATAGCTCTACATAGTTAATAACAAATCACTCTCAGTCATTCTTCTTATTTCTAAGCTCATTAGTCAAAGTTATTGCCTGGTGTAGTGAACATTCAGATAGGAAAAGCGATTCGAATTTTACATTTAGATCGAACGACTTGAGAACGCAAAGATCCTGGAAATGATCGTTTGACAGATTGGAACGTTTCTTGTTCTTAATCAAACTAGCAGAACTGAACATTCTTTCTACACTAATAGATGTGGATGGGATGTTCTGGAACAGAGAATCGATAAAAGAAAGAAGAGGCATTGAATGTTCGAAGTCCTTCCAAAAAAGTCTGTCGGCTTCAATAAAGTCCTTGTAACTCATCTGTTTGGGATCTTTATCAGTCACAGTCTGTGAGGATAGTACAGTTGCCACGCATCTTTTTCTATTCCCCATTACTAATCTTCGATATAATATTAACTCAGTATAAAGCAATTCTTTTAATTCTTTTTTGATGGAGCTCCTGTCGAAGACAGACGTTCCTTGTTTTCCCCCTTCCATTCCATGATGCATGATATCGTCGTATTTGTCAAACATTGACTGATCTGTAAATGATGAATTTGCCAGTTTCTCTTCTTCACTCTCAGAAGATCCTGATTCGTCCTCACTTTTATCCGACGGATCATTATTACTAAATGACATATTCAGATACGGTAACAACAGTTCTGCATAATTTTCTGTGATAATTGCGCAAAGTTCCGTTGATCTGTTTCCCTTTTTATTCTGATTTAGGAATGGAATCTAGAAGATATCATCCACGAAATGTATGTTCAGAAAAGATGAAAGCAAATGAATCATATTCCTCCCATATTGTTCAAAATATTTCTGCATTTTTTTGTTGAAGTTTATTAGAAGTCCCATGGTTTTGCTACCAGAATTGTTAAGTTGAGAATGAGAAACACTTTTAGCTTCCATTTCTTTTTTGTACGCTGTTAAAAAGGGCAATGAGTATTTTACAGTGCAAATTTCGTTTGATAGAATTTCACAAAGTTTTCTGAATGGTAATAAAAGTTCTACTATCTCTTTTGCTCTTTGGAAGTGCTTCTCCTCGAAATTTACATCGCATTTCTCTGTCAAGGCTAATTCAGTTAGCACTGGTTTTAACAATAGTAGTCTCTGCATTGAATCAACGGCAGATACCCATCTAGTGACACAAGAGGTCTTCAAAGTTAAGGCCTCTTCATTGTGTTTCAATCCCTTGCTCTCACAAAGCTCCTCAAATGTCTTTTTTTATCACTAGAAATTTTTATTTCGTATGACAACTCATTATTCTTGGCTAGAATGTCAAACCCTGTTTCTTCATCTGCAAGGATCTTAGAAATTGAGTCACCACAAGAAGATGAAAGGAGGAAATCTGCGAAATCGCATGATAAAGAATCATTCATTTGGTTACCGTCTTTGTTTATCTGGCATTTTAATGCTGCTTTTAGCATCATTTGTGATTCGATAAAGGTTTTTATTGATCTACTATCGTCATCAACATCACCATCAGTACTTTTTACAATACAACCATTCATCAAGTTAGTACTGTGAAGCATACAAGGTACATTTCCCATATATTGTTCACCAAAAGCGTCGGTTTCCTTAATGAGTGCCCCAAATTTGATCATATTTGCAGCATTATCCGTCGAAGTTGATAGTATCAAATCTTTAATTCCTAAAAACTTATCTAAAATTTGAGTTAAGTCGTCCAAAATCGAAGCAGAAGTATGAGATCTACTTTTTGGTATGGCTAAAAGAAAAGATTTTTGTTTATCACTAGTTCTGTCGAAAGAAGTTAACATGACCCCCATATAGTTGTTCATCTTGAAATCAGACCAATGATCCAAAACAAGAGATACAAATGTTACATATTTAAGTTGCTTAAGTCTGTTAAAAATGTCACATTTTAAATTTTCTTTAGAAGTAAAAGTTTCTACATTTAGTAAATATTGCGAAGATATAAATTCTCTTCTCCAAAAGGTTTCTATTTCCGTGACTTTATCTTCAATGGATTTTACTAGATTTTTCCTATTGAGAACCATTGAATCTTTTGAGCCATCTCTGTTCATTTGGGCACGTATCAAATATTCAGAACGATCGCTATCTACCCACGAAAGTGGTAAATTTTAATCCAATGTAACGGCAATTGCAGCATCAAATTTTGTGATTTCATTTCTTCTTACATTCTTTCTGAAATTTTCATCGGCCTTCTTAGAACAGATGGATTGCAGGACACACTTACTCGAGAATTGAGGAACAATTTCTTGGGGTGGCTTTGGACACTTAAGTGTAAAATGTTCATAAAGTAATATAGTCTTGTAATGAGCCTTCTTCTTATGGAAGAAGTAAACTTGGGTACAGCATGTACAACGAATTAGCAATTTATTCTCAGAGAATTGGGTAAAATAAGTCCATATTTTATCCATATTTTTTCTGGATGGTTCAACCCATAATTCTTCATTTGCCATTCTTTCATTTAACTCTACAGTATGGAAAATATCAGAATCACGGGACGGTTCTTGCACATTGGAACTGTGTGAAAGAGAAGAAAAATTCGCTTCCGTATACGTACTATTTGCGTTATTAAAAGACGAATATCCGTCTTCATGATTAGATGCTATAGAGTCGTTAATGTAATTTGACATTTTTGATCTCCCGATATCGCCTGGTGTATCAAGAAGGAAATGACTAGTGTTCCTAAAATATAAATTAGGATTTTAAACAAATTATAACCAACCAAGATAATTATTTCAACAAAGAATAATTTTTAAGTAGAAACAATAAATAACTTATTAGAGATGTCACTAAATAATCGTATATCGCTTTTATTTAGAATATTTGACAATACTTTCAAATCTGGTTACTCTGTTATTTCGTGTTTTTTAGAATTCTGAACGCGTTAACTTTTGCACGTTTGTCTCTTAAGGTTAAATTTATAGGTTATAAATTGGAATACAGGGTTTGATGAAAAATAAATATCGTCCCTGAAAATTATAAAATTTAAAGTAGGTATGATTTTTTTTTCAAAATGGGGCAAAAACCCGCCGCGGCGGGTTTTTTTGTTTCCCATGTCTAGCTCGCTGGCGAAGATCCCCGGGTAACCGTTTTACAACGTGTCTAGTGACTAAGCAAGCTGAAGGGAAGAGAGGCAATCGCTGGTTACAAAGTGCGATAAAGGTTCTGTCTCTAGTCACAGTGTTTGCCTGTAAGCTTAAGTGGTAGCTAGTAAGCTGATAAACTCTGTGAAGTACGGTAATATCTTGTTTATAAGTGCTGGAAAGTTGCGAAATATGTAACGGATACGGCGATGAGTGTATCGAAGGACAATAACGGCAGCTACCGTGGCCAGTATAATTGTCTGAGGATGTGCCTCGATGTTAAGTATGTGATCAATAATAATGTTGAGTCGGTCGTTGTGAACGATACGCTGTACATATTTGTTACTCTTGATATAAGTAAGCATCTTGGTCTTGAAACCAGTGGAATGTTTAAGTTGGTCGTCGTTTTCAGTTGTTTTTGACGATTCTCTGGTGGAGGTAGCATTGTGATCTTCGTCAGTTGATTCGTGATTTTGATGCTTTCTGATTCTGGAGGTTTCTCTTGGTGGGGAAATTGTCTTTTTCTTGTTAGGTGGAGGTTCCAATCGAGCTAGAATAGATGCTTCGCATGAGGTATCATTACCATCGGTTATATTATTGGTTAATATTTCAGAAAGATGAGGTATGGAAGAACACAATTTATGGTAAAGTTTAACGTTTGGTTTACTACCCAGGTTTTCAATTTCTAATTCAAATATATATAAATAAACCAATTTCTGTAAGTATAGCATGGTTGGAATTGTAACTTCTTCATCTGCTTCTTCTTTTGATATCTTATTAGTACATTTCAACAAGACCTGTTTTAACTCATCTTGCAACGATATTGCAAACTCATTATCATTACGTCGTATACGTATTGTTTTGATACAATTATTAAAATATTTACTCCAAAATTCCATTTCCTTCTCAATATCTGATGTATAATGATGAATCATTTTAAGAGATTTCATGTCCCCAGAGAACGTATCCCTCACAACGTTTTTTAAAGTTACACCAAGGTCCTGAAAATCTGATATTTCATTAGAAGCAGTTAAATATAAATCATATACCTCTATGTTACCATTCAAAAATTCTTCAGATAATAAATTATTTTCTGCCATACTCTCTAAACATTCCTTAATATTACCTCTAATGAATAAAGAAAGGCATTTATGGTAAGCACGATCACGATCATATGATTTTTGTTTATCGCTAAGAGCCTGTTCATTTTCTTTAAATATGTTATCATTCAACAATGATCTTACAGATTCTGATAATGGTTCTCCATCTGAAGAAAACCCTGTAGGTGTAATTTCTTGAGATACACTGGGGCTCGAACTATCAAACTTGTCTGTCATATTTGTGTGCGATCTTGTGAGTTTATATATAGACCAAAAATCCCCTCTTCTAATTACCGAATATTGCTAAATTGAATACGGTTAAGTTGTCTTTAAAATGGATGACTATCTCAGATGATCTCTTATTTCCCCCAAATAGCTTGAAAACTGAAAGCGAAAATAAGTGAAGGCGACACATTTATAGTTCCGTTTAACACTGTTTAAACTAGATAAACAGGTAAAACAATTAAATGAACGATGCAGATTGTACCGAAATTATTCAGTTTTTTCACCATTACATTGGAGCACTGTTTGTTCAAAATTTATATGTCATTAATTATTTATAATAAGGTTACAAAAATATTTCTAATTAGGGTATTTATGAAACTCGTATGCTGAATATGTGTAGGCATTTATATATTTATGTCTTTGGACACGAGACTATAATGAGGAAATAAAACAAATTTTATTTCATTATTATGTCTATGTCATGCAATCTTTTAACCATTCGGAGGTTATAATATCATCGATATTTGGTCTGCTATCAATGTCACGGTTAAGAATTTTTTGAATTAAGGACTTACATTCATCGCTGATGATCTTTTCACTGTTGAATCTTAATTTTCCTTCAAGTATTTCATCAACATTGTAAAAGGGGTTTTCGTGGAATATCATGGTGTACAATAAGATACCAATAGCCCATATATCTTGGGGTTTACCTCTATATGGGTTACCATTTAAAACTTCAGGTGCAGCGTAATCTATGGTACCAACAAACACATCAAAAGGACCACTTTTCACGTATGCTGCGGAACCAAAATCGATCAGTTTGACGTAACCATAAGTATCAACAATGACATTCTCATCTTTGATATCTCTATGGACAATTCCATGGTCGTGCATGTGCTTTATGGCCAGTACAATCTGTTTGAAAATCAATTTACATTCATGTTCATTCATTTTCTGTCTAAACTCGATTAGATCAAATAAGTCAACACAACCAAGTTCACCACCATGTCTTTCAATTTCGATATAATAGTAACTATCATCTTCAAAAAAACCAAGAATCTTAAGAATATTATCATGGGGGTCATTATTAAACTTAGCCATAATATCAATTTCGGATGGGATAGTCCCTAATTGTCTATCACGAACCCAAGTATCAACTAGGATTCTTTCTTTCACGATAGATTTGATTATTACTAATTTTTTGGTTTTGTTATGGATACAAAGATGAACTTTACCGTAAGCACCTTCACCTAACATTCTGACTATACTAAAATCAGAAAACTTGGTAGTTCTTCTGTTAGTACCTATGGTAGCTAAGGTAGGGTATTCTTGAGGTTGTAATGGTGTGTTTATCTTATCTTCATCAAGTCGAAAAGAATTAGAGTTAACGAAATTTGATTTGTCAGTGACAACAGTCTTCCTGGCAATTTCAACTCTAACTCTCATTTCAAATCCTTCATCACTTTCTCTCATTGCATCGGCAATAGAAGATGAAACCTCTGCAGATTGATCTATAATTTCATCTTCACTAGATTCTTCTTTGGTGTCTTTGGTAATGGTTTCATTTTCAGGGTAATCACCACTTAAAGTTAGCTCTTTCATTAATGATTGAAAATTTCCTTCTTGTTCTTGTTCCATTATGTGTAGTTGTGAAGGTATAGTATTATATTCATTAAAGATTACATCCCTTGAATGTGTCAACCATAGAGACAAGATATGACCATTGATGACACGTAATTGTATGTCTATCTTGATAAAAGATCCATCCTTATGTTGACCGTCTATACCAATAGAAGTATAGAAACCTTGAGGGTTACTGTCCATTCTTGATTGAATATTTCTGAAGAAATGTTCTGTAAGGATAAGACCCTCGTTATCGTTAGATTTAATATCTAAGGACGGATGATTTTCAGTAACGTACTGAATAAGTTCGTTAAAATGGGGTATTATTTTCGTGATTGGTTCATTTATCAATTCATTATAACGATAACCAAACAAGTTTTTTGAAATGGATTTATTGAAGCTAACCATCTTATATTGTTGATCATTATGGCTATCCATATTTAAGATAAATAAACCAGATTGATAAGGTAAACTATGGACTTTCAATTTCAATGAATCATTTAATATCGATGCCGAGATAGCACATGGTATATTTGATGATAAATGGTTCAAGGTAAAATATCTTTTTGCGTTAATTTCTTTAGCTACAATCATTGCTAATTCTTCTGGATCATCATCTTGATAATTTTCAATCTTCGATTCAATTAAACTGTTCAATGATTTACTGAAATATGATGTATTTAATTGATTCTCATCATTAATATTCATTAAATTAACTTGTTCAAGGGTGGGTATCGTTGATGATTGAATTAATAAATTATTGTTATCACCATTATGAATTTTTTTAATATTAAATCCATTATTATAATCCAAGGATAAATCCATAAAATCACAAGGAACATTTTCAAAGACACAAACTAACATATCATTTTTCTTTTTAATCCATAATGAACTCCAAGATAATAAACCATTAGAAACAGTTGGAATAATTTCTCCTGTCATTACCATATCATTATCTTTAATATTTAAACTTGTTAATTTCCCAATCACAAAATCTCTTGCATCTAAATGAATTAAATCTAATAAAGTCAAGATTTTAATAGTCTTCTTACTTACACCGAAGTTCAAACATGTCAAATCATTAGCAGATTTAAATGACCAAGGATAATCTTGTTCTGCAGTAAATATAGCCATTGAATGAGAATTTTTTGCTGATGTGAATGCATTGATAATATTACGTATCTTATCCTCTATTATCATATTATGTCCGACATATGGCTCCATATGTTCAACAAATGGTTCAGCTAAACTATCTAATAACGTTTTCTTCATATGTAATGTAGTTGTTTGATCATTTGTAGCAGAATTAAATAATTTATTAATATTCAAAAGAGATAATTGATGTAAATCAGAAGCCCTTGATGAAGTATTTTTTTCTAGAGTTTCATTCAAAAATTGTAATAAATCTGATAATTCCGTTCTTTGAGTTTGAATCAATTCAGAAGAATTACTTGCTTCTTTATTTTGATATAATGCAGGTCTTAGTGGTGGCTCTCTAATAGAACTAGTAAACGTTTCAGTATCGAAATCTTCAGATTCCTCATCATCTTCCTTTTCTGGATGTTGGTATGCTAATGTTGATATTGATCTTCTTCCAATAGGTGGTTTAAAGACTAATGTCGAGGCTCCTGACGAACCATTTGAAGAACTAGATCCATTATTAGTTCCCAGAGTAATAATATCATTTCCTTGAGTATTATTTACAAACGCATTCAGTGTAGCTATTCTATGACTTCCATTAAATAATTCTGTATTATGTCTTATATGATTATTATTATTATTATTATTATTATTATTATTATTATTTGAATATTGGTGATTATCAATTTGATGTGGCTCTCTTAACATATCAGGATTTTTAATTAGTATTTGTAAAGTTCTCTTTAATATATTTAATCTAACTGTTAAAGAATTTGGTGATAAAGGATTATAAGAATATGCATGAGTTGATTCATTTGTAATAGCGTATAATTTTTTTGGATTAGTAATTTGATCTATTGAGTCTTCGCATGATGACGACATAGTGAGTTGTGATTGTAAACTTGAACTAGATGATTCGTTTATACTTGATGTAGTTATTGTTGTACCTAATGACGATTTCTCTTTTGAGACGTGTTTGGGATGAGATTCAGATGAAATCATATCAATTAAAAAATATTAAAAAATGAAATTAAAACGATTAGAAAAGTAGAAACGAAAGTACTATTCTGTTTATCGTTATTTTGTAAGTGATATGAATCGGTATAGTTTGTTGAATATAGTGATAGTTGTATATGTTTACCAAAAAAAAAAAAGAAGAGTAGGAAATATAATATATATATTTTAAAACCTTGTACCAAATATTTTTTAAGTTTCCTATATAACTCATCCAAGACAATGAAAACTAAAATAAGTGGGTAAACAACATACAATGCAATACAAACCGCTTCACATTATTCTATTACAGTGTGACTGGTCTTCGCCTCATCAATTTTACATTATTCTGTCCTGTTCCTATCTGCAAAGAAAGAGGCAAAAATAAAATAAATAAAAAATCGATTAAAAAGAAGAAAAGATGATTTCAAAAAAAATTTGTTTCTTGGGTGGTCATCACGTCGGCCGAAAAGAAATTCGTTGTTGCTACGGGGGTTTCTTTGCCGGTGAAACTTTTTCTTCATGCAATTTTTTCTGTTTCGGAAAAAAAAACGAAGCAAAACTATTATTTTGGCCGCCCAAAAGAGAAACGAAGCAGGAAAAAAACCGGATATTTCCGGGGTTCTGCGGCAGTTTCTGTGTGGTGACAGGTAGTGGGGGTTAATCATTTTGATGTAACCTTTATGGGAAGGGACAAACTACAAACAGTTTGCAAGCTGACTCTTTATAAAACAGCTCTTCGTTTTTATGAAGGGATACATATAGTAGTTTGCAAGGTGTGTGTGTGTGTGGGAAGGTAACGTCCTTGATTTCTCTCATTTGAAGACAAATTTGTAACGAACGTTAGTGTGTTTATGTGGTTCTTCAAAAGAGTGAGGAAATGTGAGATGTTGATGAGGTTAACGTAATACAATGAGAATTACCAAATTTTTTACAATGTGAAGTTAAGCTATGCTTTTTTTTTACCTTCCAGCAAATTGAATTCGGCTGAAATGATATTGATGCCGTGAAAGTCCAGGTAACACCTCTAGCCTTGCTTGATATTCTAGCACATTATTCAAAATAATTACATCTTGCTCAACGAAGCGCACGTATATATCTTTTTAAAGGATAACTTTGAACTGGGCGACTGTTTATAGCTTTAGTTAGTTCACTTAAGTTGATAAATAATATTTACCCGCGCAACATATTCTTATCTCCGAGGATCATGTGACAAAAAGACAGAAAAAAAAATATTTTGACATCCTTTTTGTGACGTTTCTTCTAATACCAACTATATACCAGTCGAGATATATAAAACTTTTGAAGTTAGAACTATTATATTAATATCAATCTTGGATTTAATGTACCCTTTCCCACCTGACTTGGAGTGTATGAATTGCATACTTCAACCACGTTTCTCTCATTTTAAATAAATATAACAATTCCATTTTGGGAATGAGCGGGATAGAAATTTTAAGTCACACTAGGGATACAGAGCTAGTGTCTGAAGCTCGCGTTGCAATGCCTTCAGCATCTGATCCCCCTCAGTTAGAACCGGCAATTTGGGTTGTTATTTTAAGAATGTATACCGAAAAATTTCAATTAGCTATGAAAGGTTTAAGCAATGGACCATATTTTGTCAATCCTTCCTTTTTTTATCCATTTAAAGTAAGTACACTAGTTTTGGAAGAGCAAAACCCACCCTTTTAAAATCATCACTTTTTTTTCAAAATTCAATTTTTACTAACCTTCGAATTTTATGCTTATTGTTATTGTCTTTTGTTGTTTTTTATAGGGCTTATTCTATATTGTTACAAAACCAATTTATTGGAAATATTTGTTTTTACTAACAACATGTTATTCAATAGTTTTCTTCATCATTGCGGTTTCTTTATACATGATTTTATTACCATTAATAACATTAGGAGTTATAACTGTGGGTCCTATGGGATTAGTAATATTACATATTCAATGGATTATGTTATCAAATCAATTTACTATCTTCGTAACAAAACATATTATCTCACCAAATTTAAAGGAACATATCTTTAGAATTACAATAGAAATGTTTGATGAATCATTACTATCTCATTTAAGACAAAAACAGGAATTTAAACCTCTACAAAGTATGAAATATGATCCAACTTTACAAATATATGTTAGAGGTGCAGAAATGATTAGATCATTCTTATGGAAATCAATATTATTTGTAATATCATTAGTACCTATTTTGGGACCTTTATTGTACAATCAATTATCATCAATTAAGAGAAGTTTTTCATTAGTACAATATTATCTTTATAATTTGAAAAATTTAAATAGGGAACAAGCAATGCAATATAAATATAAACATCTAACATCTTTCATATATATGGGGATGTCAGCTGGTATCTTAGAGATGTTACCAATATTTTCTGTCTTTACAATGATTGGCAATGTTGTTGGTGGTGCCTTATGGAGTATTGAACATTTGGCGGAACAAGATAAATTATATTCTCAACAAGAATAAAATTGAAGAACTTCATCTATATTATACCTCGCATGTACGCACAATGCTATTAATAAGATTTTATAATACATGTTATTGTAGAATATAATAATAATAATAATAAAAAAATTTACTTTACATTAAATTAGGTCGTTGATATATATATTAATATACTTATACTAGACACATACTGTCAACAGTACCAAAGCCTGCAACAACACCACCTTCATTAGAAGAACTTAGCTTTGTTCTTAATAAAGAACCAGCATATTCATTAGAACGGATAGAATCTTTGTCAAATAAGATGGTACCATAAATACCTAGTTCACTAATGACAGGTTCTTTAGTTAACTTACCATCTCTAACTAGATAATTCTCAGTACTTGGCTTTGCATCAATCAATTCCATTAAAATATATGAATCCCATTCATTTTCATCAATAGTCTTCAAGAATTTTGGAATTTCTTCTTTGTAAACGTTGTTTCCACCACCTTCTCTTTGAGGCTTTAAGACATATTTAGCCTTCTTAGTTGTGCATTCGAGAGCCAACTTCTTACCTTCTTTACCAAGTTTTGAATCATCTAATGGATAAATCTTAACGAAAGTCTTAACAAGTTCTTTCTTGGTAGTTTCATCATCGATGAATTTGTTCAAAATATCATCTTGAGTCAATAATTGTTGAACTTTCTTAGAACCAGCCAATTGAATGTCTAATGTAGGAGCTTTAATGGCATAAGAGTTTTCTAAGAAATCTCTGGCTTTCCAACAGGATTCATTGTAGTAATCACCTGTGGTGTAACCTGTTCTGTAGTAGACAACAGCGATTTCTTTACCAGTCTTCTTATGAATGATTCTCTTGTTGTCATCAAATTTACTGTATTCTAGATCCTTTAACGCTTCTTCAAAAGTCAATCTAACACTCTTAATACCGTATAATCTCAATAAATTGAATTCGACTGTCTTTTGATCAAATAAATTAGTTTCGTTTGGTTCGACAATAAAGGCAATGGCAGCCTTTTCTTTCTTGGTCTCAGAATTCATAGATTGATACATGGTAAAAGCACGGGCTAGACCTCTTGGCATAAAGACAGAAGATTCGGAGACAGGTAATTCACCCATACCTTCGTAGAACATCTTCATTTCACCACTAGCATCATAAGCACCCAGACTGTTTAGGAAAGAATGTAATTCACCAACTTTGGTGGATAAACCAGCAAAGGAAACAGATACAGTGTTGAATTCAACTTGTTTGATTTGTTCAGAACTTTGGTCGATTAAATAATCTGATCTGAACAAACCTAATTTTAAAGTTTGTTTAGAGTCACACTTTTTAGCCATATCATAAAGTCTGCCAGTAAATTCAGGATCAGAGTGGACAAGTTTCCCACTTTCTTCCATTAGCCAATCAGAGTTGGAAACTTGAGCGTACAATTGATTGTAAGTCTTTTGCAAAGTCTTAGCGTTCTCGAATACCTTAGCTGGGATTGGGGTTGGAAAGATGGTGGTTGGAGCAACATTAGCCTTACTGATACTATCCTTGTCAGCCATGATTAAACCATTAGCTAGAGCCCATTGGTTCAATTGAGGTAGAATGTTCTCTTCAACTTGAGTAGTGGATAGCTTTGGATATGGAGCATGTTCTGGTCTGTTCATTTGACTAATTGGGGACATCATCTTGAATCAGAGTAAAAATGGTTTACTGTGGATGATTTGCAATCACTTAAGTCACTGAGTTAGAAATATATCAATTAATTACTATCTCTCCTTTTTGAACAAAAATATTTATTTCAACATTGATTTATATATTGAAATACCATTACCTAATCGTTGTGGAAAAAAAAATTGCCCAAAAAAAAAATCGGTGAAATGCCTGTACGTACAACAACTGCAAATCTCACACAGGGACGATGCCCATAACAAAGAGTTGTTGCTACTTTTGACCTAAGCAGAGACTGAAATGAATAGAAAACGAATATTCATTCCCTATATCTGCATACTTTTATAGATTTTAATGGGTGCAAGATTACGTAAATGCATAGAAATAAGAAATACAATATTGCGCAGTAATTATGAAATGTTAGCATAATATAAATTTTGAAAATGTTAAGAAAGTACCTTTCCCATATTCATCTCTGAATATGCAATAAAGATTAAAACATACAATATCGACATAATTAAAAAAAAACTGTCGACATTTTCGTACGGGAAATATGTATAGACTTCTTGATTATTATTCTAGGAACGGTAGTATCATAACGGAGTCGTAGAAAAAGATTTAAAAAAATCCAGACTCCCTTACTTCTGTTAAAGATCATTCCAATGATGTGGTAAATTTTACACATCAAGTTGAGTAATCAGACTAAAATACATTATAAATTGAACGGAGCCTTCCGTTCTTCATATAGTATAATATGTGAATGATAACGTATAGCCTGACACTCTTGCTGGTATAGCACTTGTAGAGATGTAGCGACATTAGTCAAGGAAACTATAGATAGTCTCATTTATTTAAGATACTGAAGTTCTTCTCTAATATATTAAACTTAAGAAAGAAAAAAATTTAACATTTTCATGAAGATTTCAAAGAACAAAAAAAATGTTTGGATTCGTGTAAGACGATAACTACAAATTTTAGTAAGGGTTTGAAAACGTCTAAATTAGAAGAAGGTCTGAGGGAATTCAATCCTCCATATACTCATTGATTCATTGGAAAACATAGTTTTGGTTGTTTCAGTTTTTGACTTAGTGATTATTACTTTAGTTGAAATAAAGAAAAATCATTGGTTATCTTTCATTATTCAGAGATTAATTTTTATTCAAAAAATAAGATATGCTACCGTTTAAACCAAAGTATCACATGGATTAGAGCTTTAATACACGAAAAAAAAAACCGTACATTGTTTAAACATATGTCACAGCAGGCTGAAAACGATCGAAATTTTTCCAAAAAAATAACGACAACTGCAGGATTTGAACCTGCGCGGGCAGAGCCCAAAAGATTTCTAATCTTTCGCCTTAACCACTCGGCCAAGTTGCCATTTATAAAAAAGAAACTTTTTTCTGTCTCTTTTATAGTGGATGCTTTATATCACGTGATCAAAACATAAAACTTGTAGAACGTACTGTTTTAAATGATTATTGTGTAAATTTGTTTTATTATGAACTTACGTTTTATCTATTATTCCAAATATTAATTTAAGAATTTCTGGTTTGAATCAGCTATGTTGATTAAAACATTAAAGAGCGATATTGTAACCTGTTCATATTACATGGATTTTTAAATTGACCGTTCGAATTCAAATAACAATTTAAGGAACACTCAGTTCAATGCCAATTGATCTACATATTGAATAAACAGATATTTAACTGTGTGAGGTTTGGGAGTTATACAGCACTACTACTATCGCAAATTTTCTTCTATAAATGATTTGGTTTTCCAAAATATGTAGACTAATAAATAGTGCGTTAAGTGCACAGTGCGTCAGCTAGAGCTTAAAATAAAATGTATTATTTTTGCCAATTTAGAAGTCATTCCAGTGGGAAAAAATCTCAAACCCCACAAATTACTACGAAATTTCTGGGTGTATCCCTAATATCTTTCCTTGCTAATAGTCCAAGCATAAAAAGTAAAAGGGAAACACAGAAATTGTTTTATTTTGTTAAAATTAAGAATGACTCCGTGATTTGGTCGTACTTACCTAAGTTTTATCAAGGGAAATCAATGCATTGGATAATGTTGATTTTAACTGAAACTGAAAATAACAACGGAAAGCAGAGTGTCACAGATAACAGGGCAATATTTGTAGCGTAATATGGCGTTTAATAATATTGATGTACTTGTAATATCAACAAATAATATAGAAATTGCTAAACGTATTAGTTGAAGTTTGGGTGTTCCCCTTTTCGTGTAGGTCTTTAAAACTCTCAGTCTTTGGTGACGGTATTCATCAATGCAAACAAATGAGAAGAAGTAGTATCCCAATACTTAAAAATAACAAAATATATTTTGTAACTATAAATGCAAAGAACTAATAATCGCTAAAGTAGAATGTTTAAAATTCTCAATCTTAAGATCTGGTTTTATTCCAGAGATTTATTAATTTTTATATTTTGTTCGGATTAGTCTCTCTTCAGAATAGTACAAAAAAGACTGTTTTTGTAAACAAAAAAACAAAAGTGATATTTCAGAATATAACAAAATACATAGATGAAGTACAAAATTTAGTAACTTTCAGTAGCCATGGTCCAAGAATGAACTTATAGCAGTTAGATAACAATTTTCTTACCAGTTATCTTTATTTCTATAAGCTGACAGTAATATTCTTAATACAATGACTGTAATATTTTCCAAAGAACATAATACTAGATTTTTGCATTAGCTAGAAAGCAAATAATATATAAACATTAAGGATAGCTATTTTACGTAGTTATCATTATTTCATCAGTTTCAAAATTACTTCTTATATCCAATTGAAAAATCTAACACTAATCAATTAAACCCCAATAACCATTGGGCAGTTATAATAAATGCTGTGCGCGGGCATCTTCAAGTAGAAGTTAAACTATTAAGAAATGGAATTAGTACTATTCTTTCGACATTGAATGTTATCATTTACTTTTAGCAGTGAAGTTTATCTATCAAATAAAAATTTGAGACATACGATGTAATAGAAAAGAAAGAAAATATGGGACGTGCAATTCTTAATTGTTGGAAGACGAACAAACAAGCGGGTAGAGCACAGATTGTATTATTACCACTTAACATTGAACTACGACACAAGTTTTCCTGGATGATTTTAGTCTTCCTATATAATTCCAAGTATTAGTATCAACTTGAGAGGTCTTATCTTCCCAAGACACATTTATTTCTGTGATTACTATGGACCGCTCCCCTCCCTCGGCTGGAAGTCCATACTGCACGTTCACACACAGTCCATCCCATCCATCCACCATTAGCCAGGAAAAGTGCCGTTTATGTTCGGGTTTGTTTCTGCTACGTTTCTGAAGCCTGTTTATGCAACAGTGCCAAAATGTGATATTTTTTTTATCAAAGTGTGCCACCAAATTGTACTTTATTTTCTAATAGTGAATGAAGGTGAAAATAATTTGTAGGGCTTGTTCAGTGCGAGAATCAATTCACTAACAGAATTTTTTGCAAAAAAGTTCGTAAAGTTGTCCAAACATTGAGAAACACACCTCCTGGATATGTACTGTACCTGTACTTACTTGGATTAAGAGTGGTGTGTTTAACAGTTATTAGAATATCAAGTTTAGTGAAACCCTTATAGAGGTACTATTTTTACATGCGACTGCACGCTTTGTTACAGTATTGCTGACATTGACGTTCGAGTCTGTATATAAAATAGCGAAGAAACTGTTATTTTTGCATAACAGAGATCTTGCAATATATAAGAAAAGCTGTCCCCTAACTGCGATGAGAAGCTTTACTAATACCTTTTCGTCGAATCCAACATATAGAAATCTACAGAGTTTCGTATCAATATGCTTGATACCAGTATTTAAATGGAAGAACAAATGTAGAGAGAGGTGGTGCATTACAGCAGACACGCGCACATCGAGTTCGTTTGCCTCACCGACGTATGTGTAGATAACTATATCGTACACTAGTTGCCACTGCGAATAACGGTATACGGCCACAACCTCTTTCACAAAGAACAATGTGCCTAATGTAACATCTGCAAACACCACCTTGCCATATTACCCACATACATATAGATATATATACTTAACTTGGCTAGTGTACACCGTCATGGCCCGTTCAGCCACAACTTCTTGCTAGACCAAGCTTTCCAGCCAACAACACACACAACCAGGAAACAGAAGGCCTCTTTCACCCCACAGAATCCCTTTGAATGCTCTTTATATGTGTCAATAGAGGTGGATTACCAAACTTAATGCTGGGAAAAGAAGAGGCAGGCAGAACGCCAAAAGACGCCTTGAGAAAGAAAACGCGAAAGAGCGGACTCACTTTTTTTGGTAAGTCTGAGGGTAACGGCTATTCCGATAGCAACGCGTAAATGCAGCGTGCGCACAACCAAACAATAGTCAAAATAGCGAAAGTCTCTGAAAAAAAAAATTGAACACGTCAAGCAATAATGACAACAATTGAAGATATTGCAACAACAACTGAGCAAGAGAGAGACAGAATCCCGAGAAATTCTACCCTGGATTAACTATTATTTTTTTATACTTGAATTTTAAAGTGCGATGTAGTCTAGCTTTCTTTTGCTGTTTCGTGTTCTTCCAATTAAGAAAAATTGTTTCTTAGTTTCTTGCTAATATAAAACTGATAATCAGTTAATTTCGTAATATCATCTTTGTTTTTTGATCTTTTTTTACCATCTCTCTGCTACGAGAAACCATATAGATAAACGTTACTTTTACTCTAGTTGATAGTCATGTCCTCTTCTACTGGTTTTGAAGACAAGACAGAGTCATCTCAACTCAAATCAAGAATAAATAAAAAGACAAATGTCGAAGAAATAGTAGCTGATGAAGCAGAAGATGTTTCAAAGACAGCTAAAGGCGTACAAAAGGGTCAAAACCCACTATTGAAGGTAGAAGCATATGCCATGCCGATCGTTTTCACCTTAATTGCTTTATTCGTCAGAATGTACAAGATTGGTGCTAACAGTCACGTCGTTTGGGATGAAGCCCATTTCGGTAAGTTCGGCTCATACTATCTAAGACACGAATTCTATCACGATGTTCATCCTCCATTAGGGAAGATGTTAGTCGGTCTATCTGGTTATTTGGCCGGTTACAACGGTTCATGGGATTTCCCATCTGGTGAATCTTATCCAGACTACATTGATTATGTTAAGATGAGAATTTTTAACGCTTCCTTCTCCGCTATGTGTGTTCCAGTAGCTTATTTCACCGCTAAAGCTATCGGTTTCCAATTACCAACTGTTTGGTTATTCACATGTTTGGTTCTTTTCGAAAACTCTTACGCTACTCTAGGTAGATTTATTCTATTAGATTCCATGCTATTATTTTTCACCGTGCTATCCTTCTACTGTTTTGTTATGTTCCACAATCAAAGATCAAAGCCTTTCTCCAGAAAATGGTGGAAATGGTTAGGTATGACCGGTTTAAGTCTTGGATGCGCCATCTCTGTTAAAATGGTCGGTCTGTTTGTTATTACTTTGGTTGGTATATATACCGTGATCGATTTATGGTGTTTCTTAGCTGACAAGAAAATGTCATGGAAGACTTATATTAACCATTGGTTAGCTAGAATTATCTGTTTGATCGTGTTCCCATTCTTAGTCTTCTTACTATGTTTCAAGATTCATTTCATTCTATTGTCTCATTCCGGTACAGGTGATTCCAACATGCCTTCTTTGTTCCAAGCTGGTCTAGAAGGTTCCGACGTCGGAATGGGTCCTCGTGACGTTGCTATCGGTTCTTCTACTTTCTCTATTAAGAATCAAGCTTTAGGCGGTGCTCTATTGCATTCTCATATTCAAACCTACCCTGAAGGTTCCCAACAACAACAAATTACTTGTTATGGTTTCAGCGATGCTAACAACGATTGGTTCTTAGATTACGCTAGAGGTGAAACTGCATTTGACCCAGAAAATAATGATACTGCCATTGATTTCGTTAGAGATAACGGCATGTACAGATTAGTTCACAAGAGCACTGGTAGAAACTTACATTCTCATCCAATTGCGGCTCCAGTCTCTAAGACCGAATGGGAAGTCTCCTGTTATGGTAATAAAGATCAAGGTGATTTCCAAGATAACTGGATCATTGAAATTGTTGACCAAAGAGGTGAAGAAGATAAGACTATGCTACATCCATTGACTTCTTCTTTCCGTATCAAGAACGCTGAACTGGGATGTTACTTAGCTCAAACTGGTGTTAACTTACCAGAATGGGGTTTCAGACAAAGTGAAGTCGCTTGTGTTAAGAATCCTTTCAGAAGAGATAAGAGAACTTGGTGGAATATTGAAACACATGAAAATGAAAAATTACCTGAAAGACCAGAAAATTTCAAATATCCAAAGACTAACTTCATTAAAGATTTTATTCACTTGAATTTAGCCATGATGGCTACTAACAATGCTTTGATTCCAGATCAAGAAAAATATGATTCCTTAGCTTCTTCTGCTTGGGAATGGCCAACTCTTCATATCGGTCTAAGATTGAACGGTTGGAACGATGAATCCGTTAAATACTACTTAATCGGTACTCCAACTTCTACTTGGGCTTCTACTATTGCTGTTTTGTCTTGTATCCTTGCTGTCGCTGTCTTATTTTTCAGATGGGAAAGACAATTACCAAACTTTGCCTCTAGTGAAACTTTGAACGTCTTTATGATGGGTGTCTTTTACCCACTATTAGGTTGGGGTTTACATTTCATGCCATTTGTTATCATGTCCAGAGTCACATACGTTCATCACTACTTACCAGCATTATATTTTGCATTAATCATCCTAGCTTATTGTTTCGATGCTTTATTAAGACAAACTTGTCTAGAAAAGAAATGCCCAAAGAGTGGTAAATTTATTAAATGGGGTCTATTTACTCTATTCTTCTTTGGTAACATTGCATGTTTCATTCTATTCTCTCCAATTTCATTCGGTATGGACAAACATGTTGTCGAATACGAATATTTGGACTGGTTGAAAACATGGACCATTACTAACCGTCATTGATGTAATTCTATAAATATTACTAATCCTATTTTATATCTATACGATATTTATATATAAATATATATTTTAACTGAAATAAAGAAAAAACAACAACATATAATATTAGTTACAAAAATAAATATATATATATCTAAAGGCTCCCTATATTATTGCGTAATTCTATCAGAATCATACAAATGAGAGTGGCCCATTATACCTATATTACGTGTAGTTGCAGGTGTTAATAATTGTCCTCTATGTGGTACGTTACCTTGTATACTAATCACGTTTTCCAACGCTGGTGATGTGACTGATGACAAAGGACCGAACTTTGGGTCACCACGATGATGCCCGTTACTATTAGAATGATGTGCCATTTGTGGCGCTGTTGGGATGCTCGATGTGGCCCTCGACACAGTCTGTAGATCACCTTCTCTTTGTGATTCATCTACGCTGGAATTAGATGCAACACTATCCAGATTGTACAATGGCGATTCTGTTACTACATGCTCATAGTTAGGTGGATTTTGGGCATCTTTAACATCCTGATAAATAGGCGGCACCTCTTCATCCCAAGATATACCTAAACCTGATCTTTCAGTAACATTGAGTCTAAATTGCATTCTCAGAACTCTTGCTGCACCGGTTGGTACGCTTACAACTTTTGAATTAATATTGGTTTCAGTTTTAGATTTTGGAGAAGAATTATTATCGGAAGGATGTGGAGACAACGAACTCCCATCCTCTTCAACTGGACGCCCTTTCCAAGCAGTTTGATTTGCCAACATAAACGATAACTCTACCAATCTTTGATCATCTCTTGCCACTGAGGTTGAAGTGGTTGAAGCATTTTTTGGTGTTTTCGAGATGGGTTGACCATTTGTATACTGTAAAGTCTCTTCTGCGACAACTATTTCAACAGCAAGGATATGATTGACATATATCCCTAATTCTAAATCTTGTATATCGCAGGAAAGGTTGATGTGGGGTTTTGTTTGTGGTGGGATCGGTTTAGCTGTGGATGCATAAAGCAAAGGATTCCTTACACCTGTGGTTAACGGCATACAATCAATATCTGTAACCAATTCTATCTTCCCATGATGATCGAAATCGGTTTTCCATCCACTTTTCATTTCACCTTTAGAAATAATTCTTACTTCTTCGGTAAATAGAGTACTATTATTATTTTTGAATTCTTGTTTCATTTGTTCTTCTCTTTGACGACGTTGCTGTTGCAAAATTTCTTGTCTCAAAGCATCATCACTAGGGTGAATGAAAGGGGTGTTATCATCATTATCATCATCATCAATATTACGGGGATGTCTAGATTGTGATTCTCCGTGCCTGTTAGAGTTACCATCTTGTGGTACTTGTGCTTGGGCATGTGATCGTGACACAGGTCTTGCTGTCGATGATACCGATGGATCAACAGGACCTTCAGTGAATGGAGACAATGTATTCAGTGGATCATTTAACCCAACAGTTACATTTCTCATACGACCCAAAGGCATATTTTCAGGTGAACTTACAGATACTCTAACTTGTGGGCCTACATCCCCATATCGTTTAATTGGATGGATTGGTTTCTTGGCTCTTTCAATTTCTTTCTGTTTAACAGACTCTTCCAATTTTTTCAATTGAGCTTCATGATCGTTACATGCATTTGCCCTAACTCTAGTTGTTTCTTCTATTCTCCATGCAATTTTTCTCATTCTCCATCTTGTATCACCAGAAGAAACACCATCTAACTTCAATTCTAATGGGAAACTTGATTTTGGATATATTACATTTGGTAACACAGCAGCAGCTGTCAATTCAGTCGGAGGGAATACTCTCAAAGAATTTTTATCAGGACCTCTCAGAATACTACGTGTCACCTGAATAGGCATATTCAATCGTAGATTCTTTGTTTCTGGATCATTATGTACTTTGTATTTTGCGGTTGCGATCAATTCATATTCAATATGAGTCATGGCACTTGCCCCTAAGGATGAAGTAGCTGGTAAATTACCAGGTGTTAAATATGAAAATGGATAAACATGCTTTCCAATATTTTTTTCTTCCATTTTTGTCTGAATTTTCCATTTTTTTAATTCTGTTATCTTTGTCTTACATTTATTACAATTTTGTATACTTGATGATTCTGGTACAAAAGGCATATGGTAATGAACTTTTTGTACAAATCGTAAAGTAACTGCAACAACTTTTATATTCTTATAACTTTTCTCCTCCATAGAGGCCAGTTGAGCTTGTCTAGATAAAGAAGTTTGAGAATTCTTCTCATGAGATAAAGTAACTGTACTTTTCCTCAGCGACGACGACGACGACGTCGTTGATGAAGGCGAACTCTTTGTGGCTCGCAATGGAGCGTTCGTTGGTTGACTTAGTGAATGTGGCTTCTTCACTTTTAAAGTCAATATACCTGCGAGTAATGCACCTGATGAATCTACAGCATTACCATACATTACACATGGTGGCGATTCAATCTTTATAGAGAGCTCTAAAGGACACTCTACTACATTAGTAGGTGTTATAGATCCATTGTTCTTCTTCTTCCTGCTTTCATTCTTCCCAATAGAGGATCCATAAGCTTGTGTTAATTTCGAGAACACCATGTTAAAAAACAAGCTATTCAAAAAACAAAAAAGTAAAGCACTGGGTACTAGCAACTTAATCTGATCTCTTGGTATATTTAGCTAATAAATTAAATCTAATTTAAAAAAGGGCCAGTATCTTACCAATTTAAGATGCTTTTAGTAGCTAAACCAAACTATAGCAAAAAAAATATATATATATATATATAATATAAGGATAAATCGAAATAAGGCTTCTAAAAACAAGAAAAAAAAGATTCATATATACGCACACCCTAAAAGACCTGTTAAGATAAATAGGTCCAACACTACGACAACTCTTCAACCTGCATAAATCACTAACAGATATAAAACTGTACATTGTTTCCTTCAAGGTTCTTTGCTGTGAATTCAAAATTTTTCAAAATTTTTTTTTCAAAAAATTTCAGTTTTTAGGGTTTACCGACAGCACAAACATAGGGTTCCTCATCGCGCTACAAGACAGAATTCCCATTGCGGTGTTTGGGTGTGGTATTGAAAAGCAGAAAAATTTTCTGGAAGAAAAAAGTTGAAAAATTTTGAAATTTTCAATCAGAAGAAAGAGATGAGATGAGATGATCAAACTTGGAAAGGTCTTTTTAAATACAGGGTGATACAACTTAGGTTATTGGGGATAATAAGTTCAAATAGTCAGTCCTTGTTATATATATATTACGGAAACAGGGAAGATAAATTGTGTGAGAGATGTCTGATGAAATTGTTTGGCAGGTAATTAACCAAAGTTTTTGTTCACACCGTATAAAGTCGCCCAGTGGGCAAACCTTCTGTAGGGATCCACATAATGTGACAGGTCTATGTACTAGACAGTCATGTCCATTAGCTAACTCTAAGTATGCTACTGTGAGGAGTGATAAAGGTAGAATATATTTGTATATGAAGACCCCGGAAAGAGCGCATACTCCAGCTAAATTATGGGAACGTATTAAGTTATCTAAAAATTATTCAAAGGCTTTACAACAAATTGATGAACATTTGTTACACTGGAGTAAATTTTTTCAACATAAATGTAAGCAAAGATTTACTAAATTGACACAAGTAGCCATTACTGAGAGACGTATGGCTTTGAGAGAAGAAGAAAGACACTATGTTGGTGTTGCTCCAAAGGTGAAACGTAGAGAGGAAAATAGAGAAAGAAAGGCATTAGCTGCTGCCAAGATCGAAAAGGCTATCGAAAAGGAATTACTAGATAGATTAAAGAGTGGTGCTTATGGTGATAAACCATTAAACGTTGACGAAAAGATTTGGAAGAAAGTTATGGGTAAATTGGAGGATGAGAATGAGGATGAAGAATTGGAAGATGAAGAATTGGAAGAAGAGAGTGATGATGGTGAAGTTGAATATGTGGCCGATGAAGCAGATGCTGACTATGTCAGTGTAGAGGACTTACAAAAATGGCTAGCTGATTCTGATGCTGAACAATCTTCCGATGAAGAGAGTGAAAGTGACAGTAGCGATAGTGACAGTGATGATAATGCTGAAGGTTCAAAGAAACGTAAGAAGACAAAAGCTCCAAAGAGTAAGCGTCCAAAGGTTGAAATCGAATTCGAAGAAGAACGTGAAGTTCAACAACCAGAACAAGAAGTTGCTCATTAATTTTAAAGAAATTTTTTTTTCAACATCTATTCGTTTTTGTCTTATTATGTTCCACACCCATCTCTTTACAAAATGCATTAGTGAGAACATAGAAAGCAAATCCATTTTCCCCCCAATTCCTTTAGTTAACTGCACGTCTACTTCATTATAGATCGATACATATATAAATATTTAAAGACCCTCATCTACTTAACCTTAATAATAAAGGAATTTTCTGTATATTAGTTTATAGATTATTAGGTACAAATTTACTACTATTTACATAATGGTCTAATGATTATGTTTTTCTTATTTTTTTTTTTAAGTTATGCAGATAATGCAATTTTAAATGTTCTACAAGATAACCTTAGTTGGGTCTAAATCCTTATGAACAAAAGCTCTATTACCACCAGCACCCAAATAATCAGCGGCAATATTACCATTACCTCTGATTTGATATTGATAAGTGACTAAACCATCAAGACCGACTGGACCACGAGCATGGATCTTTGAGGTAGAGATACCAACCTCGGTACCAAACCCGTATCTGAAACCATCAGCAAATCTAGTAGAGGCGTTCCAGTAGACACCTGCAGAGTCAATACCCTTTAGGAACTTATCTGCATTTTCGTTGTTCTCTGTGATGATAGAATCTGTATGTTTTGAAGAATGTTCATTGATGTGTTCGATAGCAGCTTGAGTATCCTTGATAAACTTAACAGCACAATCAAACGACAAAAATTCCTTATCGAAATCTTCCTTTTCATTAACATCGACAATATGAGATTTCATGTCATCTGTAAGTCTTTCTCCAAGCTTTTGTTGATAAGAATCCCTAACTTCAGAAGTAACATGTAAAGTAACACCATTTTCAATCATATTTGTTAGAACATCATCCCAATGGTTCAATTTTGGATTTATCAATAAAGTTTCCATAGCATTACAACCAGCTGGATAATTTGTCTTTGCGTCGACGGATATTCTTTTGGCTTTTTCCAAATCTGCAAATTCGTCAACATAAACGGAACAAATACCATCAGCATGACCTAATACAGGGATCTTAGTATTTCTCTTTATGTTTCTCACTAAGGCATTTGAACCTCTTGGAACAACAAGATCAATCAATTCATCTTGATCTAATAAATCGGAAACATCTTGACGAGTTTCAATCAATTGTACGGCACCAACTGGAACACCTGTCTCCGTAACGTTCTCAGCAATAGTATCATTAATAACTTGAGCCATCTCTCTAAAAGTATTTACAGATTCTTTACCACCTTTTAGGATACCTGCATTACCACTCTTAATACAAAGAGCTGTAATATTAGCAATGACTTCAGGACGAGATTCAAAGATGACTAATAACACACCTACTGGTGCAGTAACTTGATATAGCATCATATCATCATCTAGTTGTCTGGCAAGTTTCACTTGTCCGACTGGATCCTGTAAATCTGCAACATCTTTGATACCTTGTAACATAGTTTCAAATTTATCTCCTTGAAATAAGTTTAGACGTTTCAATAAGGAACTCGATAGACCCGAGGTCTCAGCTTCAGCTAAATCCTTCTCATTAGCTACTTTAATAGCATCTCGTTTAGCTGATAAACTATCGTGAATTTTATATAAGATAGAAGAACGACTCTCATTCGATAAAGTCTTCAGGATATTACCTGCAACTCTGGCACTTTTAGCAATTTCATAAGCCGACGACATATTTGTGTGAATGTATTATAACTTTGAAGAAATGAATAATATTTATGTTTATTATAGTAAACGGGAACCAGTTCACTATACCGATAACTCACTATTTTGGACAATTTAAAAACTCAGTCAAACGTTCTTCTTTATCATTTATACCAAAGCTCCCTCTTCCTATGTATATATATATGTGGGTTACCTATTGAACGTCTCAGTCTCTCTTAGTAAGATCGTCTGTATCGTGTGTGTGACACACACACGATTTTCAGAAATTTTTCAATTTTTTTTCCAAAATTTTTCCCCTCAGCAGGTTTCTGTGGGGTTGCGTCATTTCACAAGAAAGAGAGAGGGAGAGAGAGGGAGCACACAATAAATTGAGAATATAGTCACAAGAAGAAGAAGAACAAGAAGGAAGTAAAGAATGAAGGGAGAAGAGTCTTCTCCGTTGGGTTGGATTACGTATGCGTCTATGTATATCTCTATATATGTATAGGTATCTGTGCGGGAACCCTACGTCATATGGAGGGGGTATGTCTATATAACATTATTGCCATAGCTATCATGCTCACGAGGACAACATCACAGACGAAATATTTGTATTTATGCATTGAATTTGTGTTCTTGTCAAGCTCTTGCAAAGTATTCTCGACTACCAGCAAGTTGTCGAATTTGCGGATAGTTTCTTTTTGTGAAGCCAGTTTGTCCTGGCATGCACGCATACGGGCCTCGAGACTCTGTAGATCCTTGACACAGTCGCCAATCGTACAATTCATCTGACATTGGAACGATTTTTTATCGGTTAAATTGAATCGTTGTTTGACTTTGGTGTTATAATTGTTATCCATTGCATCTCGGAGTTCACGGATACTTTTATTAACTTTATCGTAATCTTCACTCAGTTGATCGAAATGTTGCAACATTGTAGTGAACTTGATCTCTTCTTGTATGACTTTGTTTTGAAATGTCTCCTTAAGTTTTGATTGCAAATTCGAAAGACTCTTATGTATATGTTTCTCATAATATAATGACATATCGGGATCCTCGTCTTTAGTTTTTAAAATTTCATTTTGTGGTTGATAATTTGATGTCCCAGCCGCTTTATTGGGTGCATTGGAGCCATTATAATTCACTGAACGAAATTCTGGAGCAATCGTCTTGGGGATAACTGATTTCGACCCCTCAGAAGAACTTATATTATCCATGTTCATAATTGATGGGAATGGTGAAGAACTTGACGAGCCTAGGGTCCAGCCCTGATTACTCGATGGTTGTTTTGAAGAATCTAAATCTTTTAGAAGCACGTTATGCAATTGGGTATAACTTGACGATGACGAACTGGTATTGCTATCACGATGTGGTAAGTTTAATTCGTTTGATCTCATTGTACTGAAAGGTGCATGCAATGAGGATATTCCGCTTGATGATGATGTTGATGGACGATGCAATTGGTGAAGTTGTCCCGTTGAATGATATTGTGCCTGCGAGGGCTCATTTTCCATCTCACTAGGTTTTAAAAATTGATTGACAAGTCTTTTCTTATTGTTCATACTACTTGAAGAACTGAAATGACTAGACATTGATCTACCATTCTTCATGAATGCAGAACTTGGTGTTGAAAGAAACATAGAACTTCGACGATGCATAGATGACATCTCTGATATCGATCCATTTCTAGATTCTCTGGGACTAATTAGAGATTCCTCTGTTGTAGACATGGAAGGTGTCGGCATTACACGACTGGGACTATGTGAGACTGCTAACGTATGACTCTTGGGACTCACATGGAAATTAAACTCTAAGTCACTAAATCTTCCTGTTCCGGCTGCCGATACATCAAACCCAGACTCTCTCATGGATGTAGTACTAGTACTACCACTACTACCAGTTGTAGTAGGTACTGGTATGATCTTCGCCCTCCTTGTTCCCTCATTTAATTTCCTTGAACTATAATCTCTGGAATCGTCCTCACTGTCTGAATCACTGATCATAGCATGCTCATCATAACCATTCGAAAAATATCGTTGCAAATTTAACATGGACCTGTCTTGTTCTTCGGTGTTCATCGTAGTTATAGGGACATCATTTACCACTATGAGAGGTGACTTCTGTAATTTGGTAGTGGTATCCTTAGTGGAACCTTCCTCAACTGAGGGAGCTTTGAACTTCTCCATCCCCCATCTTTTATTCTGCCCACCCATAGAGAGAAACGCAGGAACACCTTCCCTATCCTTTCTCTCCATTCTATCTACTAGTAGATCCATCTTTCAAATATATACTGTGAATCTCTTTGAAATGAAAAAAGAATACTATTTATTCGTATACTTCTTTCACACTTAATCAAACAACCACAAAATACACACACCAGGAAATACAAAATCTAGTTCCTAAGCTAACTTTATCGTTGTGGATAATGATTACTTTCGAAAACTGTCGATGATTGTCAGAAGTATGAGTGAAGTCGTTTAATATGCGCGCAGTCTCTTCTTGGCTGTTTCACAGTTATCAACGATCAAATATACCAAACGAAGATAAACTATAGGTATAAAATGGCAACGATCTCTAATAACCAAACGATCTACGACAGGTTAAACCCTTGTTAAGTATACTTATGAGTGAAAGGGTCGATTTGACTACCTTCTCATTAGCTGAAATGAAATTTTTGCTAACTGAAAATTCTTGGCTCGTTGTAGAGTGTGTGTTTGGGGTTACCCTCATATCTGAACGGCGCGCAGTTTTACGAATTTTCTTTGGTTTCTTTACGTGTTGTTTTTGTTATTGTGATGGGGCCCTATTGAGAGAGCAGAGTTACTTTTTGATTCAGTTATAAACAACCTACAATCGACTTCTCGAAGTGATAAAAGAGATTGGTTTCGTGCTTTGGTACTGTTTTTTACCTGTTTTTTTAACTAGTAGACTATACAGATATATACACATACACACACGTCTGCCTGAAAATATGTCGTTAGAAGTAGGTACGAGGTGTTGGTACCCAGACAAAGATCAAGGCTGGGTCGGTGCAGAAGTGGTAAAGAACGAACTTTCTGATGGAAAATATCATTTATCGTTGAAACTAGAGAACCCTGACAGCGATGTAGTGTCTGTAGAAGCTAGCGAGGACGAATTACCTTTGTTGAGAAATCCACCGATTCTTGAATCTACCGAGGATTTGACATCGTTATCTTATTTAAACGAACCTGCTGTCCTACATGCGATTAAGAAAAGATACTCACAATTAAATATATATACTTATTCTGGTATTGTGTTGATTGCTGCCAACCCGTTTGATCGTGTAGATCAGTTGTATTCTCAGGATATGATTCAAGCTTATGCTGGGAAACGTCGTGGTGAGATGGAACCTCATTTGTTTGCTATTGCAGAAGAAGCCTATAGATTGATGAAAAATGATAAACAAAATCAAACTATTGTGGTAAGTGGTGAATCTGGTGCAGGGAAGACTGTCTCTGCCAAATATATTATGAGATATTTTGCTTCTGTAGAAGAAGAAATGTCATCAAATGTGGGAAATATTCAACATCAAACTGAAATGTCAGAGACCGAAGAAAAAATTTTAGCTACTAACCCTATTATGGAAGCCTTTGGTAATGCTAAGACTACAAGAAATGATAACTCTTCCAGATTCGGGAAGTATCTAGAGATTCTGTTCGATGATCATACTTCTATTATTGGTGCTAAATTAAGAACATATCTGTTGGAAAGATCAAGATTAGTTTATCAACCAACAGATGAAAGAAATTATCATATCTTTTATCAAATGTTGGCAGGTCTATCAAAAGATTCAAAGGAATCCTTAAGTTTAACCTCACCTGATGATTATTTTTATTTGAATCAAGGTGGTGCCACTGAGATTACTGGAATAGACGATTCTCAAGAATTTAAAATCACTACAGATGCATTATCTTTAGTCGGTTTCGATGAGCCAGCTCAAGATCAAATATTTAAGATCCTGGCTGCATTGTTACATATCGGTAATATCGAAATTAAGAAGACAAGAAATGATGCATCGTTATCATCGGATGAACCAAATTTAAAGATTGCTTGTGATTTGTTAGGAATAGATCCATTTAATTTTGCCAAATGGATTACTAAGAAACAAATCGTTACAAGATCCGAAAAGATTGTATCGAATTTGAATTTTAACCAAGCTCAAGTCGCTAGAGATTCTGTTGCAAAATTCATTTATTCAACTTTATTTGATTGGCTTGTTGAAAATATCAATCACGTTCTTTGTAATCCTGCTGTGACCGATCAGATTAAATCCTTTATTGGTGTTTTAGATATCTATGGGTTTGAACATTTCGAGAAAAACTCGTTTGAACAATTCTGTATTAATTATGCCAATGAAAAATTACAACAAGAATTTAATCAACACGTCTTTAAATTGGAACAAGAAGAATATGTGAACGAACAAATTGAATGGTCCTTTATTGAATTCAACGATAACCAACCTTGTATCGACTTAATTGAAAACAAAATAGGTATCTTATCCTTATTAGATGAAGAGAGTAGATTACCAGCTGGTTCCGATGAATCATGGACTCAAAAATTGTATCAAACATTAGATAAGCCACCAACGAATGTTGTTTTCTCCAAACCAAGATTTGGTCAAACGAAGTTTGTTGTCAGCCATTATGCTCATGACGTTGCCTATGATACTGATGGATTTATTGAAAAGAATAGAGACACCGTATCTGATGGCCATCTTGAAGTTCTTAAAGCCACTACAAATGAGACTTTGTCGAAGATTTTAGAAAGTTTAGAGCAAGCTGCTGAAAGATTAGAAGAAAGTAAGAAGAAGAAGGAAGAAGAAGAGCAACAACTGAACAAGAAACAAGGCCCTATGGGCGGTCGTAGGACAGTTCAAAGAAAACCAACCCTAGGTTCCATGTTTAAACAATCTCTGATCGAATTGATGGATACGATCAACTCTACCAATGTGCATTATATTCGTTGTATTAAACCGAATAATGAGAAGGAAGCATGGAAATTCGATAATTTAATGGTATTATCTCAATTGAGAGCATGTGGTGTGCTAGAAACCATTAGAATTTCATGTGCAGGTTTCCCATCCAGATGGACCTTTAATGAATTCATCTTAAGATATTATATTTTATTACCTACTGAAGAATATGCTACAATTTTCCAACAAAAAGAAACAACAAAGGATGATATCATTAATATGTGTAAAAAAATTCTAGATATTACTGTTGAAGATAAAGCTAAATATCAAATCGGTAACACTAAAATCTTCTTTAAAGCAGGTATGCTTGCTTATTTGGAAAAGAAGAGAAGTGATAAGATGCACCGTTCCATTGTTATGATCCAGAAACATGTTAAATCTCAACACTACAGAAAGAATTATTTAGCTACAATGAAGTCATTGAAGTTACTACAAACTGCCGCCAAGGCTTCAGTGGTTCGTCAAAGAGTTGACCATGAATTGAAAACAAATGCTGCTCTATTGATTCAAACTGTTTTGAGAGGGTGCCATGTCCGTCATGAAGTTAATGGTATCCTAAGGACAATTATAGCTATTCAAGCAAAGATAAAGAAACAATTAAAGCAAAAACAAATGCTTGTTGAACATGAACATGATGCTGCAGTGACAATTCAAAGTAGGATCAGATCATTTGTTCCAAGAAAGACCTATCAAAATAATAAAAGAAGTACTATTACTATTCAATCTATGATTAGAAGACGTAGTGCTATGGCCCAATTACAAACTTTGAAAGCTGAGGCCAAGAGTGTCAAAAATCTACAGGAAGTTAGTTATAAATTGGAGAATAAGGTTATCGAATTAACTGAAAATTTGGCTGCCAAGATCAAAGAAAATAAAGAAATGAAGTCTCAAATTGAAAAATTGATGACCGATTTAGAAGAATCTGTAATCTTGAAGGATACCATTGAACAAGAAAAGAAATTACATCAAGATGCATTAGATGAAAAGGACGCTGAGTATGAAACAAAACACAAAGAATTAGATGAACAATTAGCCTCCGCTACTGCACAAATCGAGGACCATAAACAACAAATGGCACAATTAACCATTCAACATAACGAATTAAGGGATTCCTCAGCAAAGAATTTGGAAGAGTTAGAAGAAGCTAAGAAACAACTAAGCGATTACCAAATACAAAACACAGATCTTCAAAATGAGGTGAAGACTCTAAAGGACGAAATCACACGTTTGCAAGGTTCAATCAATATGGGTACAGCAATCAAGACCACAACATTACCACAAGCTTCTACTGCTTCTTCTATGAATATGAGTAATGGTAACCGTATGGCCAGTGATGCCACAGGTGCCCCAGTATTAATGAAGACCGTCTCTACCTTATCTAATGATGAAAACTCGTCTTCTTTAGCCCAAATCAACGAAGAATTATACAGATTATTGGAAAATACCGAGACACTAAATGTTGAAATAACTGAAGGATTATTAAAGGGATTCAAGGTTCCGGATTCTGGCGTGTCCATTGCATTAAGTAGAAGAGATGTTGTCTACCCAGCTAGAATTTTAATAATTGTTCTGAGTGAAATGTGGAGATTCGGTTTAACCAAACAAAGTGAAAACTTCCTCGCACAAGTGCTGATTACAATTCAAAAGGTTGTTACCACATTGAAGGGCAGCGATTTGATTCCAAGTGGTGCGTTCTGGTTAGCAAATGTTAGAGAATTATATTCATTTGTTCTTTTTGCAAGGCAATCTATTCTTACTGAAGAAAATTTCAAGAATGATATGAATGTTGATGAATATAATGAATATGTTTCATTAGTGACAGAATTAAAAGAAGATTTTGAATCATTAAGTTATAATATTTATAACATTTGGTTGAAAAAATTGCAAAAAGAATTACAAAAGAAGGCTATTCCAGCTATTGTGATGTCAGAATCATTACCTGGTTTCAGTGCTAGTGAATCCAGCAGTTTCTTAAACAAATTTTTCAATTCTAATGATGGTTATACAATGGATGATATTTTAACATTTTTTAACAGCATATATTGGTGTATGAGATCATTCCATATTGAAAATGAAGTATTCCGTAGCGTGGTGACAACGTTGTTAAATTATATTGACTCAATTTGTTTTAATGATTTAATAATGCGTCGTAATTTCTTATCATGGAAACGTGGGTTGCAATTAAATTATAATATTACAAGATTAGAAGAATGGTGTAAATCTCATGAATTGCCAGATGGTGCTGATTGTTTGAAACATTTGATTCAAACTTCAAAATTATTACAATTACGTAAATATACCATTGAAGATATTAATATTTTAAGAGGTATTTGTTCCGATTTATCTCCTGCGCAATTACAAAAATTGATTACTCAATCTCATGTGGCAGATTATGAATCTCCAATTCCAGAAGAAATTTTGAAATATGTTGCAGATTTAGTGAAACAAGAGAGTGCTGCCGTTGCCGCTGGTACCTCTAGCACCGAAGGCACCGATAAATCAGGTCTTAAGAATGATATTTTCTTACATACACCAAACGGTCCGTTCGATGATCCATTTGTTCAAATTCCAACTAGAGAATTCGATCAAGTAGAAGCTTATATCCCTGTGTGGCTGAACTTACCAAGTACAAAACGTATCGTTGATCTTGTTGCACAAAATGTAAATGTCATAGAGTAAATAATAAAGTAATAAAAATAATAATAATAATAATAATAATAATATTAATAATAATAATAATATATATATATGTATTTATTGAATAGTTAAATTAATCTTTTTTTTCTTTTCTTTTTGCTCTTTCTCTGATTTAGAGTTCAAATAGTATACACAAAACAAAAACAGAAAAAAACATATACATACACATACTAACAACAATATTTACATTCAAAAATAATGTATTCTATGTGAAATGTACAACAATAGGAACAATGATCACTACTAAAAGAATGATAATCACTAACACCAGACACATTCTCATCTTTAAATCCTTCCACCACATCTGTTTACGCACCCTATTAGCACCACGCTTGAAACCTTGTGCCGATACAGCCAAATTGTCAGCTTTATCCTCGATCGAAGTCAATCTCTCACCACGTTCAGCGACTTTATTGATATTATCTCTCATTATACCGACGGTATCATCGATCTCTGCTTGTAGGTCGGCTGTCCTAGAGTTTTGTTGTGGATGTGCGTCTTCTGGTGGAACATATGGGTCATAAGGTACTGCTGAGGACATTGTAATATATATAGTTCTATGGTTTGGAGTCTATAAGTAGTTTTAAAGCTTAAAATATCGTAGTTGTAGCTCTCTCTTTCTTAAAACTTCCCACTGATTCCTTATATATTCTAGAATTCTAAATATATCTCTCACTATATATATGGATATCCAAAAATTGATTGAATGAGCCTCTCTAAAAAAATGGTGAGAGAAACGCAAAACGCGACAAAATATTTGTGAACTGCAAGGGCATAGAGAGAGGGTAACGATTCTTTGTATCGTGTATTAAATTGAATTTAATTTATAAAAGAAGAGGTTATATTTACGAGTTTGCACCACAAGTGTCTATTTATGGCGGTACACTACTAAGGGACGAATTGTTTAAAGTATTTACCTCTCTTTCTTTTCTTCTTTTCTTTTCGAACTGTAAGATAAGAAATGCTTGCTACATTATCTTTTGTTTCCATTGAACAAGTTGCAGTTACAGATAGGATGTCCAGAATACATTGGCATATGGAACAACATTCCATAATTACTTATTTTTTCTTGTATACTACCAAAGGACTTATCTCTTAACACTTATATGGATCGGAGCAAATAAAATCTCCTAGATAGTGGCACAGTTCACATAGTTAACGACACCAAAAATTGATTGAAGCTTATTAGGGTTGCATAGTAAAAGCGAAAGTAGGGCTCGCCATCGCTGAAAATTTTTTTTTTTTTGATTTCAGCAAATTTCTTTATAAAACAATGAAGAAACTTCGAGTGATGAGATGAGCTCTTCTTGGTCGTTAGATACCATCTTGTGCTCAAAGTGGATATTTCGTTGATACCAGCAAGCTTTCATCGAACACTGTATACAATGTCAAAGTCACTAGAATGGGATTCCCTACAAAATAAATTACAGCCATGGATACGTACCGCTGTAGATGTGATGGGGTTTGAGCATATGACACCCGTACAAGCATCGACGATTCCATTACTTACAGGGAATAAGGATGTCGTAGTGGATTCTGTAACAGGGTCAGGTAAGACTGTAGCATTTGTTGTGCCAATACTGGAACGAATTGTGACAGAAAGAGCAGCAATAAATACAAAGAAAGGTCATTTCCATACATTAATTCTTTCACCAACTAGAGAACTTGCTAAACAAATTCAAGCTGTCATTGATTCATTTTTAGATCAATACCCAGAGGAAACTGCTCAAAAGCATCCGATTAAATCACAACTTATTGTGGGTACTGATAGTATGAATGTACGTGATGATGTGAATTTCTTATTAGAAAATAGACCTTTGATATTGATTGGAACGCCAGGGAGAGTCTTGGAATTTTTCCAGGATCCTCGTGTTAAGACTACTTCATGTAATATGTCCATATTAGATGAAGCTGATAGATTGTTAGATAGTAGTTTCCTAGGAGATGTTGAGAAGATTTTACGAATTTTACCTAAGCAGAGAAGAACAGGTCTATTTTCAGCAACAATTAAGAGTGCAGGGAATGATATCTTTAAGACAGGGTTAAGAAACCCTGTTAAGATTACAGTTAATAGTAAAGTCTCTGCTCCGTCAACAATATCGTTCAATTACTGTTTAGTGAAACCACAAGAAAAGTTACAACAATTACTTCATATACTGGAAAATTATAGATTTAAGAAGTGTATCGTATATTTTCCAACTTGTATTTCGGTTCAATTTTTTTATTCCTTTATTACCTATTTACAAAAGAAAGAATCATCAAGCAATTATATATCGAATGATATTGGCGTATATTCTTTGCATGGTAAGTTACAAACAAGTTCTCGTATGAAGACATTGACTAAATTTACAGAAGATCTTACAAATTCTGTACTATTAACAACAGATGTTGCCGCAAGAGGTATCGATATCCCTGACGTGGATTTAGTGATACAGATGGATCCACCTACAGATACAGATCATTTCCTTCATAGATGTGGTAGAACTGGTAGATTAAATAGAATAGGTAAAGCAATTACATTCTTAAACCAAGGTAGAGAAGAAGATTATATTGATTTCTTAGAGATTAAAAATATTATCTTAAAACCAGCAAATGAATTATTGGCACAAAATCCAGATAATGAAAAATTTTATAATGAAATGAAGTCGTGGTTATTAAAGGATAGAGCTAGATTCGATCACGCAGTAAGATCATACGTTGCATTTATCAGATATTATTCTAACCATTCTGCAAGTTCTATCTTTAGATTGCAAACATTAGATTATGTGGGTCTTTGTAAATTATATGGTCTTTTCCGTTTACCAAGAATGCCTGAAATCACTAAAAATTTCAAAGATGAAGATCCTTTGAATCCTGGTAACAAGATCACATTTGGAGATGGTTGGTTAGTTGATCCACCAATAGATATTAATTCTTTTGCATATATTGATCCAAAACGTGAGCAAGCTAGATTAAAAGATTTGGCTAATCTTGAAAAAATCAACGATAAGAAAAAACTTAAGTTCGAACTAAAGAAAAAAAATATGGCTTGGTCAAATAATAGTTCTTCAAAGGAAGTGAAAACGAAAAGAAGGGAGAAGATGCAATTGAAGAGAAAAGCTATTGAAGAAGAACTTGCTCGAAACGGAGGTGATAGTGGTTCAGATGACGAATCTAATAATGATTGGAAAAATGACATCTTAGAGTCTAGGAAGAAAAGGAAACAACACAATGACGTTCAAGGTCAATTTGACGACTTGTAATCATTGTGAATATGTTATATAGTTTGATATACTACTTGTTATGCATACTTTTTTTATTTTTTTTTCACCGTTTTGTGTATATATATATATATGTGTATTCATTCTATTATTAATGATAGTACGTAGTAGATGCAGATTATAAAAAAAGATATGTATAGTTCATTATATAAACCGTATGAATTAACATTGGGTATTAGGTTTAGTCGAGGACGTAAGTCATATGATCAGAAACCGCCATCAAAACCACCATCAAAACCACCATCATAACCACCATCATAACCACCATCATAGCCACCATCGTCACCATAGTAGTTGTTCTCAACAATTGTATCACCATGATGTGACTCTAAAGCATCTGCCAGTAAGAAACCACCAAGTAAACCTGCACCTGCACCTAATAAACCATTTCTGGTACTGTGATTAGATTGTCTCTGAGGTTGCTGTTGATAAACAGGTTGTTGCTGGTATACAGGTTGTTGCTGGTATATAGGTTGTTGCTGATACATCGGCTGCTGTTGATACATCGGCTGCTGTTGGTACATAGGTTGCTGCTGAGTGGCACGTTGTTGGGGCTGCTGAGGTTGTTGCCTATAACTATTCTTTTGATCTCCAGATTGATTGTTATTCGTGTTATCATTGCTGGAATAGGGTGGTGGTCCATCTGGACGTGAACTTGACCAGGTAGTACCCTTTGGAGCTTCCCATTGAGACTTTTCCGAGGATAAATCAACATAAAACCATGTTGAGTATTCGTCGTCAAAAATTGCTTTCCAACCCTTTGGGACAGTAGGAGGATTATCTCTTGATTGGGCCATTCTCATAAGTTGATATATGATTCGTTTTGTTTATGGTGTTTTGTTTAGTAGAGCTTTTAAGAAAAATTCTGGTGAAATAGAAATAAGGATAACAAATTGTGGATGTGGTAAATCTCTGGGTTTATATCATCATCAAAAACTGGATCAAAAAGAGTTCTACCATCATTTCGGAAGATCAAAAATGTGTGATAGTGAGTACGTTGAAATGTGGCAGAGAAATGAGGCTCATTAATAGAAGCAAAACAACCCAAAATATAAAAAACAAATGCCGCGCACTATAATTGCGCAGTGACCGATGATAACGTGCGATGACTCTGGAAGGCAATGCAGCCAGGGATAACTAAGACAGCAGCTGGTATTCATGATGAGTTGACAATATAACCGTGGTATACGTAATCTGCGACATGGGGTTAGTCCATACATTAATCCTCAACTTAGCCACTTCTGTCTTTTTCTGTGATTATGTAGAACTTTCTAGCATTCGAAACTGACTATATCATTATGCATGCCGTCATATATGAGAGTATTGTTGACAGGGATGTACTGATGAGTTATCAGTTTAATGACTTCCTGGGAGATTAGACCGCCGATGAAGGAGGCTGTTGGATAACTTTCACCAATGAAGAATAGCTTGTTATCGGTTGTCTTTTCCACCTGCTCTTGTTTCTGAAATTTAAGAAGTGTACTCAACACTGGACTGGTTTCATTCAATTTAGGGTCAGTAAGGAAGTCCCTTATTGATCTTGTTGTCGGTTTAATACATTTTATATTCTTTACGTTGCGGGAAAATCTTGAGATCATATCAGCAGAGATACTTTCATCTAGTTGGTGGACCACTTTAGAAAAATTAACCAAGTCATATTTGGCTTTATTTTTGTACACTTGTTGTAATTCTCCAAATATTTTTGAGCTCGATTCCATGTCTGGGATATCAGGGTTTACCATTATATCACCTCCATTTGATTTTAAATATACAGATAACGCATGAAGTAATATAATAACTTGTTTGTTATACCCATCTCTCCAGCCATTAGTTTTTTCATCTCTATTTTGTTGCGAATGCTTGATCAACTCTTGTAAACTGACTTTGTAGGTTTCATTTGGTAAAGCCACGTATGAATATCTAACAGCTTCATCATAATTCATATCGTTTTTACCCTTTGGGTTAATCTCTGAAATGTACCAATTTGTCAACGTATCCTTAATCATCTTATTGTCAACAGATGCAATAGGGTGCAAATGTTGTAATGCCTTGTACAGTAGTACAATATACGGTAATTCTGCCAAAGAATATTCATTCAAAGTCTCTAGTTTAATATTATCCATATAATTACGTAATTCTTCCCAAGGGGACTCTAATCTAAAAGATGGCACTTCGTAGTCTGGACGAGATTCAATTATCCAATGAGGTTCGAACAATTTCGTAAATATATAGCCATATAACCCCACTGCATGAGACATAATTACAGGGGCTACCATTGAAGATAATGATGTATTTAAGAGGTCGTCCTTAATATTAGTTTCTGATATCACAATTATTATTGAAAAATCACCGCCTTGAGTTACTTCATGCATATCGGAGATTGGTCTTTGAGTGATAGAGACTCCTCGAGGATTCAATGGAATCATATCTTGAATAAGATTTTTGTAAAAAAGGTTATTCTCTTGGGATGTCTGCATAATATTACTCTTAAACCAAGTAAACTTTGAAATACCAACCAATACTAAGTTTTTAATAGTTTCCTGAAGCAAGCAGGTTTCTGGCCCAATGACGCAAATGTGGGACTCAGACAACAAATCCTGACCCGCACCACCCCATAACCTTAATTGTCTGTCGTATCTATTCATTGCCCAATATGCAAAGTTGTGGTAGTGTCCAAGTTTCTTTATATTTTATGAGTGTGATTGCTCAATCATATGAAACATTTAGGCAATTAATGACCTTTTAGTAAGCATCGCGAAACTTTGTTGGCGCCAAACATTTTATTTGTTTATTATATTTTTGGCGAGTATAATTGGAATCTGAACATCAAAATAAAGAAACTTAAGGTTGATCAAAGGAACAGAAGGGTTCACACATACTTTACCCCTCTCTTTCACGAATACAATCAAAACAACCATGGATTTTACTTCAGATTTGAGTAGTGATGTCAATGGGTCCAGAGATAGTGGTAGTCACCACAGCTCAAGTTCCAGCTTCCTAGGTATTGCCAGAAGATCAGCGAAGACAATACCTTCTACCGTCGATAAATCCAGTGATATAGAGTTAAATATGTTGAGTGCTTCAGACAGGAAACAGCTTAAATTAGAGGAGACCAGAGAGAAGTTACTATTAGAACGTGAAAAGTTGTTGAAAGAGGTTGATACGTTGAATATCGAACTCGAGAACACACCAGAGGGAATCAATGAGGAATTACAACACCCAGAGGAAATTGAAAATGGGAATATGGACGAAGGTGAGATCGATCATAATATGGCCAAGACCTTAGTAGATTTAATGTCAATATCATCAAGAAAGAATAAATTTGCAAATATTGATGAAGGAATTCAACAAACTTCTAATAGAATCGATGGGAATTCCAAGATGCAAGACGAACTAGCATCAAAATATGATACTTTGCCTTTACTGAATATGAATTTAAGATTAAGGTACTTGAGACAATATTTGTATCCACATATGAAAATGGATATTATGGAGAGAGTCAATGAACAATCTAACAAGAAGATTACCGTTTCCATACGTTTCTTAAGAAATGTGAAACATGTGATCAAAATCAAATTTGTAATGCAATATGATTCATCCGAAGAGACTTTACAATCATTCGAAATATCTCAGCTTACACCACCAACATTAAATTTAAATATGAGATCATTCTTAAAAAAACATTCAAACAATCCAACTATAATATTATTTTGTCTTTCTGAATATGACAGATTACTATGGAAGAGGCAAGAATTGTTTGATGGAATTGCTGAAAAATTTAAATCATGGATAGAAGAGTCATTCTTCAAAAACAAAGCTAATTATATGGATATTGAACGTGAGATGATCCTTAAGAATACCAATCAGAATGCTAATATTATTAGGCTCATTGTTAAAGTTGAAATACCAGAAGGCTCAGTTATACCTCGTTCAAAGGTCAACTTAGAAATGTACGCTGGAGGATCATTGATAACGACACCTGATGTGAATAAGATGTTATTTGAGTTAATGAAAGAGTATGGCTTGAAAGCTTCTCTCCAGCATCTTATACGGGGAGCTCTATTTCCATGATACATGCCAATCTCGGTAGATCACCAAGTTTCTACTTGCATAACGACTAACATAGCATAATATACAACCTGCTTCCCGAATATACAGAACAGGTTTGTATTATATCGTGGTCTAACAATTCCTTTATTCAAAGACCCCTATGGGGGTATCACATTGATCAGTCGAGACGTCTCGTATAATTTGTATCCATCCCATGATGAACGAGAGATATTCGCGTAGACCGAGAAAGTTCAATAAATTTGTTTAAAAATTTTTGGGGGAGTCCATTTAAAAGAGATGCCAATTTATTAATTGAATATAACTTGGGGGAGTATGATCTATTAATTGAGAAGGTGTGTTTTGACTAGAATAGCAGAGTATCAAGCACTAGCAAAAATGGGTTGTACTGTGTTAAGTTCTCCTGGAGAACAGTTGTTTTATACCTTATATTTTATAATTCATATTCCGTTAACGATTTTTATTGATTCAACAATATGTTTTTCCCCAATGACTGAGACACTAAACAGGATGATTGAATGGCACATTTCAGAAAATAACGATTTCTTATTGTTAGAAAAGCCATCGTGGTTCTTTTGGATGGTTGTTGTTGAGTTAATATTCCAATTACCTGCATTTTTCTATTTCATTAAGAATATGAATGTATTTAGCAATGGGAATGATGATTCTAATAAAAAAATTAAAGCAGATAAATTGAACAAACGTAAGATTGTTGCCAAACTATTAAAGTTATATGGTTTAAATGCTTCATTGACCTCATTATTCTGTATCTGGGTGATATATCAACGTGGTTACTATCCTGGCAATGGACTTCCATTGAATTCTATGGATAAATTCAAATTGATTGCTTATTATACACCAACATTCTTAATCCCATTACGTCTATGCATGTTATAATTTAAGGGAGACTTAAAAAAACACACACGTTGGAAATGATATATTATTATTAAATTATAATTATTGATATTTTAGTAAAGTTTATATATATATATATATATATATACGTATATGTATAAGATGAAAATGTTTAATTAATAAACAAAGCTTCTTACATTAGGAGAGCCAAAGCAGCTAAGATACCGTAAGCTGGGACGTTAACAGCAGCGGCACCACTACTACGAGAACTTGCAGAAGAAGAAGTAGAGTTGTGAGAAGCAGATGTGGTAGCGTTGCTAGAAGTGGTAGAGTTGCTAGAAGTGGTACCAGTAGTGGAGTTAGTGTATGTACCGGAAGAAACAGAAGAGGAGTTTGAAGAAGAAGTACTGTTATCTGGGAAGTTGACAATTGGATCACTAGTATGAGACATGACATCGAAGATGACAGCTTTACCATCTGAACCTTGACTGGTAGCAAAAGTGTAAGTGGCATTAGTACCATTACCAGAACCTCTAACACCGTAGAAGGTTTCTGAACCCTTGAAGTATAGTTTACCATCTTGAACGGACCAACCAGCGGTACCTAAACTTTCTGTACCAGTGACGAAAGAACCATCAGTTAAAGAAACGGCATAAGTACCATCAGATAGTTTCAATTTACCGGCATCAGTAATAGATTCGTAACCCTCTTCAGATGCGGTGGTCATCTTTAGCATACCGTTGTCTAAATAGACTTGGTAACCTTGTAAGTCACCACCATTGTTAGAGTTAACAATTGCGAATTCTGGAGTGTCAGCTAGAACAGATTGTAAAGAGGCAAGAACAACAGGTAGAGCAACAGTGAAGTAATTCATTTTTTTCTTAATCAGATAGGTTCAATTATATATGTATATAAAATACTTGACAAAAATGCAAATAAACAAGAAACAAAGTAAGAAAGAAGAATAATAGAGATTGAAATTCATTGAGAATTGAGATATAGTTGCTTTTTATATTATACTTCACAGTAAACCAAAAAAGAAGGAAGGGGGGAGGGAGAGGAAGGGATGACCAACAATTTAAAACTTTAAACTAATATCCATATTAGTCTACTTTAATGCAAATTATATAATATTTGGCGTTTGTTTAGCCTATCTCTTAAGCTGGCAACCAGTTTTGCAAACACAAATTAAATTACATTCCGCAGTCAAATAAAAGAGAAGGTGCAGCACCAACCCTTACCTCCTTAGGAAATAAACTATATCCGGTGAGAATATAGTACAGCTGTCAAAGAGAAACAGGCCAGGTACAGACTCAGGCACAGCAAAACAAAACAAGCACAAGATGTATATAGTGGGGGTGTCTGTATGTACATATATTACAGAACAGAACAGAGAGAGACCAGGTCTTCCTGTGATTAAGACGTAGAACTGTGCCTCAAAAATGAAAAATTATTTAGATCGTCGTATATTACAACAACCAGACAGAGAGACAACATGTACAAACTGCAGCAGCAACCACAAAATTCATTAAATATACGACCGTCGGATAAACTGAAACAGCAAGCAATTGAAGAAGAGAAGTAGAAGAAGAAGAACAACATCAGCAATTTTTTTTCTTTTCTTTCTTTGTTGTTGTCTTCCTGCTGCCAAAAAAAGAAAAGCCTCGAGAGAGAGATCTGAAAATAGAAGGCAACACACACACATAAAGAGAAAGAACTGCTACGGGCCATAAATATTCGGTTCGATTTACAAACATAGATTTATATTTATATTTAATTCAGTGCATTGCAGTATATTTATGTTCGGTTGCCCGTGTTGCCAGAAAGGTGTTATATAGATGTGTCTTTCTCGAGGCCATGGACAGACGAGCTCTCCAAACAAAGAATGACAAGCATCCTGTCTTCTCGACACGATCTTCTATTTTACACAAACTACTTGCAAATAATGCACGTTTACTGAACTTGCCTCGTCATCTATACCATGGCCTTGTTTTTCAAGTGTGATCACTACCACCGTACACAACTACTAAAAACGATACTGCTATGCAAAGCGACATCGCCACAGAGTATATATATATATACATATTGTTGAGATCCTCATAAGCTCTCGACACAGTCTCCACATCTTGCACAACCTCTTATCAAACTATTGCCTCTCTCTTACATACCACAATACAACCAATCAACGGTCAGAGTCAATTTTTTTGTTCGGGCTCCCACTCGCTCACCGAATTTGCGATTATCACCAAATTTTCGTCTGTCTTTTTTTTTTGGTGGTGGAATAAGGACCATAAAAAAAGGGAGATTTAATTAGTAATACAAATGAAGATAACATTTTCAGTAACAGTTCTTATAGAGTGGAATAAAGTAGATTAATAAGTATAAACTACTAAAAAAACTATTACAAATTATATTATGTTAAGATCTGTTTTCACTAGACAATCTTTACGTGCATACTCTACAAAGACTCATGATCTAGTGGTCATCGGAGGTGGTCCAGCAGGTTATGTGGCTGCTATTAAAGCTGCTCAATTAGGTTTCGATACTGCTTGTATTGAGAAGCGTGGGAAACTAGGTGGTACATGTTTAAATGTCGGTTGTATTCCATCTAAAGCATTATTAAATAACTCTTTGTTCTATCATCAAATTCTTACGGATTCAAAGAATAGAGGTGTTGATGTCGACCCAAAAGCTGTTGGTTTAAATTTTAAGAATTTTATGGCTGCAAAGGAAAAAGTCGTTAATCAACTAACTGGTGGTGTTGAAATGTTATTTAAGAAAAATAAAGTCACTTATTACAAAGGTGAAGGTGCATTTAATTCAGAGACCGAAGTTATGGTAAAACCTGTTGAAGGTTTAAAAGGTACAGTGGAAGAAGAAGTCATGTTAAAGGCTAAAAATATTTTAATCGCTACTGGTTCAGAAGTTTCTCCATTCCCAGGTATTACTATCGATGAAGAACGTATTGTTTCCTCGACAGGTTGTCTATCATTAAATGAAGTACCAAAAAGATTAGCTATTATTGGTGGTGGTATTATTGGATTAGAGATGGGTTCTGTATACAATAGATTAGGTTCAAAAGTTACAGTTTTGGAATTTCAACCAAAGATTGGTGCTTCTATGGATGATGAAGTTGCCACCACTACACAAAAATTATTAAAGAAACAAGGTATTAATTTTAAATTACAAACAAAAGTCATGTCGGCCACCAGAAATGGTGATATAGTCAACATTGAAATGGAAAATGCAAAGACAGGGGAGAAAGAATCTATTGAAGCCGATGTCCTATTAGTTGCAGTCGGAAGAAGACCTTACGTTCAGGGGTTAAATGCTGAAAAGATTGGTCTAGAAGTTGATAAGAAAGGCAGACTAGTCATTGATGATAAATATAGTACTAAACATCCAAATATTAAAGTCATTGGAGATGTTACTTTTGGTCCTATGTTAGCACATAAAGCTGAAGAAGAAGGTATTGCTGCAGTAGAAATCTTTAAGACTGGCTATGGTCATGTTAATTACAATAATATTCCATCTGTGATGTATTCTCATCCTGAAGTCGCTTGGGCTGGGAAGACCGAACAAGAATTAAAAGCTGATGGTATAGAATATAAAGTCGGTAAATTCCCATTCATTGCTAATTCAAGAGCTAAGACTAACCAAGATACTGATGGATTTGTTAAGATCTTGATCGATGCAAAGACTGAAAGATTATTAGGGGCTCATATTATTGGTCCAAATGCTGGTGAAATGATTGCTGAAGCCGGTTTGGCTCTAGAGTACGGTGCATCTGCCGAAGATATTGCTAGAGTTTGTCATGCTCATCCAACTTTATCGGAAGCCTTCAAAGAAGCTAACATGGCTGCCTTTGATAAACCAATTAACTTCTAATTTTTAAAAAATACAATATGAAAAAAAATACTATTCTTCTCTCAACTCTATGAATCATAATAATTTATTATAAAGGGGAAACACATGAAAAAATTATGAAATATATATATATTTATATTTCTATATAATGAAAAAGTATAAAATTTTATATCTCCTTTAACATTTACCTCTTAATATCTTTTCCTCATATCCTTATTCTTTTTATAATGACCTCTACGACCACTGCTCTTTTTATCTTGAATTTCTGTAAATTTCCTCTTAAAATATTTCTTACTTGTATCATCACCCATAAGAGATTCCAAAATTGTAGATTTTCTATCTTTATTCTTAATTCTACTACTATAAAATTCACTTTTGCTTTCAACTATTGTCCCTACAGAGAATCGTTCAGGCACAACCCATTTATCCTTCTTATAATGTCTCTTTGGATCCAAAGCAGCACGATGTTTAATCAACGTTAGATCTCTTTGTAACTGTTTACGTTTACTATCAGTTGGTTTTGGTAACGTAAACCATTCATCTTGTATTTGTTCTTTATGTGCCATCTTAGCCTTTACCTCACTTGATTTACAATTCGGTATAATAGTCTTGGTTTTAACTAATGAATCAAATCCGTTATCAAGTTTCGGTAGCTGGTTCATACTAATCTCAATATCACGAAATACTTTCTCCGTATCAATTTTATTACCATCAAGCCCCACAATATTGTCATTAGCATCCAAGTCATTATCAATTTGATTTGTTATGACTGTTGTGTTGGTGGATGTAGTATCTTTGTTGATCGAACTCTTCAATGCGCTGAAGAGGTCATCCATACTGGAATCCATTGTAATTTGCTTGCTCATGATGTTCACGTTGGTTCTCTCTTATCTCTTCGTTATATGTAGATATTGGCTTTATCCATACATAAGTAGGTCATCACTGCAATCATTTTGTAGCTCATCTTGAAAATTTTTCGTTTTTTCAAAATTCGTGCCAGGCCCTCTCATCCCGATCAAATATAAAAAAAAATTTAGTTCAATCAAACGACGTAATATACAAATTATCATACAACAAGAATATTATTTGCACAATGTACTTTGATTGTTGTTCTTTTACAGAAGCATGGAGCATAATATTCATTAAATAATTATTTTAGAAAATGTTTGTGTATTGTCGTATCATTACATAATTTAATATGCTATATATTCTATATATACATATTTGATAGTTGTTTTGTTTCATTATTTCTTTGTATTATCATAATTCGTCGTTGAATTTGTACGTTTCACGTTTACACTCTTCTCACTTAAAGGTAAAACATCAGTAGAGTATGATTTTTGTAATGTAAATTTATTATTATTACTACTACCACTGCCCAGAGTACCTTTCTTCTTCATTACCAAATTTCTAATCTGTTGTGAAGGTGAATAAAATGGATTAGATTTAGTCCTCTTCAAAGTAAATCGATCCTTATGTATCCCAATTAAATTATCAGGCAAAGCTCTCTTTTCAGATACACCATTTTTCGGCGTTGTAGCAGTTGTAAGTGATACAGGCTTATCCACCGAAACTGACGATGAAGGCGCCCCAGTTGTGTCGTTCATATTATTAGATGGTAGAGGAATATTAGTCATAGCATCTTCATTCGTTCGACTCACATCATCGTCAGTCAACCATTTACTGAAATCTAATTCCTCGATCATTCCTCCAAGAAAAACTTCGTCTTGTTCATTTGTCTTACTCATGAGCAAGAAATCATCTGCATTATAATTTCCCATTGTCGTATTGTTTGATATTATATCAGTTTGTTGATTATTACTATTTAATTTATTTTTCATCCCCCTTTCTTGTTCTTCTAATTCTCCAGTGGTTGCTAGCTCAACAGTGTCGGCTTTGAACATGTCCAGCAAGTCCATAGTTGTTGCGTAATAATATTATTATCAATGATAAATGAGTACTTAATTGAAAACAAAAAAGGATAATATTTAAATATTTTCTAAATAAACATATGTTTATCTTGCTTATCTGTTTATTTATTTTATAAATGGGAAACACGAATTTAAAAAAGGCGCAAATTGGAACAAAAAATGAATAAAATATTGAAAATTTCAGCCAAATCACCGAAAAGTGAACAAAACTCCGTGATTTTTGTTTGTGTTGCTTGAATCATTAGCAATAAAGAAAGAGACGCAACGCCAAAAGTAATTGGTGTTTTTTTTGTTTTGTTTAAAAGTATTCCTATATATATATATTTATATAAATTATATACGTTGTGGTGGCTAGTGGGAGTTGTGGTTCTTGTTGTCAGTGATCCGTAATGTGTTTGTAGGTTCTTCTTCGGAGTTGGCCAGTTCAGTAGAGTGTTGTGCATCGAACAATGCCATTATACTTTCTTTATTCTTATTTAATAGATGGAATGTGTCGACCACTCCGAACCTTGCCGTGGTGAAAGGTAAGACATCTCCTGTGTTGCCTCTGTTGAGAATCTTTATATGGTTCAGCAAATCCTCACAAGGTTTGGTAGGGAATCCACCAACCAGTCCTCGATGTAAATTAAGTCTTCTTTGTAACCTCCAAATCTGTGTCTCCTGAGGTGCATATTTTTGTCTCATTAGATCATGTTCTTTCTTTGTCACTGTTTTGGACTCATTCAGTAATTGTCCATTAATTCGATCATAATCCTTAGCAAAAAGATGTTTACTTGTTCTCAATTGAACCTCCAAAGATCTAATACTTTCATTCAATTGAAAGCCATTTGAATTGGTCGTGGTAGATGTTGAATATTGATGAGGAATCCCTACTACACCGTGTGTTTCGAAATCTGTTGTCCAAAGTGATTCCTTTATATAGCTGTTATGATCAGGCGACTGTGAACTTGAACCACACATCCCATTAAGAACTGTTTCACTGGGTAAACTTTTAATTGATGTAACGACATTTGTATTATTATTATTATTGTCATTGACTCCATTAGAATGTTTTGGGGGAGTACTTCTTAATTCTGAGACCTCTATCGATACTGAAGAATCAATATTTTTTGGAAAATTAGACGTGATTTGTTTACCAATTTCTGGAAGTTCATTTGTACTAGTATAACCATCAACATCAATATATAATTTTTCTAATTCTGCAGAGATTGTTGGAAATGTTTCATTTGGTTCTTCTATTGATCGGTCAATCTTAATATTCTGTGAATCCTTTTGATCTTCTTCAATATCCATCAATATTGTCTTTTCAAACATTGAACTTACCCTTTGACAATGTTTCCCATCAATTGTTAGTCCACTTAAACTTAATAATCTTGTATAAAATCCAAATAAAAAATTTAAATTTGAACTAACCATTTTATATTTTTTAGCTAATAATATTGGTTGATACAATAAGATATGTGCAGGGAATTGAAATCTATGATAAAAACAATATGCTTCAAATGTTAATGATAAATATTCTGGGTGTTCACTAACTGTAACATTTGCTAATTCATTACTTCTCTTAACACTTAATTCAACAATTTTATTAAAATCAATTGAAAGTTTTTCACCAGGTAATAAAAAAGTTTCAATATGTGAACCACATTGCATGCAACAAATATTCATTAATTCTAAGACCAAATCTTTGTAAATCTTCATTGTTGATTTAGTCTCTAAAAGTTTGACATAGTCAAACTGTTCGTAAATTATTGATAATATATTTAATGAAATTTTTTGAATAATAATTTCCCATAACATTAATGCCATTTGTGTTGACGATAAAATTTTATTAACTTGTAACCATTTTGATAATGTCAATATTTCACAAAATTTATTTGTAATAGAATTTATTTGTAATAATTCTTTCTTCACCATAAATTTATTTTGTGATAATTTATTTTTATCTTCAAAATTTTCTGATTGATATGTGACACCTAGATGAATAATACAATGATCGTCATTAACTAGCACATAAGACCCTAAGGACAATTGTCTACATTCAACATCACAAACGATTGACATTACACATTTGAAATTTCCATTTAGATAGTCCATTACAAGAGGTTCTAATTCACAGCCGAAGTCTGAACTTATCATTACAATTGTATCCATATCCGTGAATTCTGATAGAATTTGGCAATCTGTTTTCAAATCATCTAGGGATATTGGTGCCAATACCACAACGTCTATCTTATAGATATTAGTATTATTATCATCTTCCTGTACCAATTTTTCTCTTAATTCAGGAACCTCTTTAACAAATATATTAGGAGCATAAAAGTTTGCACCAAATTTATAAGATTTCCACGAGACTAAACTATCACTTGAAACATATTTAGAGGCTAAAATTATAAAAGCGTTTCCTAGACTTAGCCTCCAACCTAGGAATTGTGATGTTGGTGTTTGACCCACTGTAAAAAAAAACACAATTTTTAGTTAATGTTAGTAAAATAATTTCTTATTGGTGAATATAACATCAGGCGTACATTTTGCCAGTACACTACTGATACTACAAAAAAAAAATGTTGTGAACATACCAATTAATGCCGTTAAAGGGGAGGTTACCTCTCTCGTCATGATGGAGTTAATATATTTCTTGTATTGGGACTAAAATATTAGTGAAAAAGTTTTCCACTAGGATTACCAATAACTCGAGAGTTTAAGTTCAATAGAAGATATATATACACGAATAAAATGTATATATTATATAGTTACAACATGTTTTATTTTTTTTTTAAGCTATTTGAACTGATATTACTATTGTTATTATTTTTTAATTTTTTGGCCATACACAAAGAACGTCACATATATATTGACATCAGACAAAAGAAAAAAAAGCAGAGTTCGGGAGCACACTGTCGCACAACTAATAATAATAATAATAGTAATAGTATATTTATTATTGAATATCTACTTCGTATAATAATACAGTATCAGTCGAGGTCCCTTGCCAACCACGATTCCCACTTGTACTTATTATAAATCTACAACTTGGGTCGACATATAAATTTGAAATAACACCACCATGGTGACCCGGCACAATTAAGAAAGGTACGTTATTTTTTGAATCTACTTGGGTATCGAATAATCTAATGTTATCTCTCGAACCGACTAGTAAATGTCTTTGATTCGGCATCGTCTTGACACATGTAACGGGCCCAGAAATTGATGGTAATTTTAAAATATTTGATGTGTTTGATGGCATCTTTAGATCAAATTCTTCAATACAAGCATTTCTTCTACCTGCATAAATCTTGTCACCTGATGCACTCCAACATGCAGAAAAACACCAAGGTGGTATATTTGCACCTCTATTAAGGGATAAAACGGGTGATTTATTAATACGTTTATCCCAAATATTAATTGAGCCATTAAGACCCGACGACATAAAAGTAGTTTCATCATATACTGTTCTTAAAGTTTCATTTGATATTTCATCACTCGGTACGTGTCCGGCAGTAGTTTTATTTTCTTCGTCTTCATCTTCGTCTTCTTCACCAAATAAAGAATCGTCATCTTCGTCATTATTGTTTTCATCTGTTGCTTGTTTAATTTCAACAGATGAGAATAAAGGTCTAAACTCCAAGGAAGACAATTCCGAATTACTTCCCTTAAATTCATTAATTGATGTCTGTGGACGATTTAAATCCCATTCTAGAATTTTTTTATCCCAAGAGGCACTTAAAAATTTATCCTCATTATCATTTAATCTTAGTAAATTCACCACTGATGAATGTTCTTTGAAATAATTAATTGTCGAACCTTCCATGAATCTAATACTTTGCATTGCAATCCCACCATTGTTTTGCCCACTTAATAGAAACATACATTGACTTTGAACTTCGATTGAATAAACGGGTGAAACAACTGGTTGATATTCAATTTTATTATTTTTTTCAATGATCTTCATCTCTGATTTCTTTTGTGGGACTTCATTTTCCCAATAACCTGTCAGGATCCCTGCATTTGAGATCGATTCTGCTAATGAATGTTTTTGTAAGATTGTTAAAGATAATTGTCCATCGATTGAATTTAATAAATCATATTTTCTAATGTACCCGTCGTCCCCACCGACAAACAAATACTTCAAACCCTTTGACAATGACAGAGTATTAATATGCGATTGAATTGGTATAGCTACAGTGGGTATAATATTGTAAGAGGATGCGACTTTTGATGATTGCAGTAAAGAGAGATAATAGTCATGAAGTGTGTCTCTCTGTGTCGTGCTTTCTTCATTGTCATTGTCATTGTCATTGTCATCTTCTTCTTCTTCATCCTCGCGACCCTTTTCATTACTATCATTGGGCTCGTCGTCTACCTCCATGTCGTCATTACTATCATCTGCCTCTTCGTCTTCTTCTTCGTCTTCGTCATCACCTTCGCCCAATTCTTGCAATTCTTCCTCTTCTTCCTCTTCCTCCTCCTCTTCTTCCTCGACCTCGTTCTGGTTCAATATATCGTCCACTTCGTCCATCTTTTCTTTCGAATAGTTATTCTGTTCGACTCACCTTGCTCCCTATGCCATTCTCATGTGTGTGTACACACTGTCTGTAACCCACCTCTTATTGCTATTGCAGTTATTATTTTTCACTGTGTATAGACAAAACGCATAAACTATATATTATTTTTCACCGAGAGAGAGAGAGAGAGAGAGAGGGAACTGCGCTGTTGTTAACGCGGTACTGCCAAAGCCCTGTGCAGTCTATAGTGCTGCGGTGGATAGCTAATACAGGTATGCTGTTAGTATTGCTCTCTCACCCTCTCTCTCTCTCTATATATATATATATATATATATATATAT